CGTTTAAGGAAGCTTTAGAGAGGCTATTCCTGATACTTAGCAACTGGTACTGCCTCTACTACCGTAGACGGATTCCGAGAACTCCGCGAGGTATATTAGTAGCTTTTATTAATGAAATTCAAGAGATGACTGTGATTAGCTTAGGGCTGTGCGTCGTTAATCTTAGATCTAGTGGTCAACAACGCTATAAGGGGGCGATACTATCCGAGCCGGAGCTTTATGTTATACTTGCGGCAGATAGTTAGAGTCGCGGCAGGCCTTACGCGTAGCTTTCGTTGCTTTGTAAGTCGTGGGTCTTTATTGCTAGTATCGTAGGTATTATTATTATTATTAGTATTCACGGAATAATAGGTTTCACTTCTGATCTTAGTATATATATCTTGGTGCCTCTGCTTCTCTCCCTGTTTCCCTGTATTAGAATCGCTGCTTTATACTAGGCTTAGTAGAGTAGAAGGAGTATAGCCGTACTTATCGTTGATCTGAGTTGCTAGATACTTAGGATAGATCTGAGACTATACTCAGCTCAAGAGATTAAGGGAAGACGCTGTTTAAATTTTGTTCTGTTAGCGAACTAATTTAAGATTTCTAAAACAAAACACTTATAACGTAATTAGTTACTTTTAAGCTTAGTAAATAATATAGGACTAAGTAAGATTCGCAGTTGATCTTCAGTGATCCAGGTAGAGAGCTCATCGACTAAGTACTCGAAAATCTTGCCTTTACTACGCCTGCTATAGTATATGTAGTGAACTTATATAACATCTCTTCCTACTTATAGGACCGAGTTTTGAAAGAATCGCTTGTAAGGCAGCTATAGTATTAATATCTATATATCGTCTTCGTTAACCCGAATCAGACTTATTTAGATGTTCGCTATATATAACTTAGTACTAGGTTATCTTTATCTAGTGTCTAGGAGGCTACTGGGTGCGTATCCAACGCAGTCGGAAACGGTACTTATTGATCTCCAGTTACGTGACTAGTAGAGCTCAGTAGCCTCCTTGTCTATAGGATTATCCGTGTTATCTACCTCTACCTGGTTCTGCTAATTACCTACGGGTAGCCACCTTGTAAGCTGTCCCTACTGCTGTATCTCTACTCCTCCTGCTTCTTCTATTAGTACTTCCTTACTAAGGTCTCTCCTCCTAAGTGATTCTATAGCTACCCGAGCCTCCCGCTGCTTCCGCTTAAGGCCCTAAGCTAGGGTACCATATCGATAAGCACCTTGTAGCTCTTCTAGTCGACTACTAGTAGTTTCGCTGCGTTCTCGATTCTAGATCTCGTCTTATAGTGCCTTAGCTGAGCGAGGGCTTAGGGAGATATATGTATCAGCTGATAATAACTTTACTTATTACTCTCCTAATACTAACCCCAGTTCTTTCTTTAATTCAGCTATATTCTCATCTGTCCATCTATTATCGCCGTAGTCGGAAGACTTAAGGAAGGAGTAGAGCGTAGATTCCAATTACGTGCTTCGAGTGATACTACTGATACCTTACTAGTAGGTCTAATCTTATAGTGGTTAAGCTTATATAAGAGCAGAAGGCATGTTATACTAATCGTGAGACCCAAGTCCCGGGGTTATCTCCTTAATATAGCGGCTCTTAACGTCATACTATGGATAAGATATATCAATAGACTCTATTAGTGCTAAGGCGAGTTCTAAGGCTAGAAGGGTATTATATAGACTCGTGTCTAGTTCAATACGCTTAGTATTGACTTCACTGGAAGCGCTTTCAGCCTAACTCTTAGCACGTGCTTTATTCAAGTTATCGTCATTATCAAGAATCACTAGTTAATTTATATATAATTAGCGGACCGCTTCTATACATAGGAATAGTTAGTATAACTTACCTCGACTCCCGCCTTAACGTCACCTGACCCTTATTATATTCGGTTAGCTTACAGTCTTACCCTGTGAAGAGCTAGCTATTCCAGGCGCTGAAGGGTAGACTTGGTCTTCGAGGCCTTAGTTGAGACCTTCGGACGTAGAGCAGTTCGCTCCTCGAGAGATAGGGATCTCTATCTATTTACCGTTATTACTATTAAGAGTATACTTATAATCTAGAGTAATAAATCAGAACGCTTTATTTTCTATATAAGTTTTTAATATATCTTTAGTTCTTGCTACTGTATTTCTATTTACTTTAATTCGATATCCAGAATAGGAAAGAGTAGCTGCAAGCCTGTATGCTTTCTAGCTACCGCTTAAGTTAGGTGAATAGATTAAACAGCTAGGTTTAGTAGTCTAAAGAGTATCTTACTTAAAAAGTAGTAGGCTTAATAGAGGAAATCTAAAAGGAATAAATCTCGTGCTCTAAAGAGTAGCTAGAAAGTAAACCAGTTTAAGTATATATATAATATTTAGCGAGAGGAATTAAGCGATTTAAGTGTAACCCGTGAGCGCCTACTCGTCGGAACTAAGCTATTCTTATCCACACATTAGCTTTACCGTTTACAACTACTGTAAGCTATCCTGAAATCAAACGATCTAGTCCTACGTATGAAATCTCAGCTTCTCTAGACTCCTACTAGGATTCATTTATTATATAAATCCCTAGTCTTCGTTAGCTTCACTGACGATCAAGAAATCAGCTTATAATCAGTTCAATCCTACTCGAAACCCAACTCACGACACCTATCCCCTGGAGCTTACAGTTATCTCTGCGGAGCTAAGCCCAAATCGACCTTCCCTTTATAGAATTAAGACTCCGCGGCGTAGATTATACTATGCCAATTCTAGCAGTGATTATAGTTCTACCAAGGCAGTATCCTAGAGCTGAACGATCCTCGAAACAGCCTTTAATCACTAGATTCATCCTTCTAATATATAATAACCGCCGATCGAGCTCCTCCCGAGGTTGTATAACAGGCCTCTATACTATCTTCCACGTTAGCCTGCTTACTTATAACTATTCTCTCACTGCTGGCGTTTCGTATTAAGTCTGTAGAATAGCTTAGCAGAAGTTTCGTGATACTATTATTATATAGATTATTACTTGCCATACTACGTTAGATAGAAATTAGTCCTACTTGTTATAGATTAGTCTAGATTAAAGTATCAGCGTATATCATTGTCTCTACTGGCCTAAGGGAGCTCACCGAGATCCTTCTTATCGCAGATTAGCCTAGATCTAGGTATATAGCGCATATTATCGTCTCCGCGGTGTAAAGGAGCTTACTGAGATCCCTTGATACGTATTACTATAGCGTAGCTAGGCAGAAGCTAGCTATATTGTCGTGAGGTATTACTTCTATTAGCTAGGCTATATCGTATAAAAGGAATGCTAAGGTAAGCCTCTACTCTTATATTTACTGATAGAGTATTACTGTGAGAATTGTAATAGTGCGATAGTGAGAAGAGGAAGTTAAGCTAAGCTTATGCTCGTACTTTAGTTAATATAATGCCCTCTAGAGGAATAATCGCTGTCGCGATAGCTTAAGAGGATCGAATCTAGAGTAGTAGATTAAGGGTTTTAGCTTTAAACTAGCTGTGCTGTTAAGGCTTTTAGCTGCGCAGGGCCGGCGAATAAGCTGTCGTAACCCTTGATATAACTACTATACTGCGCCTTATCGCGCTATCTTATATGAATAATACTTTGCTTAGGGAAAGTATCTGGTAGGTGTTATATAATAAGTAGTATACTTAGAGGAGCGCTAAACGTTAACTCCCAGGATTTATAATATTGTTTATTTAGCCCTTTAGCCCTTTAATACCTTACAGAATCGTTGATCGACTGCTATTAAGGTATAGTATTATATAGATTTAAGTATAACGACTTGTAGCAGATAAGAGTCGAATAAGTGCTTAATAGATTAGTATATGTTTATATACGTTGAAGTTGAAATTTAGCGAGGTTCAGTGAGTCGTTTAGTGCGGCTCTTGCGAATAAGGGCTTAAAACTAGCCCTGAAAGAACTCTTAACTTACTTTTTCTAATTTTAGCTGGCGGTAGTCGTAGCTGAGGAGCCTAGACAGATCGCCTTCGGCTTATCTTCAGCTTACCTCCCTTGACTCGCTGCTTAGCCTAGCTCACTCACAGCTTAGGCTATAGCAGCTACAGCTTAGGTCCAAAGACGGAAATGGAAATTACTTATGTCGAGATTCCGATATCGAACTACCTGTTATGAACGGTATGGAAATCAAATCATAGGCTCGAAGGACCAAATCCATCATTGCCAACTTATTAATTACGATGACTCCGCACCCTTTGTTTACTTTCTCCCACAGCAGATCCACTTCGAGATCGCTTGCGAATATAAAGACCTGCAGTAACAGATTGTATCTCAGGAACTGCCATATACTAGGTAAGGAATCTACGAGATAATTTTACTATTAACCTCGAAACTCGGAGTACGTCATTGACTTTCAGTGCCAATCACGATGGCAGGGTGGAAGCCAGCGAGATAGAAGTTTTGTATGGCACGATACAACACAGTGGTTTAAGGCATGTCTAAAGGCTACCTTTTGTGAGAAAAGGGCCCCCGACACAAGTTATTCCTGAAATCAGAGCTCAAGGGTATACCTCAGGCTGCCCGTTGAACGGATTCCAGAGCCGCCGAGAATTGATTGGTTGGGCCGTCAGTGAGTGGTACTTCCAACAGGCGCATGCTTGGCATCATCCAGGGAATCTGCCCAATCCCCTTTGCAATCTGCAGGTATCGAAATGTGCTGGCAGTGAGGCTCTGCCTGACCTAATGAGGGTGTGAAGACGAAGCCTTTCGTCATGCGCCTTTGATGGGCGTCAAAAACTGTCCATAGCATGCAACAGGATTCCGCCACAGAAAAGTTTCTACCCACTCACAGTAGACTCTCAATATCGGCCTCTGTTGTGCTACTGAACAACGGAAAGGCAGCTGGCTGCCTTCGTTGCCTTCTTGAGTCCCAGCCTCGTTCAATAATATGAAAAGCCAAGGCTTTCCTGCGGCTTTCACGATGGCTCTCATCAGCATCCAGACACTTTTTTGTTTTACCACTGGCAGTCAAATCATCATTCAGACATGCTATCTGATCGCCGAACCACAACACCAAGCACCACCACAGGAGGGAGGAGGAGGAAAAAGGGAAGATCGCCATCGCCGCCACGCAGAAAGACGTGGGGCTTTAAGAAAGAGGCGGGCTCAGCCGGCAGACAGGAGCCGCAGCTGAAGCAGGACACCTTTCCGGTGTACCACCTTCGCTGGGAAAATTTGAAGGCTTATCTGGAGTCGCGCTTCCCTGATTATCGATTCAGCCAACGCATAGTAAGTGATTTTTGGCATAATCCATGCGCCGTGTACAAGGCATCCCCAGGTTTCATGTCTGACAATTGATCTTGTAGGTCCACGGAGACTACTATCATTTCGACGTGCCCCGGCTGTTGACAGAGGTTTGTCTCACCGGTGATTCTTTGGTGCCATGTGTCGCTGACGAGATGTTTTCGTGACTATAATAGGATGAAAGAGCGGAGATTCTCTCGTTGAAAGATCGGGAAGATGTTCCACGTGTATCTCAATCACCCGAGAGGGATCCTCGCATAACTGCTTTTAGATACTAAGCCAGCCAGCCTGTGCTATTTAGAGTGGGTGGACTAGGTGACGATCGCAATGCTGGAAGCTCTATTTTGACACTGCTGTTTCTTTCTTGTTAATTGAAAATCCGCCCTTATTTGATACTCGGGTTTCACAGGGGCGGGCGACACCAATCGCACTGCGCCTGCTCCCTTTGATGAATGACCACCCTGGCTGGGCGGCGGCGGTGCTCGAGGCATTCTTGACGTGGTGGGCTTGCTCATAGTAATTATAAAGAAGCAGTAACCTCTGCCTGCATCGTCTCGTTCAAGCTTTATAATTGACTTCATCGAAAGACTGTGACAGTAGAAGTGATTTGGCCTTGGAAAACACGCACTCACGGTCATATTCATACTGGAGTCCTTGCAGCCCCGCCTCTGGTGGCGATGTCCTCGTCTTCAACCTGGCAAATTCCTGCCTCATTCCTGCAATCCTACTCCAGCCTCGAATCATACCCTCTAAACTTGCTCCGACAAACATCGTATCCAGCAGTATCAGAGGCGTATGCAAGCAGACTGCAAAATGCATCTGCGACTCTTTTCACCGACAAGGAAGAAAGTATCCATGTTCCAGTCCGCGAGTTCATAGGGCAAAGTAAGCCAGCTCCCTCTAGCGTGTGGATAATCCTTGATGCTGACACTTGAAGCCTGCAACAAACGTAACATATTGAGCGATCAGAAATTGAAGCTGTTCCTTGGAGATGATTCCATGCCGGATCCTTTGGCACCATCGACACAGGTTGGAGTGCCAGTGACTAAGAAAGATCCAATATGCCGCTTTATGTATGTTCCCGCGGATCGGATTTTTAGATTCCAATGGCTAACTTGTTCTTACCAATAGTTTCCTTTGGGCGGGAGACTCTCGGGAACCTCTGAAAATAAGCCGACGCATGCTTCTTCGAATCCTCACTTACCACCAGGTGATGATGCATTATCTCGACTTCATATCCGTTTTTGGGTCCCAAAGCGAACAAAGGGATTTAAGATTCAGTGGGTTCAAAGAGACCTCTTTTCTGAGCAGTCACCATGGCGGCCAAGAGATAACTAGTCTAGGCCGTAGTGGGAGACAGTATCAACTATGCTTCAACCTGAAGGGGGTTTCATGCTTGACGCCGAAAGAGAAGGTGGTGAAAAACAAATTGTGGTCTATTCGTCAGGCAGCTCTCCATCATCAATTCGATGTCCAAACTGGAAATACTTTATGGATGATTGCTAAGGGTGACTTGGAGCTGAAAGAGCGGATTGAGGTTTTCACGGGGCCGTATGGTAAGCCAGAGGACAGAGCTTTTGGCACTGTGGAAGAATGCTTCAAATCTAGCCTTGCTGTTCATTTGTTGCAGTGCCACTGGTCTACCGAAAATTGGCGATGGTATATTCAATGTTTGGAAGCTGTTATGGAAAGCATTGTAAGTTATGCGCCAATTTAAAAACACGACGAAATTCTAATAACTGTATAGACCCACCTTGCTGTCAATGGTGCCCGAGGCCTCACGGAAGCTCAACGAATATTCACGCCACATGATTTGCAGGCTGTACAAAACTGTGAAGACAAGACTAATGAAGCAATAATGGTATTGCAAGCGAATTCTGACGTTCTTAATTCCCTCCGGAGATTTTACGAGCGTCTACGTGACAACAAACATTTCCCACTCGCAGCCGCTTGTCACGAGGATGTCGTTGAATTTTCCATGCAGATCGAAGATATGGTCTATGACTCCAACATGCAAGTTGCGCGAGCGAAAGTTCTTGTGCAGATCACAGAAGATAGGAAAACCCTGGTAAGTAATGTAGATGGAAATCTGCTTCAGTGCTAACCACGCTTGAGATTTTGCAACACCTACAGAGCCAAGCCACCGAGACGATGGAGATCTTGACAATAAAGATGCATAAAATTGGTGCCTTGTCTCAAAAAGAAGCTATCGCAATGCGTATTGTAACCGTTGTCACTCTGATCTACCTTCCAGCTACGTTTGTTTCGGTGCGTACCTTTCAGTGACGATGTGGACTGTACTGAACGCTCTTACAGACTTTTTTCAGTACCGATGTTGTTAAATATCAAACAGATAACGGCCGCACATCTTTCTCTGATCTTGCCATGTGGAGATGGCTAGAGGTTACCTTGCCATTGACTGTGGTTACCCTAGGCATCGGATATGCGTTCGTCAAGTATGAGGAGAAGAGGATCAGGAAAATGGCGCTACTTCCTACCACAAATGACTTGGTAAAAGGTCTCGGGCCTTGATCGAATAATTCGGGGTAGATTGTCGGATGAGAAGAACAACACCCGGGGAGAGATCGGTGCACAGTGGCAAGATGTAGAAGCTTTGAAATGCGGTTGGGTAATCGACGATTAAGAGGAACCGGTGAAACTGGGGAGCCTGGGGAACCATAACAGCTGAAAGTGTGACAACAAATTGATATTGAGTGTAAGAAATAATTCTGTAGACTGCAAAGATCGAGAATATGAAATCAGGCAGGGGAAGCTCAATCGACCAAGCAATATGCTTGGTTCATGCACCTTGTTGTCAGCGAGGCTGTGATTCATCACTGGATGCTCGAATACTTCTTCCTGCTCCATCAAGCAGACTTCACCGAAGAACAAATCGTCCCCTGGTTGGTTCGTTTCGGCTGTGCCTTTCCTTGACTCGCACACGTCTGGGCGGATAAATCCCATGCTTGGAAGGAAAATGCCATACTCACAGATCCAGTCGGCGTTAAATCCGCTTCCCGTCGGTAAGATTTGTCTTGCCAACTTCGTCCCAACGGACAACGGTTCGTCCCGCTATCAAACTTTATACATGTGGTCGTCACTTACTAAGTTTATACAGGGGTAACGCATTTCTCGGCAAATATGGGAATACATCCCCAACGCCAAATGGAGAAAAGAAGTCTGCCAAAGCAGGTAGTGGTTGCAAGGCAGACAGAGAAGATAGAAGGTCTCACCGAAGACTGTCAAGCCACTGCAGGGGTTTGGGTGTGGGGTTACTGTCACTGTCGTTGGCCGTAGACTTGGGCTCAGCTGGGCAACCCCTCAGATCGTCCTTCCACTCAGAGCTAGCCCTCAACCATTTGAGGCTTCCTGGCCCATCTCTCAACATCACACGTTTCCTCTCCCTTCCACAACATATCAAAGTACCTAATTGAATCCTTTGCAATCCCCAATTCATCGTCGCAACTCCAACATCATTCACTTGGCCGGATCTGCGTATCGCCCCAGCACGCACAAGCTTACAGCCTTGCGCAAAGAGGGGCCACACAGCTCTACTGTCTCCTAGATATTCGAGAAAGCTACCAACTAGTCTGTTTCTTGACTCGGTACCGAACGATGGCAGATCATACTGGAAGTGCGATGAAAGACTTCCAGACTAATCTGGCCAGTTGTACCGAACTCGCCGCGTGCAAACGACCATATATCCGGGCCACAAAGTGGAGAACCTGGCTGAAAAGCAAGGTCAGTGTCAAGGTGGAGGGTAAGAACTACGAGACAACCCAAGTCAGTCGACTACTAGACGTGGCATATCGACATCTGGGGAAGCCGACCCACCCCATCAACCGGGATCATATATGCCACCCACAGCATGAATGCCTGTTGATCTTCAGCATTCTCCTCGAACTCGGCCAGGGCAGCCTCATTCATCAATTTTTGAGACGGGACTCGGTAGATAAACATCTTCCATTCAAGTTATATGAGCTAAGAAATCTGTTTCGAGACCTCGGAGTTACTGACCCCGAACAAGCAGCAGCGAATTTTGACAAGCTGCAATGGAAGTACTGCCCAGCCAAACTGGATTTCCATGGCACTCGGCAGTATCCAGAGAACCGTATTATGCCTTTCTGTCGCAGGAAACGCATCAATCTCAAAGGTGGAACAGCACAATTATGGAAAATTGCCGTGCTAGAGGAATTCGTCGAAGAGAAGTTGAGAAAAGCTGTGGAAGACTCCAGATTCGATGACGGGGATGGACTCGGTCCAGTGAGTGTCTTCCTTAGTCGCTCATCAAACTCTTTCTGAAGCTTGCCAAGTGGAAACTTACTTTCGGTTAGAGATACGAGTTTGCCCTCAAGTCCTTTGAAGACGGAAACAAACAATTGTTTCTCAACGAGAAGGAGGCATTTTTTGCCCTGAACAAACAAAGCGCAATGGTCCAATTCTTGGGCGCATATGGGCATGAGGAGGCCGAGATACCATCTCAAAATAATCCGACAACATATGCCAACTCTTGCGAGGGGCGTGTTAGACCGACCCATAACATTATACTCGAATTTGGCGAAAACGACTTGGAGGAGTATTTCGCGGGCACTGTTCCCCCGTATCTCCAAGCCGAGTTGGATGCGTTCTGGCGAGGGCTATTTGTTGTTGCTGAAGCTGTTAAAAGCATTCACAATCTCACAATTGATACGGATGGTCGAAAAGAAGAATTTTCAGGGTACGCCACTGTCAACATGTTTCAAGTTTAGTCCCTATGGCTCTAACAAGCACAGCTGGCATGCAGATATCAAGCCGGACAACATCCTATTGGTTCACGGCAAGTTCAAACTAGCCGATCCAGGTTTCATGAAGGTTGTGAGAAAAACGGGCAAGGAGCCTGTAGAGGCCTTGAGTGGCGGAACGGAGACTTTTGGTAAGACAACCCCAGTCCAGCAGCTTGTCTCTGATAGTGAAGTGGACATCTAAACACAACCATAGGCGCCCCGGAAAGGTGTCCTGGCTGGACAGGTACCCCAAGTAGGGTTCATCAAACCATAGATACCTGGTCGCTTGGTTGTGTCTTCTCGATCGCCGCTACTTGGGTAGTTCTTGGGTACCAAGGCATCCGTCAGTACAATAAGATTCGGAAGATGGCCATAAAGAAGGTAGCAGTAGACCATGAGTCAGCCAAGTCGCTAGCCAGCAGTCGTCAGCATCAAAAGGCTTTTACTACTCACGGCGACCATTTCCATGATGGCAGTGAAGTGTTATCTGCAGTTCTGAACTGGCATACCTTCCTCCGGAATGCTGTACGGAAAAATGATGCTATAACGTCACGAGTCCTTGACCTAGTAGAACAAAAGATGCTCCTTGGCGATGCAAAGTCTCGAATCAAGGCAGCCCAAACCTGCGACGAGTTGGAACGGATTTTAAAGGAAGCGGAAAGAGCGACACCTATCCCTTCCACCCCCAAATGGCATACTTTTTAGCGTACTTGAGAGAGGGCCTGAGTAACCAAAAGAAGCCTCAGAAGTGGACCAGATCTTCGGCATCTATAAAAGCTGGCTATCAGATTTACTAGCTAAGGCTCGCTTCTATTTCATACACCACTGTCACTCCACTTTTTGAGTGCATCAACAAAATGCGCCATTTGGGGGTGGAAGGGATACCAGTTCCTGAGAACATCGAAGAACTGCTACGCGAGATTGATGACGCCGGAACGGCACCATCCAAGGTAGACATTGAAGACATAAGAGTCGAGCCAAACTAGGGGTAGTCCGTCGTTGGACACACCAACTATAGCACAGACGAGGAAGTCAAAATTCCTGGACCCTCCCCTCCTGAAGACGACCCATCGATCGATCGCAAGTTTCCCGATCTTCTGCCACAGCACTGAAGAGAGTCCGTGAGGATCCAGCACTTGAAGCGTTCACATTACAGTCTGTGACGGCGGTTCTACTAATGCTCAATACTGGAGCTGGATCGGTAGAACATGTTAGTTTTCGACATTTTTGGAGGGAGAATACGTCCACAACTCAGGAGCCAGAATCATTTCTGTCAAGAACAGGTCACGCCGAAAATACGGCACAGGGCCTTCGAGCATTGCCTCGTCGACCATTACATAGGCACCCATCTACGAGTCTCAGTCGGACGAATTGGGCAATGATGACTCGTAAATTAACATTGCGCGGGCGACAGAACATTTTTGAAGGTCGAGACGAAAATGAAATGGGAGGCCTAAGTAGCTCCACGTAGAAGTCCAACAAGAACCCGTTCTTGTCTCGATTTTTAAAAAACCGAGAGTAAGTAAAACCAGTCTCGACCTATTGATTTCACTAACAAAGCACTAGAAATTTCTTGTTGACAACGCCGGGACGATGAAACCCCATTGGGGTCTTGCAACATATGTCCTGCAAACTTTGCTGATGTTGGCAAGGCGCCAAGATGAGAATGGCATGGATGTGCACTTCACCTACGGTGACGTGAAAGTGGAGGGTCGCGAATCTCATAGAAGTCTCTTGTCACGCCTGCGCAGTGATCCATTTACTACCGCTATGTTAATTCCTTCTGCACAACATTCCTTCTGCACAACCAATGGAGAACTAGCTCACTAATATAACGAAGTCATTGAGTATTATCTTCGAGAAATACCTCAAGGATGCCGAGAATGCACTCAAATCTGCGAGCCAAAAGTCAAAAGGCCGCCCGGGGCCCCGAAATTTGACTCTCATCGTCCTCACAGGTGGTATCTGGGAAGCCACGAAAGACTTGGCCGAAGTCAAGACATTGATTGTAGACTTTGTGTCCAAAGTGGAGAAGCTCGTGGGTTGTAGCCTCATCGAGCGGCAGGTCAGCATCGAGTTTGTGCAGTTTGGGCTCAACACTGATGCCAGTCACTGGCTGGAGATACTTGACAATGGTCTTGAGTACGACGGTATCCCGTAAGTCCATTGAATGAAATACCCCACTGACAAAACTGACGTTTCAACCAGAGATATAGTTGATACTGAGCATTGCTTTGGAGATCCCATCAAGATGCTTCTCGGGAGCTTCAATTCCCAATTTGACGAGAAGGAGGACAACGAAGAAAGTGATACCGGACGATCGAGGCGCTCGCAACAATTATTCGACTCAGTTCATAGAAGTGACTCAACATTATATCGCGCCGAATCGTCAGCATCTCAAACTCCACAGCGAAGAAGTATGCACTCCGCAGCGTCTCCCAGTCTAGGTCGAAATGCGACTAGTACGCCCGAACGTCAGCCGATTCAAGTCCTCCTTTGCCTTTACGGCAAGAGCCATCTCCAAGAGGTCCATCTCATCATGAGAACGGGACTTGGAGCTAGCCTTGTATTATAAAGTTCTTTTCCTTCAGAGGTCATGTGTATTGATGCCTGATGCTGTTCAACAATGATTAGCCAAGGGATATTGTAGATATTATGGCAAGAAGGCGTGATAATGAGATGCGATCAGCACCATTGGGATCAATACTATTACAGGTACTTCTCAAAAGGTGTTTCCAGGTGGGTGGAGTAATTGGCGCTTGTGCTACTCAGATTTCTCTGCGCAATGGTCTAATAACGGTCAAATCTAAAGTCTGACAAAAGTTTACGGTACCTTAGTCGATGGTGAATACAGATTAAAATCCTGATTTGGTTTTGCTGCTCAGCCCCTCTAGATTACTTTTCAGTTTACATCAGTTGACAGAAAATGTCCCCTTTCTTACTTACTTCGCTTATCTTTCCGTCACAATACCTCATCATGAACAGCACAGACTGTTGTACGAGGCCAGGAAATAATTGGGCTGAGGAGAACTACAATCGTTCCGAAACTCCCCAAATTGTCTTAGTTCCATATTGAAACCAACATTTAAACCTGGCGAGCAAGGCAGGTGAGTATGGTTGCGTCCCTATACAGAATATGAACTTCTCACTCGAGCACCAACCAACAACAAACATCACATCCAGCCCCCAGGCCATCTATACTTTGCTCATCGTTTAAAATCTTTGACCTTTCAGATCATGGACTCTGGGGTTCCTCCACTTCAATCCAAGATGGAATCGGTTGGATGGATTGTTTAAGGCCAAAAATTAAGCTAGATCGCTTGGAACAACAAACATGGAATTTGTCTGGTGTTCCTCAATGGCACTTTGGATGAGACTGGTAGGTTCATTTAGGTACAGAGAACATTGCAACTGCGATATCTGTAGATGAGTCAGCAGGTTCTTGTGGATCCCTGCCTGAGTCTGTCGCTCGGGTCGATAAATACACCTGGCTTCTCCAGACGAGTAACAACAGACCATCAAGTGAAGGTCTAGACTTCATCAGGATACACAAAGTTCTCCGCCCCATCCCAAGTCAACATGTTAACAGCAAGCAAAGTAGAGCAACTCTAAGTGCCCAGGCGCCCCTGTATTCTGCACTCTCTATCTAGACTCACCTCGATCTCAGCCACATCTGCACCCCCCAATCCTTCAGTTTCAGTTTCAGTCCCCAGCTGATTTCCAGCTACCTACCCAAGCAATTCTAGACCTATCTCCACAATAATCTAGCCCAACGCAACACCACCTGCAGCGTCTAGACGACTACTCCCAAGACAACAAACAACAAGGAAAAAACTGGGCCCCCTCATGCCCCAAGCTCCACAATACTTCCGAATAGTGGCCACACAGACACGTACGCATCCACGCGCACCATGTAGCTGGGCGAAGCTAAATAACGCCCGCTAGAATAGTTGAGACCGTGCAGTTACGGTACACTTTTCTGTTCATGCGTACTGGATCCGCTTCCCTCCCACACTATTCTACTTAACTCAATAACCCTAGGCCAGTGATCAGCGACAATGGCAGTGCTTACCACTCACTATGTACTTTTTCGGAGAATTTTTTCATGTCGTCTTATGCCTAAAGTACACAATACGGTGTGTTGAAGCTTTACCTACCATCTATTCACGAAGCATCCCGGATCGAGCCATCGGGAAGGTAAAGTGGGTCGACCGACGTCTAGGTAGACGAATGAGAAAAAGGTAAAGAGAGGGAATTAAACAATCGAGAGAATCACTCCTCAATCTGAAGGAAGAATAGCTGGTTGTAATGCCAACTCCAAAGTTATCATAGGACGGATTTCGATCTGTTGGCAATCAAGAAACCAACCTCCAAGTTCAAAGATTCGATTGACGACTAGAACACCAATCCGCTCTGAAATATTGCCATTTTCCCTTTTCCAGCCATTACATGCCGGATATATCTCCGAGTTCCCCCATACTGTGTTTGTGCATGCTCCGGGTAGACAGGCATATATTTCCAAATTTATAACTTTGCACTTTGCTGGGACTACTTAAAGCTTACAGGTCTTCCAAGTCTAAAGCAAGCTACAGAAAGCTGAAATAAATTTACTTGGGAGGCCTAGCCAGGAAGCCAAGATTCTCATCCCAGAGCAGGCAGTTAAATAAATGTCCAGAGTCTATAAGCAAGAGTCTACGACGGAGGATTTACACAACCTAGCTAGGTATGATGGAGCACAAAATATCCAGTAGCTATGCAACAAGCCAAGGCAACCCAACATAACGCACATCTCCTTCCCCACTCTATCTCACTCTATCTCACCTCCCTTCACTCTACCTCGCTTCCCCTCGTTCCCCCTCGCTTACAGCCCCTCCCCCCTCCCTCAATTGTTTACTCACCATCTCCGCCTCCACCTCCCTCTCCACCTTCAGCTCCCTGACCCTCTCTGGCCCTCCCAAATCTATCTCCAACCTCCACTCATCAACATACACCTTCAGCCTTCAATCCCCGGACACTTCATCATATGAATATATGTATATATTCGTCGGTATATCATGACTTGAGGTGTCACAGCTATATTTTGAAGATCGACAGCTTGCTCATGTTACGTCGAATTGCTTTGGTGATGCGGTAAATTTTATACGGAGAAGGAGGCAGAGGAGTAGGTACAGAGTTGTTGAACTACCAACGACGGAAATTCAAGCCCGACTTAGGAATTGAAATCATGTTACGTTGGACAGGAGAAAAATTCAGTACGACGCAAAATAAATATGACGGCACGACATGGGCATGAAGTGTCAGTACGTAGATATGTAAAAGAGTACATAGAGACGAGACGATTTAAACGACCGACCTAGAGTCCGGCCCAAAACGGAGTAAATCAAAACAAAACAAAACAAACTACCCGAACCGGTAGAATATCACTATCAACTCCCCTCGCCATCGAAATACGTACAGATAAACTGATGGCAAGACTTACCTCATACCCCTCTGTTCAGCATATTCATCTCACCTCTCACCCATCACTCCTCAGAACTCAGTACACACTCCTCACCCACCCACCACCAAACACGTCATCCAGCTCACCGTCCTCCCTCGGGCGGGCAGTCCATAAGCAAAGAATGCAGCTACAAGTAGCTACACGTAGCTAGCTAGCGACAGTAAACAAGCCCGCCCTCAAGTCATTTCCATATCATACCGCGTGTGCTAACCTGCCTCGCCATTCTCTCTCTCTCTACGGACAGCATAGCACAGTACAGTACAGTACAGTACAGTACTCATCGGCACTGGTGCCTGCCTGGCCGAAGCATAGACGTCACCAAGCACAAGCTCGAGATGATGTTGATGATGATTAAAAGACTCACTCTCACACTAACTCACTCACTCACTCCCTCACTAACTCACCGTCTCCTCTTGTTTCCGTACACCGTTCATTCCAATCCAGTCCAGTCCAATCCAGTCCAGCCCAATCTAATGCAATGCAATGCAACCATTCCACTCAACGCAACCAATACACCAATGTAAACCGAGCCAAGCCAAGTCAAGCAAACAAACAAACAACGATCCGAGTCCCCTATCCGATGCTAAATATTCAAATCTCCAATCATCCAATCATCCAAGAAACCTCCCCGTGCCGCGCTGCCGCCCCAAAATAAAATCCTCACAACAAACGCCAATACCGCCGCTCGAATCACGGGCAACCAGAAAAGCAGAAAGCAGAAACGCAGAAACATGAATAAACCCCCCAAAATCGCCAAACCCAAAGAAAGAACAGACCAGACCAGACCAGAAAAAAAAACTGTAAATAAACCAACCCAAAAACTAACCAAAAACCACAAGCAATTTCTTTGGGCAAACTAAAAACACATCCGAATCCGAATGAAACGTAAACAGAAGGCATACGCAAAACAATGCAGAGTCGAAGCGGCGGTCAACGAACCTTCGTTCAATTTCAATTCAATATGGGAGGGCGGGCGCCATCGCATCGACATCGCGCGGTTGCCGCCCGCCAACTTCGCTAATTCGGCTAAAAAAAAAAAATCTAAACCAAAACAAACCAAACCAACACAATAACAAAACCATTTTCCTGATTGCTGCATCCTGATGTTGCCAGGCTGGCTTGTCACGGGGTCATTTTCTGCTCGAAATTTCAGGCAGGCAGGGCATGTGGTGGAATGGAATGCTCCGCGGAATACCCAGTTCAGTTCAGTTCGGTTCAGTTCAGTTCAGTTCTCATGTGCCTCGCTATGCCTCGCTATGGCTACGCGATGGTAGGCGAGCGACGGGCGGTATGCACGGCACGGCACTGCAACTGCACTGCACTGTAACTGCAATTGCTAATGCAGTTCCTGCACTGGTCTGGCTCTGCTGGGAGTTTGTGAGCCTGTAGCCTTACACCCACCTACACCACCTACTTCCCTTCCACCTTACGTTTGGTTTGGTTTGGTGCTCTCTCTTTCCCGACGGATGCAAGTGAGGGTGGTCTCAGCTAGACAAGGAAGGGAAGAGAAGGGAAGGTTATGTGCATGCATGCATCGGACTTACCTACTGTATAGGAATAGGAATAGGAATAGGAATGGGAATGGGAAAGGGAACTAGAATTGTAAATGGAAAATGCAATAGTATACAATAGAAGGAAGGAAGGGAGGGAATCCCAAAAAGAAAAAGAAAAGGTTGGCAGACACGAGCGATGTAACGAACGGCATATCCCATTGCCACACGATCATGCAAGAAATGGTGGTGATGTGAGGTGATACCTCCGGAGGATGAGAGTAGGTCGAGATTGAGGGTTTCTGTGGCGGTGTGAGACACCTAAACTAGCTCACTAGGTCGGAAGAACCCACTAGTAGGTCGCTAATGCCGACCTAGTTCGACAGCGTTTCCAGTATTACCTACCCCGATATCATCTACCGACTTGAATTTTTACCATTCAAGCTGAGCCCCCCCCCCCTCCTTCGGCGTCAGCAATATTTGAGTAGTTGGAATGACCCCCCTCCCCCAAGAATCAATCCGGAGATCTACCGAGCCGTGCCGTGTATGTATTCGAGGAGAATCTGGCTGACCGGCCGGAAAAATTGGAATTACTCCCCTCCCCTCCCCCATCTTGACTACTGAGATACAGTACCAGTACAGATATGAATGAATGAATGAAAAATCGACAATGACCACATCAATTTGAGTTTCATTTCATGCACGAGATGCGTTTACTGTAAATTTACTTGAGAAAACTTCTTCGCGCCTAGTAGTTAAAAGGTCAGCCAGCAACAAAACCACCACCTAAATCTAAATCCTGGCTCGCCTGAGCGTTGGCTTGGAAGAAGGGGGACGACGGTGGAGTTTACAGATAACCAAATGGAACAGGGAACTGACTACTGAGGAATTAAGAAAATCTTCGGAGCGAAGATTTGAGCCCTACTCGTATACAAGGGTCAGTCATCTGATTAAACATCCAATGAGGAAACAATACAGTACCAGCATCTAGTCTATCTAGACGACGATGACGAGATCTCGGTACTGTACTGAACGAAGTTTGAGCATGAGCATGAGCTTGCCTTGCTCTAAAACACATCTGGATGCCGTTCCGAAAACCTTCAAACAATAATAATGAGATCGGCTGCAAATCACGAATACGCTAAGCATGGACAATTTTTCTTTCTTTTTCTGGGGTTATATCTTTTGGGATGGAAATTTTCCCTTTCGGGGGACCAGGGAGGGGTAGCCGGAACTTCCGGCGCGTTAAAGGTGGAAGTTCCGGATTTAGCAGACTGTACTCGAGTACCCCGTGACGAATAATAGTACCGGTCTATGAGCCGTGACAGCCAACCACATTACGGGAGACAGTAGTACTGTGTAGTGACGGTGTGCGATCTGCAGCTAGCTGCTACTGTACGGGGTCGAAAGCCAGCCGTGTTGTAGTTGCATCGGCTTGTAGTAGTTGTGGCTTGATCTGAGCCATGTGCCAGAAGCGGTAGAAAAGCCACATACCCACAGTAACTCGGGCGAGTTTTGGTTCTGACGCTAAAGCACAGCATCGAGAATAATGGGACACTGAAACTGTAAATTTAGGCTGTAGGAAACATCCGTGCGGGTCGGTAGTTGGAGATTACTTGCTCATTTCGTAAATTGTGGAAACCAACTGCTGCTTAGTCGAATGAATGACGCTTTCAATCCGGTATGAGCTTCTGATCATATCAGTGTGGTGTGATGAAGAACCACCGCCTGATCGGCGATTGAGGTCCATCGGCGAAGAAGTATGTGACGCGTCGTTCAGGAAAAAAAAAAAGACGAGGCGAGGATGGATGAACGGAAAAGATCTTGTCTAATTGAAAGCTCCAAAGGGGACACGGCTCAGAAGGTGGTGGTATGCTTTAGTATGGCCGATGGCCTACTAGGTTAAGCGATCGCAAAATTCCCAGATCAGACATATCGCCGTCGCCGTTTCTTCGGCAAGTGGGGGCGGCACAGCATGGTCTTTCCGAATAGTTCGCGCGACTGTTTGAGAACGTTCTTCGCGTCTTCTGCTTCTCTGGTGGGTGGTTTCCATTCGTTATGCCATTCGAGACTCGGGAGTTAGTGCTTAGCAAACAGACGGTTCAAATACTGGTTTCGGAGGCTAAAATACTGAGTCAAGATGGTGTGGAAGCCGGCTCGGTAAACTCGGATATCGGCCGAGTACGAAAAAAACGGTCCGGGCAATGATGCGAAAATAGGCTCAAGCGCTCGGCAATAAAAATGTCGGCCGAGTCTCAGTTTTGGGATGTTTGGTTTGAAGCACTAATTTCACTTCCTTGAAACCCTTATAACAGAACGATATGCTGGCATTTCATTTTTCATATTCCGAATTCGGTCTTAGTTTGCCACATAGGCGACCCGTGCAGGTGATACTCGGGATGTGGGGCGACGAGCCATGGCACTGGAGTTCGATTAAGCTTTCATGTCGTTGGTCGGCGGTCTCCTTGCAAGGGCTTGGGTTGCGGATGAATATTCATTATCCGACCCACCATTGTCAAGCAGGGGACATATCCGGGCGGCATGCGGTTGCTGTGATGGACCTGAGGAGGTCATCAAATGAATCCATTGTGCTGAACTTCACAAGTAGCGGAGTGAGGTGAACTCGAGAAATGAAACTACAGCGAAATTGCGGAAATCTCCAATGTACACAGACGGAAGCTCATTCAATTTGCAAAATTTTCGGCTTTTCCGGTGTCTCAAAGTTTAATAGACAGTTATCCAAGGATGGAAATAGTTGTGGGTACAATAATCACCACAGGGCCGCCCGCGGTTGCGGCGACTAATGGTGCAGGCATCATAGTGAGAGGCAGGGTTTCGTGGGTGTCGTAGGTGGGGAAAGGTGGGGAAAAGTATGATGGTTGGACCAAGGAAAGCTAAACTCAAAAACTATCAGTTTTGAGCAACCTGCAGAACATAGAACGCATGATGCGTAGTATGGTCAGTTCTTGGACATGGGAAACGCGCACGAGGCGTGTCGCAGATAAGATGCAGTGAAAAAAGCCATGGCTAACTGCCAAGCACAAAGAAATGACGACGAAGGTGGCATGTTCTTGGAGATTCTGTGTATATTCCGGAAAGTCAGCCCGGTGGCGTCAATGACATCTTCTTGAGGTTCTCATAGGACTTTCTCCCATAGTGCTCGGATTTCACTGACGAGAAGCATAATATCGTTTCCGAAGGTGTACCTTTCGTACATCTCATGTCGAAACGTCACAAGCCAAAAAAAAAGTTGCGGCAAGGCTTCTAGAAAAACTTTGCATGAGGCAAAGACAAGGCACTGCTTACTTGCAAGGAATGTTTACATGGGCCGTGATCCGTTGCCAGGATGAGACTTATTCTTTGGAATGGTTGGGTTTTGGCTCGGCGTTCGGAATTGATTCGAATCTGAGCCAAGTTTGGATTGCAAACGAAACCATGTATCTAGCATCTGCCATGTGGTGATGTTTAGAGCTTTTGGTGTTGTCAAGGCCTGAATCAAATCCCGTGAGGCTCGGCAAAATATCCGTAAACCTTGAGAATTTCAGTTCCCGGCACATCGTGCCAGTGCCGCAAGCTTGGAAATTTTGAGTTTCGATGGAAGGTTGACGCGACCGCCGCAACTGAATCGCCGGGGTATGTGGATCGAGTTACTGTAATGTAACCTGGGGTAATTGATGAGATAGAACATTCCGTTTTGGCAAGACACCAGATGGCATGATGGCATCGTTGAAGCCAATCCAAATCGCTGTGAGCCGTCCGTGTTTTCGTTTTAGAAGCGACCCATACATCGCGTAAGCAATAACTATCCAAGTCCGAATCTAGTGAATAACCGGAAAACCTTGGAGATGATTTGCGTTTGAGACGTCGCGATGCTGTGCTGGACTGACCTGCGAGGCTCGAAACTCGGAACAAAGCCGAACAATCTTTTGCTGTCGCGGAAAGAAACCCGAGAGGCTCGTCGAGGGGGTCAGTACGTGCTATCGGGACCGAAAGTCTGAAGTGATCTGTGATGTGGAGCCTTTCAAACGAGCGGAGGGCTCCTCGTTCCCACCTGCCTTGGCGCAACTCCATCATTCATTCCCATATGGTGTCGAAGCGGATCGTTCCAGTTGAATCGTGACATCCCATGACCGTCTCATGGAATTCCGATGCCGATGCTTTCAACAGTAAGCGAGTTCATGTTGCTCGTCTCGGGGCGTCGTCCAATAACAAGTTTGGTACTCAAATAAACTTCCGGGAAGATTTTGCTGTGGAAGAACTCTCATGAGATGCCATAAATAACCTTCTTCTAGGGCCGATTCTGGCGGTAGATCAATGATCCGAATTCCGCAATACTGTTGCTTTCGTCTCGAAGCTTTGGTGAGCTTGGACTCGAGTCCTCGGGGAGGAGGCTCCTTAGGCATATGCTGTTGAGGACACAACCCCCAATGCGCGGAAGTCACCCTCGGGTATGGATGATTCAAGCGACTGAGCTCACAGCGTACTTCGAGTATAAGACCTGTGCAGATTCCTTCGTCTTGTTCGAAGTACTCTTCGTTCATGTCATTCAAAAGATCCTGCTGTCGTTTCCTCCGACGATACCCGCCTCGGCAAACGTTCAAATAAAGTATTCCTCGTCGCGAGGATTCAGACCTACAAGGCCTGCGTAGCCAGTGTGTGATCTGAGCACATGACCCTCTTTTCCCGCGATGTCCTCCTCCCTGAGAATGAATTATGGCGCCTTGCGCGGCTACCAGATTGAATGACATAACAAACTCGCGGTCTCGACAAATTGCGGTGAAGGGGTTGGCAGTGAGTGTGCATTTTTGAGTTATCCAAAGTTCCCTTCAGAAACCAATATGCAAGGTCAAATCGTGACCAGGAAATCAACTCATAGAATACCAGCCACAAAGCCCTTGGCTACCAACCAGGCATGGCATCAGAGTACCTGGGATTTAGTCCAAAGAATTTTCCGAAAGCGCGTTATGTTTAGAGGCAGCAGTGGAGAAGGCAGGGGTGCTTGCATCAAGTCAGGACGAGACTGTGCTGATATCAGATACAGGCCGCCAAATTCTCCTACCAAACGAGATCCCAAATCTCGAGATAGACTTCTTCCACAACAAGGCGAAGAACTCCAGTAGAAACCCCATTACCCAGGCACATATCGGCTCGAACTCGAAACCGTCCGTGCATCCTTTGGATGGTTGTCCTGAGTTGCTGTTTGGTCTCTCCAGGTATAAGAAAACAAGGCTTGAAGCGTCAACTCATGACCAGTCTTGTAAATTAGTTCAAGGAACCGCTGTTTGGTATTCTCTAGTTGGAGCCAACATGCTCAAATAATAGGCATTGGCCTATGTATCGACTTGTTTGTTAGTTGCGATTTGTTCGCGAGTCATATCTAATGAAGGGAGAGCACAGTTGGTGGTCCGACATCAACGGAGGTCTGTCCGCAACGAATCATGAGCATCATCTGGGAGTGTAAGCTTGGCCTCTGTATGATCCGTGATCTCCTTACGAGTACTGCAGTATTTCTGACGGTATCAAGCTGAAGCGAAATGCAATTGGATTTTGGAAGCTTAGCAGTTCTTCCACGGGTGTTCTAGTCGTCGACTAGTGTCCAAGCTTAATCCATGAGGCTTCGACGGTGTGTTCTATTCTGGCGCGTGCCCTTGAAACACAGCCTACCTTTAGCGAATTATTATCGCCGGCTGACGAGTATGTCGAAGACTTTTCCGAGTCCTTGCACACCGCATTCCACATGGCGCCAAAGTTCAAACGCGTTCTTATGGACCAATCGTGAGGTTAGATGTGTAGGGCGCACCGACGAAATTTGCTCACACCAGCCTCTCTGCCAGGACTTTGGGCAGTTTGATGTTTAGTCTGCGAATGGCGCCTGAGGTAATAGGGCCTTGTCTAGCTTTACCTCAGAGTGTTCTCGAAACGGTAGAACAATGCGACTCGTAAGGCGGTGAAAATTGGGTTGAAGATGAGGTGGATCTCGGTCGTAGGGCTGGTGTCCTGCTGTTGAAGATCCGGCAGAGAGCGAGGGATAATGCCTCAGCGTCTTGTGCATTGCTGTGCATTGTTGTTCATCGCTACCGGGCAAGTATTAATTTCAATCAACCACAGCCTCGCCACGCCTATGAGTGATGAGATCCTCCGCTACACTTGTAATTGGTCCAGCAAATCGAATGAATACAGCTGATATGGATCACATCGTCATCATCCCAAGCCCACCGTCATTTGCCGTCCTTTACCGCTCATTATTTGAAGCCTCGCGACCACTGGCGAGCCTGATTGGGTGTGCGATGGGCGATGGTGAGATGAAGCCCAGGGAGGTCAGGTTGGTGTGTGGATCGTAGGTGAGGATCAAGGGTTGACGGCTCAATATCACTGGTGGATGGATGGGATGGGAGAGGAGAAGGATTAAGTGCACGGGGAGTGGTGCTTCTTCGGGTGACGAAGTAGTCGAAGCCTGGTGCTGCGCTGTGCTGTGCTGTGCTGTGCTGCGCTGTGCTGTGCTGTGCTGTGCTGCGCTGTCCTGTGCTGTGGCAGAGGAGGAAGACTCGAGCGAGGTCTTGGAAGGGAAGAAGCAAAGGGAAGGGAAGAGCTGCCCTGGGCATTCGTCGCTCGCTTGTGGGCCCCGCATCTTTTTGTGGCCTAGCGGGACCTTGGCAAACCTTAATTCATCTGCACTGCTGTCCAAGGGCCAATAAATAAGCGCGCTAAGGAAGAATATCGGCAAACAACACGATTGGCTTGCTGTGATAGGCAGTAGTGGGTGGTGGCCCTGGTGGGGCGCCAACAGGTGGGGAAGGCCAGGGTTGAGGGTGAGGGTGAGGGTGAGGGTGAGGGTGCGTCAGGAGGGCCAGGGTGAGACAGCCGTTTCCAGATCTTCCACACTCCTCCTCTCGTCACTTCCTGCTGCTGCTGCTGCGGTGCTGCTTGAAAGCTCATGATGATCCCGGCTCTTTATTTGGACACTCAGTATCAGGTTTTCTCGATGCGTCGCATGGCATGGTAGGCATTGTAGTCATGGGCAAGATAAGGCGTGGAATGATGCGATCTGGCGTCAGAAGAATACTTGCACTTGAAATGGATGGACTCATGAAGTCGAGGGTCCGGGATGATCTAAACAGTCTGAAGCCCACCGCCTTCCTGTTGTAAATTTACGCACGCTTGCTCGGCTTGGCTCCAGGCACACGCCGCGCTAGCTCTGCCTGCCCCGCGGCCCCTCTTCCAGTGCAGGACTCGATACGGCTAGCAAATACCGACATTCAGTTCAGTCAGTGTGATGTGCATCCAGCTGGGACTGTTGGGTTGGTGCAGGAACGTCGGTGAATTATCATCTCACAATCACAATCTTCAGCATGAGCCGGACCCGAAAGAATTGCTACATTCGGATGTCATCCTGGCTGTGCTCGCCTCGAAGCCATCCCTGTCTTGTTGTTTTCTCCTCCTCCTCTCCTCCTCTCCTCCTTGTTCATGTCGATGGATGGATGTGCAATACTCCTCTCCTCACCCCTGTTGGACCCTGCCTTCTGAGCAACGCCACCCTCGACCCTCCACCCTCCACCCTCCACCCTCGAGCTAATACAGTACCAATGATCCAGAACTGGATTGCCCAGTGCCATTCAGCCCGTCGGCTCTTTTACCAAAATTCGCCTAGACAGTGCCGAAAATTAAGGCAAGAGAAGGAAGTTTACGGCTTCGCCCTTGTTGCGCAGCAACAACTTGCGCTGGTATTATTCTCATCAAAATCTCTGTCTTACTTTACTACTGTACTGTACTAAATTTATTCAAACACCGACATCCAGGATCCGCCCATCAACAATACAGTAATAATCAAATCAACCTTCGACCATCAAGGCTGAACTTACCGAGCTAGCTCCCTTCTCTTCCCAGCTAAGGTGCTTAGAGTTGAACCTAAATCGGCCCCCTGTCGTGGCTTCATCTTCATCCCCTTCCCCTTCCCCTTCCCCTTCCTCGCTCTCCCATGATCCCATCCCATGCAAACACTACTGTACATGTACTGTACTTACGTTTGCCCTTGGCTCTGGGTCTAACGCCGCCGCCTCGTAGCCAGAGCTGTCCCTGCCCGCCCCGCCCTAGCCGTTTCTGTCCCAAACGCTTCTTTCAGGTTTCTAACTTCTGTCGATGTCTGCAGTGCTGCACCCTGACTGCCTGAGCCTGAGCCTGAGCCTGAGCCTGAGCCTGAGTGAGGAGGGATACGGCGCTTACGGAAAGGGCGAGGGAGCAGTGTCCGGGTCCGATATGATGAGATTTGCTGATCCCGAAGATGGACCTCCACCATGCCCTGCCATGCCATACCATACCATACCTCCATACCTTTCCTTACCTTCCTAACCTAACCTTCCTTGACCACCAACACTACGCCACGGCCTCTGGTGCTCCCTCCCTCCCTCCCTCGCTCCCTCCACCACACCACACCACACCACCATTCCAGAGCCACACTAACAGCTATCAACCTCACTTTCCAGACCTGATTCATGTCACCCCTAAATCCCCGACATGTGCGAGCCTCGCGCCGTTACCGTTGCCCGGCGTTTCTTACAACATCAAAGCCATCCTAAGCTATCCCTCTCCCTCCACCACCTTCTCGAGGGATATATACTCCTTCGTATCCACTCCTTCGACCATCTTCAAACCTGCCCCGCATACCATATTTGAAAAGCCTCATCACGCGGAGACTTTAGACCACCTTCGACCCATATTTCAGATCCATCTCTGAAGCACGTCCCTGCCAGTGGGACATTCCCCGTCTTACGCGTAGGAATTGGGCCACCTTCAGTACGACATATACCATATCTCCACCTCTCTCTCCTCTTTATCCTCTTCCTCCTCCTCCACATCACTGTCGCCGCACGACTCATTGCCATGACAAGTACATCAACTATTACAGCCGCCATGACAAGCAACAGCTCGAACAGCCCCATTCCTATGGACGAGGAAGAACCGCGGAAGAAGGGTATGTTATGCTAGACATCTCCTGTCGTCTCGTTTCCCTTGACTACAGATGTTGACGATATGCCATAGGTTCTCGTGGTGGTAAGAGGTCGGTCACACACCTCAGTAAAGCCCAATTAGCACGCAAGCGCGCCAACGATCGAGAGGCGCAACGGAACATTCGACAGAGAACAAAGGAACATATTGAGAATTTGGAGCGGAAGGTAAAGGAGTTGGAGCAAGGCAGTCATGCTGGGAGCATTGAGAGAGTCCTCAAGAGGAACAGGGAGCTGGAGGAAGAGGTTGAGAAGCTTCGGGCACAGATTACTGGACACCATACACCCATTACTGGACATCACACACCAGTCCTCGGTGTTCAACCACCTCCCGACCTCCCAGATGATTTGATGGTGCCTCAAAAGGTCGAGTTGGACTGGGCGCCAGGCTCAGCCGCCTGCGCATGGCCTCAACCTGTGTCACATCTGCCTGTGTTGAGCAGCAACCAGCACAATCCAACTTCTAATGGCGCATACTCGTCAACCACTTCCTACCCAGCAACAACCTCATCTATGGGATATGATGACGAGGGCTCAATCTACACACCAGAGAGCTGGGGTAGTCCAGCCCCATACGGTGGAGGTCCACAGACCACCACTCAGACCATGTCCAAGTCTGTCCCAGCCTGGTCACCAATCGACCCAACCTTCTCTCACCACCAGCAGTCTTCACGCTTCCCTGATATGCAGATGTCTGGCTTCAGCGATGTAGTTAGCCAGCAAACCTATAGCTCAACATGTTGGCAAAATCAGCCGCAAATCTACTCCTGGCAGATGTCTACCAAGTTGAAGTCACCCGTCACTTATCTAGACCAACTAATGCACAGCGTCATCCATGCCCAACGACACCTCTTTGCAACAAATGAGGCTGCCCGAGAGGAATTGGTAGGGCCATCCTTCCCCTCCGTCCACATCCTCTTCAACCAGCCCGGCCCACCCGAGAAGACACCCTCGCCCATGACCAAACTCATGGAGAAATACGCCCTCGTCCTCAACACCCGCGGCTTCCCTCTCATCCCCGAAAAAGTCGCCTCCTTCATGTGCATGTACAGATTCATCGCATGGCAGATCTCCCCCTCCTACAGCACGTACAACAATCTCCACGAATGGCAGACTCCCCGACCCTCACAGCTCATGATCCCGCACTGCGCGTGGATGGATCTCCCTCCCTGGGGCAAGTTCCGGGATCGCGTGATTGAGAACCAGGAGAAGTACGACACGCCTGAGTTCCAGCGGGATTACAGCGAGAACTTCACGGTCAACTTCCCTTGGGATCCCATGAAGGCGCTGATGTTTGAGAATGGTCGCATGTTGATCTCTCCTGTGCTGGAGAGGCATCTGGGCGATATCGGGAATATGAGTATGAAGAAGGCGTTTGGGGATAAGTATCCTGAGTTTAGGGATGTGTGTAGGATTGATGAGGTGTGAGGGTGTTTTACTTCTTCTCCTCCTAACCTCCTGGACCTCCTCGAGTTTTTTAACGACGATAAGGAGGATGGGGAGATCTACGGAATTGTCTGCTTTGCTTTGCAGTACATATAATGATGCGACGACAACTGTTCAAACTGTTTTTTTGATATCAATTTGCTTTTTTATCTTCTTCTTTTTCCTATTCTCTCATCCCCGGCGTCTGGCCTGGGAATGGGAATGGAGATGTGTGTCATGCAACACGGCGTTCCCGTTTTTTCTTTTTTTTTCTTCTTCTTTTCTTCTCTTGTTCTCTTTCTCGATCAATGGATTACAAGATCTCGAATTATCGGATCGGACTGGTTCGGACTGGATCGGATTGGATTGTATGCGTATCAGCACAACAGAATGTAGGATTATCAGATTTTTCTGGGGGGTCTCTGGGTGGCAATTTGAATGGGATTTGGAATATGGACTCGGGACCGAGCCGGCGAGCTCGGGCTGGCTGCCTGGATGGCGGGCTGGCGTCATGTATCTATCTATCTATCTACCTACCTACCTGTCTATGGCTGAGATGTATGTATCTATGGCTGAGCTGAGCTGAGATGAGATGATGATGATGTGACGCGTGCTCTTGGTTGGGCCTGGCCTGGCCTGGCTTATGTATGTATGCATTGGTTTGGCGTTTTTTTTTACTGGACTCGCCTGTGGATGAATGAATGGATGGATGAATGAATAGATGAGATGGATGGTTGGCATCATGGCTGTGAATACCTTAGGGTGGGCGGGCTTTGTCTGTGTGTGTGTCTGTGTGCTCTGTTTGTGGTTATGTAGTGTTAGGATGATGAACATTGATCTGTCAACAATATAGATGGATGGATGGATGGATGGTTGGTTGGAGGTACTAGCTAGGTAGGTAGCTAGGTAGCTAGCAGACTATGAAATCGAGAGGCTTTTGAAGATGACTGATATGAGATATTGCATCCTTGGTGATTTGTGAAAGGCTAATCGGCCTTTTATTAGTTTTTGGAAAGCTTTTTTTACTTTCCTCCTTCCTCCCTCAAAGTGAAATATTGGTTTTTCCTTGTCATGATACCTACCTACCTACCTACCTACCTACCGACTGTATCGTATCGTATCGTATCTTACCTGTCGCGGATTGACGACACACTCACTCTCTCTCTCTCTCTCTCTCTCTTTAGGATCAAGATTCATTCTGTCGTGTCGAAAATGAGCGTTTCTCGTTTTTACAGCAGGGAAATGGAAATGAGCTTCAATCTTCCGACTCCCTTGTGCTCTACTACACTACTACAGGATATGCTATGCCATAAGACTAGGTTCAGATAGGTAGGTAGGTACGTTCCTCGCCTTCCTCGCCTGCTATCAGTTGATTCTTTCACGTGTGGCATGACGTCTCAGTGTTTTGTTGTGGTTATTATATAGGGATCGGTAGAGATGTAGAGACGTAGAGATGTGGAGATTTAAACATGTATTTTTTCGTCTTATTTTACTCAGTGTTCGTGTACCTAGCTAAGTGTGAGAGTACCTTAGTTGATCAGTTGGTAGAGGATCACTTGATAAGTTGATCGCATTGGATATGTAGCACCGCTTCCTCACCTACCGTTCCAAGTTCGTTTGATTTGAGAGTCGTTCAGCAAGTCTCATCTGTGTGATCTCAGCTTCGGCTGCATTTATCGTTTATATGAAAGAGAAAGCAAAAGAAGGGAGATGGTCTGCTCTGAGACTGCGGATGGGTTAGGTAACTCACGTGATTGTGTGAGGTAGGTGTGGGGTCACGTCAGGTTATGCTTGCGTGGCTGAGCTGGAGAGTTCCTGGGTTATGGTGTATATATACCCTTCTCCTTTGTTCTGTAGAATTGCAGACCAGCCAAGTCATGGCAGAGCAAAGGCAAGGGGAAGAATGACGAAGATGATGCGGTCTACAGGTAGTGTCCCGTCGATGGGTGAAGCGTGGTGGGTGCTGAAGCCTCAGGGACTCAGATCAGAAACAGGTTAAAATTTGGAGAGAATGAGAGCTATGAGTTGAGAATGAGGGAGTTCAAGCGTTGGGAGCGGGAAGTATGTGGAATTTGAAGGAATGGCGATAGCAAGCTTGATGACAGAGAGTGGATGGTAAATCGACGATTGGAAAGAAAGATTCAATCCAGCACCTGAGAATTTCGAGATCGAGACTTGTTTTTCTTTAAGGTTAAAAGGGTGATACGGGTTTTTAAGCCAGGTGGAATACAATCTATTCACAACATGTTTGGGCTCAGCCTTTACAATTGCAAGAGCTCAGCTCCCAGACCACATGACACATTCCTGTATTTCCCTGATGGTTCCTGGAGACGACTACTGAGGTGGGTGGTGGGGGATTTTGTACTTGAATAATGGTCCTTGGAAGTCAATACTGGAAGTCGATTGTTCATTTCTGGCTCTACATGGAACCCAAAGGTTGGAGTGAATTGATTTATGGGTTGTTTACTTGCTCTGTCCGGTGAGTGGGTGACTAAGCGAGTGATGAAAAATGTCGCAGTGTTTTTTGACTCAGGGAGGGCATATAAACAGTGCCTTCGTCGATGAATAAACGGACCAGGCGTACAATAGCCGAATACAATCGGGTCATGGTGCTGCTGTGAGAGATGGCACAGCTTCCAAGAAAGAGGTGGAGGCTGGCATTTCGCAAGTGGCTCGATGGAGAGAACGTGGACTGCCAGGATTGAGAAAAACTTAGGAAGGAGCGTCACTACCTACTAGTGAGTTCATGAGAAGTGAGACGCATGAGAGTTTGACAGAAGGTATTGAGTCGATGGTGAAAAAAACCTCGAGAGTGGATTCTTCACTTCAATTGACGTATCACAGTAGCATTCTTGCGCTGAAATTCGACTGGAACTGGTAATACTATATGTCGGATCCAATGCCTATAACATCAAGCTTCTGTACCCTTTTATCGCCTATCACCTTCCAACCTCCCCCCTTGTTCTTTCAACCGATCGGGAAGAATGCAGGTAATGGTACTTCGTATCCCACTTTGGTCAAGGTGGATACGACCACTTTTGTTCGGCGAGCTCCACAACTCGTCTTCAGCGGGGGGATTTATTGAATGCCATTCATTCGATACAGAGACGAGCCCCTGACGATATGCAGACGACCCCCCCCCCCCCCTCAACTTGACTAAGGTATGAAAATCGGCGGTGAGTGTCAAGCTCAGCGCGTGTGTTCAAGGTCTATTTAACAAACGCCTGGTTAGGTGGTTAGTTTGTAACTACGAGCCTACGAGTAGTTGCGGCGTTAGGATTAGGGCTAGGATTAGGGCTAGGATTAGGGTTAGGTGTTAGAGTAGGAGTTAGCAGGATACCTTTGAAATTCGGACTCCTTACAGAGGCAGATAAAATGTAAGTACAGAGGTAGATTCTGAGGATTCTGCCGCATTTAATGTGTGGGGGGGGGGGGTCGTCTGCATATCGTCAGGGGGTCGTCTCTGTATCATCCCTCTTTTTCTAGAGCGTTTAGGGGGGGGGGGTTCTCTAGGGGGTAAAGATCGCACGCTGGCTCTGAGTGGACGGGACACTCAGTTGAAGGGCCTTGGCACCCACAGCAGGGATGAGCGGAAATCTCGTATTTAGCATCTCCAGCGGATTTATGCAGCTAGGCCTTACACCACAGGAAAGAGTTTCCGTAGAGAAATGAGACTTCGCTTTCCCTTCCTTCAGCTCAAACTCAGGTTCGCTCCCCTTTGTGTCTTCCTGAGTTCATCCTCAGTCTCATCGGTGAAAGTAAACATGGCGATCATAAGCGAGGCTTGGGTCACCCTTTTGGCTTTCGAATGCGCGATCACCGAGGGAACTCTTGCAGTAAATGCGGTGAAGACGTACATCCAATATCGATAATTGAGATATCTCAAAGGACCTTTGGCTAGCAGCATCGAGGGATCGATGGTACGCGAGGTGCGCGTTTGAGATTGGACCCGAGAGCCCTGCGCTTTTGAGCGACATGTGCGATCACTACGGTGCGTATCTCTTTCAAGAACGAGAGATGAGTAGCTTAGTGATTTAATGTAGTCTGGCTCAGATGGCGCCCAGTGTTTTGATCACCACGTTACAGGAATTGATTATGAGAATGGCCGCTTGATTTCAATTTGTAGCAATCACTCGAATTTGGGTGTACCTTGCAACACCGCCAACCTTTAGCGGATGCTGTAATCGATCGCTAATGATTCGAGTCAAAAACCTATACACCCAAATTCTTTACTTTATCTTTTGTGAGAGAGAGAAACTCTTCACAAATTTTGCAGAGGTTATGAGAATAAATGAATGAAATTACTTGTGACAATGCTGATGGTTGGAGGGAATGTCGCTTACGTAAGCCCCTCAACGTCGTCCAACAGTTTCAAAGTTGGAACTGGACGTGAAACCACCTCCATACTCAAGACCATCTTCATGACATCCCTGTTTCGAATTGGACAGGTTCTTAAAGGGAGATTAGGAAGGTACATCATCACGAAAGAAATCCAGGATACTGTCTGGTTCGCAAAGTACGTTTTAATTCAATCCTCTGCACAAGATGCATAACCTTCTACTAACCCCGCGTAGGAACCAGGTAGAGGAAGCTGTAGTCATTAAAGGCGTCCAAGGGCATCCACGCGTGGAAAATGAGCGAGATGTCCTCAAACGCTTCCAAGACCGGACTCCTTACCTACGGCCTCTGATCGACGAGATTGAAGAGCCATCAGAGCCTGCAACGATTGTGTTCAAGTATCTCGAGGATCATCTACTGAATGCTTCGATTCAGAAGACTCTGAACCGGAAAGAACTGAAATATGTTTCACGGCGCATACTTGGAGCATTGAAGGGTGCTTTACGATGAAGGCTATGTGCACACAGGTAAGAAGTCTACCCTGCATCTTGCCTAGAACACTACTGAATTCATCGTTGAAGATGTCAAACTCGACAATATCCTTGTAAATTACAGCGGTGGAGATATCCGGTTCTCTGATGTCCAACTTGGTGATCTCGGGGTCACGTATCGTGAAGATTCCAAGTACGCCAAAGCAGGGACTCCAGTTGGGGCTCCTATGTGGTCTAGCCCAGAAATCATTATGGAAACTCCTTGGAATACTGCGACAGATATCTGGTCATTTGGAAGTGTGGTACGTTACGATCCCAATTTGCAAGGAAATGAAGAGTTCTAACACACCATTGCAGGTCATCAGTCTTATCTACGGCGGAAACTTCAACCTTTTCCGCCCCAAGACCGTGTCTTACGACCATGAAGAGTACGGGTTAGAGGTCCTCAAAAGGCAGTTCCGATACTTCGGCCCATTTCCGGCGAAATATGAAGAGATTGCGAGTCCAGAGACTGTTGCAGCGATTCTGTATCTCATCGATGAGATTCCTCAGTCACAAACGACTCCGTTTGAAAGAACGACGGAAAGAGAGGTCGGCAAGAAGGATAAAGAGTTTCTTGGACAAATCATGAAGTTAGATTGGAGGGACAGGCCGACCGCGGGGGAGCTGTTGGAGAATGAGTGGTTTAAGGAAGATGAGGAAGATAAGACCCTGACCTGAACTTAGCTTCAACGTTGAGGCTTCGGTTTACGCATCAGGACTTTCTAGGTACTTATACTGTGGCAGGCCCACCTGATTTTACCTATTGCGGTGCAAATTAGTCACGTTACCAAGTGCATCTGGTGGCGGGACTTGGAGATTTCAAGCCGTCATTCGAGTGACACAGCACACACAACAATGAAACTTCCGCTAATTATGAAAACTACGCTCTTGAAAGAGATTCTATCTAATCTATTCTTTTCTACGATCTTTATTTGACAAATCCCGCGCCTCATATGTCATACCTTGCGACTTGCTCAAACAAATTCCTTGTATCATAGTATTTCATATGTCGTGAATGCTACTTCTCTTGTTGCGTGAGTACCTGGAGATTGTCCCGCCACAATACGATGAACTGAATAATGTGTACTCGTCAGGTGTGAACAATCTTGTGTAGCATGGCTTCGTTGCACAACTGCTCAGGCTGTCATCGTTGTTATCTCTGGCATCTCAAAGTTACGTGCTTGAAGCAGGGCTTTAATGCATGAATAGAACAAATTAAGTTTCAGGGAATTGCTATATATACGGACCGAATCTCTGTCAAGATACTGACTTCAGTATTTTGTAGCTACAGCAATGCTCCCTTGTCGCTCAACTAGCGCGGCGTGTTTTGCACTGCGAGGCTTGATCGACACAGGAAATGGAGCGAAACGGTGCTCAAGCCAATTCGTATGGAGGGTATCGACGGGTTGCCCCTGGGAGAAATTAGAAGCTGACATCATTATGAAGTTTAGCATCCTTACCTCGATTTGTTCAAAGTCAAAACAATACAGAAGCCGAGCAAATGCAATCCACACATTCGACTGTCCCACATTGTACCCCGAACAAACTCTCCGACCTATTATCTTTATTAGACATTCAAGTCTCATACTTTCAAAACGATATAGCAGACTCACCGGGTCCAAACCCCCAATGCCCCTTCAAAACATTATCCAAATCATCATTCAAGAACCTCTCCGGCCAAAACCTATTCGGATCCTCATACTCATCCGGATTCAACGACACCGCCAAATTATTCCACGTGAACAGCGTCCCAGCAGGGAACTTATACCCCTCATACTCATCATCCTGGATCAACATATGCGGAACACCAATTTCAGCGAATGGCCGCCATCTGAATCCTTCCTTTACGACGGCAGTGATGTATTTCAGGTTTGGCCTGTCGCTGAACTCGGGTAAACGTTCCGCGTTTGATCCACAGACTTCGTCGAGGGCGTCTCGTGCGGTTTTCACCCACCGCTTGTCTGTTATGGCTGCTGATATCAAGATGCTGAGGGCCATTCGTGAAGTGTCACTCCCTGCTTCTAACAGCGAGCCTAGTGCGAACAGGGTTTGCGCTTCCCCCAACTTCTCGGTTTCGGGATTCGCGAGAAACTGGACAGCGAAACAGTCTTTCGCAGTTCCAGCTTCGATCTTTTGCTTTAGTTCTGCGACTTCTCTTCGGTAGACTCTGCTCGTTGTCAGTTTGGGCCAGTGACGAGAAATTTCTGAGCGACTTACTTCAAGCATTTCTGGTATGCTCGTTCCCCTCTAGGTCGCCACCATTGTAATTTCTTTGGCAGGTTCTCTAGCATTGGCAGTACATCAGCGATACTGGCTCCTGGCTGCATGGCCATGATGATCTCGTTTGAAGTATCGAGCAGCTCTTTAATTTTCGGATTCGAGGACTCCATTCTTTTTCCAAACACGACACTCATGATGACTGAATTGGCGAATCGTTGGTTGCCTTCATACCACTTATCAGCGTTGTGAAGGTAATCATAGATGAGATGTTTGGATTCAAGATCTTGGAATGGGGCGAATGTTTGCGTGTTCGTTTTGTTGAGAATGGAGTGCATCACTTTGCGGAGGGCGCGCCATCTGTCGCTGTATGGCATCAACAAGACCCGATTACCACCTGACATAATTTTGGATGTCATAGGGAGGTTGGCTCGTGAAGAGTAGATCGCCGAGCGTTTCTCCATGAGATCGTTGATGACTCGGCTCGAGTTCAGGAAGACCCAAGTGTTGACACCAATCTTGCAGGTAAACCTTTGGGCCTCTCAGCATTCTCTTTCTCTTCGACTTTCCGGATGATCATCAGGTACTTACATCTCGCCATACTTCTCAGCTTGCTCTTTCGCCCATAGTCCCTGCTGATTCGGTGGCAACTGGAAAGTGTTTCCCACGATCGGACTTCCAGGCACCCTCGGTGGGAGTTTGTATTTTTTGCTAGCAACATGACTTGCGATTATCTTCTGCAGAACACCGAGAGCCAGAATACCGATGAAAACTGTCGGCAACAGATTGAAGCTTTCGAAAAGTACCATCGCAATCTAGACGTTACTCTCCAAGCTTCGGGATCAGATCAAGCAGTTTCGGAAAAGATCAGGTGACGAACGCGCTCAAGCAGGGACGCTTCTTAAGGTCCTCTTCGGTCGTGCATCTATTTCTAACGGAAGTTTCTCTTCTCCAACCCTTATTATTATTACCCAGGTCCAACTTTGAGCCCTCCACTCCAAAAAGAATCTCAATTGTAAGTGGGGTAAGAAACACTTGTGCCGCGTACTGATGTCGCACTATCAAAGTAGCCAAGAAATGAAAATACGACGCAGCCACTCAGTGACTACCTCGAGATGCATGGTTCTTTGCCTATCAGTTGCTAATGAAGTATCCAAGATTGGATGCTTGTAGTTCCCTTCACCAGGGGGTATTACTGGTGTGGGGCTCGGCTCCCCCGCACTTTTTACCCCAGATCCCCTAATTTGGGCAAAGTTAGAAGGGACAGGGTGACTTGAGCAACTACAATGCTTGACTTACCCCAACTACCCCGCTGGAGTTGGGTGAGGGGTTGAGATGGCCCAACTGAAATTTGTATGAATGCCTTCAAATTTATCACAGGATCAATCAACAAACGGCAAGTTTCAAGTGACTATCGACACAATCACGATGTTCTCTCGTCTTCTGAGTTTGCTGAAGCTTCCAAGTTTGCCAATCTGGCAATGGCTGCTGGGGATTCTCCTCATTCTTCCAATATCACTCCTCATATTCTTCTACCTCTGGACCACACCCACAATCCTAGCCGATTCACGACGAAAAAAGCTGCCCCCAGGCCCGCGCGGCCTCCCTTTCGTAGGCAACATCCTCGACCTAATCGACAACGAGAGCGTCCCGCGCAAAGCCGTAGACTGGACCAAGAAATACGGACATGTCTTCTACACGAAAGTCGGCGGCTCAGATTGGATCTGGCTCTCCTCGCCCAAAGCCGTGAAGGATCTGATGGACAAGAAATCCGCGATTTATTCGTCGAGACCGCCTGCGCCACTTGCGCAGGATGTTGCGTCTGGGGGTCGCAGACAGCTGTTTATGGCATATGGGCCGCGGTATCGTGTTGTGAGGAAGATTGCACATTCGCTTCTGAATATCACGATGTCAACAAACTACCAGCCCGTGCAGGATCTTGAGTCTAAACAACTGCTTTACGATCTTCTGCATGATCCTGTTCATTTTTACGATCATAATAGACGGTACTCGGCTAGTGTTATTATCTCCATCACATATGGCCATCGAATTGCAAGCTGGGATAGTCCTCTCGCGAAGAAAATCTACGCCGTGGTGAACAACCTGCAGAATTTCTCCAGCCCCGGAATGTGGATGGTTGACAGTTTCCCCTCCGTACAAAACCTACCGCAGATATTCTTCGGGAATTGGAGAGATTTTGGTCGGAAGTGTTTTGAGCACGACTCGCCTATTTATCTTGGTCTGTGGGGCGATCTGAAAAAGGAGATTGAGGAGGGGAAGGCTGCGCAGTGTTTCTGTAAGGATTTCTATGAGAGCGATCCTGAGAAGTTAGGACTGGATACTTTGCAGGCTGCGTATCAGTGTGGTGGATTGGTTGAGGCGGGATCGGAGACAACGTCGGCGTTCTTGAATACATTTTTGTTGTTTGCGACGGAGAATCCTGAGGTGGTGAGGAAGGCTCAAGAGGAGCTGGATAGGGTTGTTGGGGGAGATAGATATCCTACATGGGAGGATGAGCAGAACTTGCCATATATTAGGGCTTGTATTAAGGAGTTGTTGAGGATGAGACCTCCGAACAAGGTGGGAATTCATCACGCCACGACCGAGGACGACTGGTATGAGGGCATGTTCATTCCGAAGAACTCCGTTGTTATTCTCAATTGGTGGTAAGTCAACCATACCCTTCCCATAGACCAGGATCTGACATGCGCAGGGCAATCAACTACGACCCCGAGAGATGGGAGTCGCCTTACGAGTACAAGCCCGAACGCTTCTTCGGTTACGACCTACCAGCAGCAGCATACATCAACTCTGCCGACCCATACGAGCGAGATCATGTTTCGTACGGTGCTGGGCGAAGAGTGTGTCCAGGCGTACATATCGCAGAGAAATCTTTATTCCTGAACATCAGCAGGATTATGTGGGGGTTCAACGTCTCGAAGAAGAAGGTGGATGGCAAGGAGGTCGACCCCTTGAACGCGATGGTGCCGGGCTGGATGTGTATTCCTCAGCCGTTTGAGTGTGATATCACTGTTCGGTCGGAGAAGCATGCGAAGTTGATTGAGAGTATCTGGGCTAAAGCTTCGAAGGACATTAAGCTGGATGACAAGGTGTGATGCATGATTAGTAGATTGGTTGTAGATATTCGCAATGCATGAAAGAACTTGTGAACTGCAGAAGATAGTTCCCTTATCGTGAACAATCTATTTTTGTACATCATCATTGACAGCACAAAGCCAATGATACGATTTAAATGATTCAAAGAATATCGAACCTAAAAGTAAAGATAGCTTCATCAACTTGAGTATGCAGAGATCCTCATCTACCGAACCCGACCAAGCCAGTCACAACATGCTCGTAGATTACAGCATATCTTCCACATATAAACGTAAGCTGACAGTATTATCTAATGCAGCCCTACATACTCCCAATCTTGCCTTATGTTCAATCTCAAACCCCAAAATATGAATCTAGCACCTGCACTTCCTAATCCTAGGTACATGTGGGGCTCTCCAGCACACCTCTTCACCCCCGCATCCAGCCTCTTCCCGTCCACCAATACCCTTTCTCCAATCGCCCTACCCAGGTGCCTCGCTTCCCCAACTTTCAATCAAAACAAGGGGAATGGGAATTCCCGTCCTTGGCCAATAGTTGGGGTAAAGCAACGCTACGCTCTGCAACGCTGTAGATGCATTGAGGCCCGATGCGACATCAGGATAAGGCACATCCAGGATGGTAAACATGCAGCATCGGACATGTACCTTGTCCTGGATATCAGGGGTTTACCCCACAAATGAGAGAGAGACAGACATTGGACTTTCACGTATAAGATACATGAAGGGGGCGAGATCGACAGAGATGGAACGCCAGTAAGAATTCGCATCTGCAATTGCATCTCTCACCTCCGTCCTTCTCTTCATCATATTGAACTTCCAACTCTTCTCTCCACATCACATCAACGCATCTCTCTCTACAGAAGGAAACCGCTCACAATGGGCACCGGCTTCATACTCGAAGATAACCACCTCCCTCGCGTACCAGGGACCATCATTCTCGAGGAAGAACAAGCGCACTCTGAGAATGTGACTGGAAATCTCAAGCATGGCACTGGCAAGCATTCTCATGTCGTGCTCACGCCCCAGCCTTCAGATGACCCGAATGATCCTCTCAACGTAAGTCGTCAAATGCATCGTTGGAGAGAACTACCTCATTGACTTCAAAAACAGTGGTCCACAGCCCGCAAACTGTCAATCATGCTGATAACCGGCTTCGGCACCATTCTCTACGGATCAACATTTGGTCCTCTCTTGAACGCCTCCCTGATCGTGATCTCGGTCGATCTCAACGTCACCATAACAGATATCACACTTCTCTCCGGCTATCAAATCCTTGTCGTTGGCTGCACTGCTCCCTTCGTCTCAGCACTATCCCGCAAATTTGGGAAACGAGGACTCTTCGTACTATCCTCCATCTCCGCAGTAATCGGCAACATCATCGGCTCCACGTCAAAAGATTACAACCAATTGCTCGCCGCACGAATCATCCAAGGCCTCAGCGTCAGCACCTACGAATCCCTCCTACTTGTCGTAATCGGTGATCTCTTCTTCGTGCACCAGCGCGGAATCTACATGTCCATCGTCTCCTTCCTCCTCGCCGCAATATCCAACCTCGCATCCGTAGTCTGCGGACCCATCACCACAAACCTCGGCTGGAAATACCTGTTCCACATCTTCGTCGCGATATCAGCCGGTCAGACCATCTTGCAGATTCTGTTCGTGCCGGAGACGACGTATATCCGTTCGAGGAAGTATGAGATCGATGAGTTGGCGACAGGGTATGAAGAGGGTGAGTTGGAGAAAGGACCGAGTCCGAGGGCGCAGGAGTTGGAGAATAGTGTTACGAGACAATCGATCATACCGCCGAAGAAGACGTTCTTGCAGAATATGAGGCTGTTTAATGGGACGTACTCGGATGAGAATTTCCTGCAGCTCGTCATTGCGCCGTTTGCGGTGTGTTCGAATCTCTCAGTGCTGTATATCGTTATCGTGCAGGGCTGGTTCGTGTGTCTGTTTGTGGCCATCGCTTTTGTCATTGCGCAAATCTTTGGACTGCCGCCGTATCTGCTTACGCCGAGTGGGATTGGGTACTTGTCCTTGGGGCCGTTTGTTGGTGGTGTGATTGCACTGCTACTTTTTGGTGCCATCACCGATCCGCTCATCATGTTCATGACACGCCGGAACAAAGGCGTCTACGAGCCGGAATACAGATTGCTCATTGGAGTTCTTGGACTCACGAGCGGTGCTGGACTGTTTGGGTACGGCTATGTCACGCAGAATGCAGGCAGTCCATATGTTGCCGCGACACTTCACGGCATCGTGCTGTTCGGAGTCATGGCTGAGCTGGTCTCTACGTCTGCTTACGCTCTGGACGCATACCGCGATATGAGCAATGAGATCTTCATCATGGGCATGCTTGTCAAGAACTTCTTGCTATACGCATTCACGTACTTCATCAACGATTGGCTTGCCCGCTCTGGGCCACAGGAGGTCTTCTTTATCTTTGGAGGTACAGGATTTGGTATCATGGCTGGAATGCCCCTCATGTATGTTTTTGGGAAGAAGTACAGGAGCTTTTGGCACAGACATAATTTGTTAGAGAAGTGGGGAATCAGGACTCATGCTGAGTAGGCGACGACGAGCACTTGTTCGCCCTTTCTCTTTCAGTGGTGGACATCGAAATGTAAATACTTGAATTTCAAAAATTATCCAACCTACTTTTGATATTGCTGCTTTGCAAGTGCGTAACTTTACATGAATATGAAAATCGGGCTCGGAAGTATGGCGCCGAAGAGCCCTCGTTTCCCCGCGCTTCGCGTGCAGCAACCCCTGAACATGAATATGCACAAGTAGATACAATATGACCAAGGCCTTGCGAGATATCGCCCACCGTAAGCTCAGATAGGCTAAAGAAACTAAGGGAGTGTGTGCCCTGACCCCACATGAGGTTGTATGGGGTAAGTTCTTTCAATTTTCAACCTGGAGTGTTTGAGCTAGGCAGTCCAGATTGGACCCCACCTCCACACCTGGTTGTAGAAACCCCGCATTTGGAGCTTGACAGCTCTCCACCAGCTCTAGCTCATGAGGTAGCTGGAGCCTTGGGGAGGAGTTGGGGTACCCAAAGATCTGAGATTCCTCGAGTGTGGAGTGCAGCAAAATTATCTTGCGACATAAGATAAGACAGAACTCTATCATTGTGTACACTCAATCGAATAAACATCGCTTAATTGTGAGAATAACAATAATGTCCAACGAGAAAAAGATAAAGAAGGTGTGTAAAGAATGAGACCCAGTCTGAGAGCCTTCCCACTGAAATACCAATGAAAAGGTCATCGTAGTCGGTGCGGGTCCGTCAGGCCTCCTCCTCGCAATTCTCCTTGCGAAGCAGGGCATTGAAGTCGTCATACTCGATGGCGCCGCGGATCTGGACAAGAACCCTAGAGCAGCACATTATGCCCCGTCAGCTATCCGAGAAATGAAGCGCGCAGGCGTCCTCGAAGAGCTCCAGAAACAAGGCTTCGTTCCCGACTCTGTTTGCTGGCGAAACCCAGATGGCTCGCTCATTGCTGGTATCAGGACAGATGTGCATCATCCCGAGGCCATGGTGGTGTTGCCGCTGGATAGATTGGTGGTCCTGCTGTATAACCACTTTGTAGCGCTGCCTGGCACGGAAGTGAAGTGGAACCATAAGGTTGTGGGAATCGAGCATGGAGAGAAGGAAGCGAAGGTCAAGGTCGAGACCAAGGAGGGAGAAAAGACCTTTGCTGCAGATTATGTGATTGGGGCCGATGGCGCGAACAGCCAGATTCGGAGGTCATTATTTGGCGATAACGCATTTCCGGGCGAGACTTTGCAATATCAGATTATTGCTACCAATGTAAGTTCTATGTTAAGATCCAGGGCGTTATTCAGATTCCAGAACAAAGAGTACTGACCTGGGAATCTGTAGGTATACTACGACTTCCACCAGTTTGGGTATTGGGATTCAAACTTCATCATTCACCCCAAGGACTGGTTTATGGCAGCACGCATCACTACGGACGGGCTCTGGCGCGTAACGTATGGTGATACGTGGGGTCTGACAAACGAGGAATATCTCAAGAGGCTACCACAAAGATTCGAGGAGCTTCTGCCGGGGAAGCCGAAGCCGGGAGACTACAAGCTTTACAGCGCGAGCCCGTACAAGTTGCACCAGCGCTGCGCCGAAAGCTTCAGAGTTGGGCGGTTTCTTCTGATAGCAGACGCTGCACACCTATGCAACCCATTGTAAGTTCCACGAAACAATGTAGCAGGATAGACGACTGACGAAGCTTGAAGCGGAGGTTTTGGTCTAACAGGTGGCTTTGCCGATGTTACCAGTCTGTATGACTGTCTAATGGCCATCCAGAACGGCCTCACAGACGAATCTATCCTTGACAAATATAGCGAGGTTAGAAGAAAGAAATGGCATGAGCTTGTTGATCCGATTTCAAGAGCGAACTTTCGACGAGTTTGGACCGAAGACGCAAGCGCTGAAAGGAACGAGTTCTTTGCGATGTGCAAGAAAATGGAAACAGACGAGGCAATGCGAAAACAAGGGCAGGAGGTGAGTGTCCACATCTTCACCACCCGGCGACTAGAATTAACTGATGGCAGTTAACCCATATATTGAACGAGGACTTCACGCCGTATTTCTCAAAGCCGATAGCAACATGAAGCGGGATAGCAAACAACAGGTAGCTCATGTCATCGAGGCTGAGTAAGAGGCACTTGCCATGAGCACGGGCGTAGGGATCTGGTCAATAAAGTGCAACGCTGTAGATAATGTAGATATAGCCACCCAAATTTAAGAACTCCTATGCAGGACTCCAACACTAAATGCACATCTATGCCCTTGTCCCAGACAACGCCAACTCCCCATAAGTATGCACCCGCCTTAAGATAACTCCCCAATGCTGAAAACCTTTGTCCGGTGAGTGTGAGACGGCTCGGTCAGATGTTGGAGTAATTTGAGGGCAGACGAGCCGTGATCTGGCTTTTCCAGAGTAGAATCGACAGTACTCCGAGGCTCGCCTTTCTCTTCTAGGATTAGTTCTTCGTCTCCAGTCTGATCGTCGTTATGTTCATATGTATCGTCAATAACGTCTGCTTCGCAGTCTTGGTCTTCATATTCGTCCTCTTCTTGCTCACCACCTTCCTCTTCGTCCTCCTCATCGCCCTCATCGTCTTCAACACCATCAAAAATCTTGTATACTATCGGCAAGCCTTCCATTTCTATAGGGTCGCATTCCTGGTGGAGTTCCAGGAGCTTCTCGTACAGCCCTTCTTGTTTATACCACTTTCTCTCTTCTTTGGTCATGCCTCTGGCTAGTTCCTGCATACTGTCTGCGAATTGTCCCAGCATGTATCCGTCTTTCATTAGCTCATGTCGGATTTGTGGTTCGTCGCATAGCATAATACTCTTGCATATCTTTCGGAGTGCCTACCAATTGGGTGTCAGCGTCGTATTTTGGAGCCGATATTCAAGGAGCTGAACGAGCCCCCTGCTGAACCAACAAAAGCAATTTACCTACCTCGAGGGCATTCCGTCTCGTCTCCCAGCGCACATCAGCTCCAGCGGCGTCAACGATAGCATCTCGACTCTCATCCAATACCTGGCAGATATCGCCCATCATCTCAAATTGCTTCCCGCAAGAGAGTCGCTTGTACTTCTTATTCATGGTGTACCAGCAATCCCTGCTGTAATTATCGAAGTTGACAGGCGGTCTTGCTGCTTCTTCAGCAACGCGTGCATCGTGCGCAGACGTCACAAAAGACGAAAGAGACGGGTTGGCGCTGCATATCTGGTATAGCAGGCTCTGGATTGTGGTATGAGGGAGCGAAAGAATCTGATTCCATAGCGAAGGTTCGATGTTTGCTCGTGGCCGTTTGAAGGCTTGGCTGGGCTCGGAAAAGATGGAAGATGACCCCAAGTGCTCGGAGAAACTCTCGTAACTCCGTTTGGAGTTATTGAGAGCCATTGCTAGAATGTATGCCGATCTCTGCTGAAGTGAGAGGATATCGCGATTCTCCAGATGTTGACGCGCCAAGCCTGCACGCGAAGTTGACCCGTGCACGTGACCAATGGAGATGAATCGTGGGTGTGCCGGCGACTTCTCTTCTTCTTCTCTCTCCTCCGCCCTATACCTCCACGACACCGGCGATACATCTTCCCATTCATCATCGCATCTTCCGTATCTCAACCCGCCATATCTGTAATTCTGTAGTGATTTGGACCTTGCCAGCATCGTATGGATGGGTGCACGACGTCAGCCTGCTCGATGCATGCATGCACCTCCGAATCGAGAGCATGAACGTCAACCCCAGATATCTGCCGCCCCCATTTCTCTATATAAGCTCTTTCAGATGTTTTGCCGAGCATTGCAGTACCATGGTCTCGGTGTCTTTTTAAGCCTCATTCAGCTGTCGCGTGCCCTTCCCTGTTCAGCGCCGATGAGAATCCTTCGCGTATGTGGACGGCACTGCAGCTGACCTGTCAGACACAAACACCGAAATTCTATATATGCGCCGATGTACAATGACGCCGGCCTGCATATCATCAAGGATGTGATTCTGATATAGCTGAGCGAATGCGGCATCCTCTTCTGCGAGATATCGAGGAGATCGAGATCGTCAAGTCCGAAGAAGAGCTACGCTCAATGCGAAATGCTAGAAAGGCTAAACGCGACATCACTCAACTTTTCAAAGACTGATACATTGTTTAAAGATGTCATGGAAAGATTTAACCTCTCGGTGGAACCGGCATTGATCAGCAGCACGGCATTCAGCTCAGCTCTCATTAAGCCGTCTCGATCATTAATTGAAGTCGCTGCAGACTTGGCGAACAAATCGACTCAACACTGCGCTGCAGACTTTACGCCCTCTCCACCGGCGGTGAGCATTCTTGAGCTGAGAACATTGCCAAGAACTGTGGCTGCTGGTGGAACGAGAAGTGGATGTTCTTTAGCTGACAGAAGAAGCCACTACGAGCAAGCCAGATAACTCCATCGGATCGGGATCAAACCATGAACTTAATATGAGTGATCCATCCATCGGATGCTCTGCCGACTCTAGGAGTTTGCTCCCGTGGAGACCGAATCGGTTCTATTTCAAGATGTGCTCGTCCGAAGGGTCACATGTTTGAGCTCGCCTCTCATTGCTCCTGCTACAATCGTAGTAAAGCTGCGAGCGGAGATAAACTGAATTCCCTTTAACCGTTGAGTTGTCATCTGCTCCTGAACTTATTTTGGGCATCAAAACTCCGACCGCTTTCATCCTATGTCCCCGATGTCTTGTTTCTTATTGACTGACGATATTGCCTTCTCCAGCATTGGCTCTTGGAAGCATGCAAAAGTTTCCTTGCAGAGGTTTGTTGCTCTGCTGTTTTTGTATTGAGGTCCAAGTTTACTTTCATCTTCGATTTTTCAGTAGTACACTCGCTGTATTTTGCGGCCTACTCCTCTAGTCTCTCTTCGCCTCTAGCTCTTGCTTTCTAGTTCTCCAGGCTTATCTAGCGCATCCAACTCATGAGGTGGAACCAGCCCTTCCACCTCCACTGCAACCTCGCTTCCTGGTGCTTCGTGAATCTCTTGCAAGGCACACACCTCTGCCGAGAATGCTGGTGGAATTGAAACCGTGTCGGGGCTACCACTCCAGGGCTCTCTCTTGGCCTGGTCACAAGCCAGCTCTGCTTTCTGATATTGCACTCCGTCGGTGGATTTCCCTGGCACTACTCCTTCAACTCTTTTCCGTTGCCGCTGTATACACCAGCGAACCAAAATAGCCAAGAAGCCGAGTCCGACCACGGCACTGATCACAATTCCAATAATAGTCCCGAGAGCAAGTCCAGTAGACCTGCCATCTTGATTCAACTCTGAAGATCTGATCTCGACGATGGTTTGCTTCACTCGAGTATCCCACGTGCACTGAGAAACAGAGAAGTTCTTGCGCTCATAATCTGCGATCACATATGCCTCTTGGAAGAAAACTCTACCAAGAGTGTACTGCGTTGAGTTCGCTGCTCGTCTTAACGGAAAATATCGGGTTGGGCTCGAAGTGAGCGGCCAGGATGCTGTGAGAGCAAATGCTGCATACGGAAAACTGATATTCACTGTTGTGGATGATTCGAGGCTGCCAAGTGTGAATGTAATGCTTGGGTTCTGAGCTTGAAGTAGTGCATGTTGTGTGTCATTGATCAGGTAGAGCTGAGATGTCTCGTTCCAAAGTATGCCAAATGTGTTCTCAAAGGTTGTGCATGCTGACGTGGGGAGGTAGATGTACGGTATTGTGGAGTCTAGAAAGGATGCAATTGGGGACGCCAGGAGATGGGTTTCCCCGGTTGTGATACTCTGTATCTGGACTGTGAGATCTCTCGCATCTTGAGACGAGAATGGAATTGACAAGTTACCAGACTCGAACCTCGAAGTGTCGTAGCCACCAAGCGTCAAGCTTCCCAACATACCATTAAGCCCTAATCCTTGTAAGTCGATATTCCCAAATGTGGTGGTAACATACTGTATTGATTACCAGAAGTATATGCCCAGCTCAGACTTGGAATTAGCTTTTGGCTTCGAAGGTTTTCCATGTAACTTGGAATGGGATCATTGTATTCCGTGAAGTTACTTGGTCTTGGAGTCAAGCCAAATACTCCCATAAAGAAAGACTTCGCCGCGATCCCGCCTACAGTCTGATTCCTCAGAGTCGGACCTCCAGTTCCTGGAAATCCAAGCGTGACGTTATCGAACCCAAATCTCCCGTTACCTTCATATCCAAGGTTTGATTCCAACCCCAGTTTGTAGTAACTACCATCTGGACTCGCTAAGTTTTGGTTATAGGTCGACGACGCACTGAAGTTGAAGAGGTCCCCTCGCAGTTTCTTGCAAGTCAAAACATCGCCAGAACCACACCCTTCTTCGGCGACTGCCCAGGTCTGCGTGCTTGCAGTCGATACTAACACTTTGACTGTTTGAGGTGGCGTACCAATCTGGGTGACGAAGGACGACCAAGGGCCGTCATTTCCATCCCTATATCGCCCTCAGGTCGCGAAATATGTTTTGAGAGACGAAGACTTACCAATCTTGGGATGGGACGACAACAATCGGAGCTGGCGACTTTGGCATCTCAGCAACCGCGAATCGCGCCACAAACGACCATGTGACTTGGTTTATCAGAACCAGCAAGTACTTAACACATGAGCACTTCTGTGGGCGGCTGAACTTCCTATGCCCAGCTATAAAACAGGGAATTATAGTCATTCACTCATGATCCGAAGCGAAATCAATGCCAGCCACCATCTGTCGTAGTTTCAAGTCATGACGACGTTCCCAGGCTGGGAAGGACATGTTGTTGTTCCGAAGTCCTAGCTGGCCATGCCAGAGCAGTTACACATGGTTCCAGATTGAGATTGAGCTTGGCGCATTTCGTCTCACAAGATTCCTTCGAGGCGACTCAAGTCTTTCAAAAGTACCGCGGCCACCTGCATCATACCCGGGCTCTGTTTTCAGCCCAGGTGCGCTTCTATGACCTGGTTGCACAGGTGTCGCTTCGACTGCAACATTAATCTGAGGGCGCAGCTTCCAGAACTTTATGAGGAATCTTCTGAGAAACATTACACGAGAAGGAGCTAAGTTTGGATCGAAGGAGGCCTCTTCAGCGACGCTCATTTCGACAGGCTGGGGTCGATTTGGCTTGGCAAAACAAGGACACACCGCAGGGCATGCGGTGCTGTGACAGCGTACCATAGGTGGGTAGATGGAACCAAGCACTATTCCTTCAGCTTCGTCCAAAGAACCGCTAGGGGCCTCATCCTAGGATTCCAGGACTCCACTCCGAGTCTGACTTGGATATTCAAATGTGTTCGATGGTAAACGCTCATTCACAGTGCGTTTCTACTTTAATGCCCAGTCAAGATGGAGAGAGTACTGTTTATCACGCTGGGTTTTGTATTCATAGGATGTCCACAGGTATTGGGCTTGATAGGTATGTCCAGCTCCCTCTTCCTGTACAATTACTGAGTTTGAGGCAGCACCCAAGCCACCTGGGGCGGTAATGAGGACATTTGCAAACTCTAGTTTTACAAGCGCCTCTTCCTCACCAACCCCAACTGCATGCTGCTTTCTCGTGCAAGATACCGTCAGCGAAGTCTGGTGGCAGATAACCAGCTATTCCTCCACGTTGACCACGGTCAACTTGACATCGATCACGACACTAATTACCAAGTTCCCAAATACAACTTTGACAAACTTCGAGACCAATATCTATCCCACTGGTGTGAGCGCCACCTGGACATACCGTGTTGGAGCGAACCCGATTGCGAATGAACCAAATTATGTTCTGCGGCCCACTGAGGCAGAGCAGATACTGGAAGGCACTGCACCAATAACAACGGGAGGAATCGTGGTGTAAGTCCGGACTTTTGAGAATTGCTTCAACATGAATCTGACAGCATATTCGCAGGCAATCACCGGATGCATTCTACGTTTACAGCTCGGTGAAGATCATCACAGCTGCGCCAGTGACAGATGCTGGTGGAAACATCGCATGCGGCACGACTTCTGAGTACAATGAATGGAACGCTGATCAATTTTTTTCATATCGCACGCTCGCACTTTCGGACATAAATTCAAACGCGGAAGCGTACTTCGACCGATCCGATGTTGCTGAACCACTTACATTGAGTGTATTATCTTCATTCGGAACTGAGATTTTCATCACTGGCTCTCAATCTGACCAGATCTCCTCCATTTACGTCGATGCCGATTCCTCTGAGACTTGTTGCCCAGATGGTTCGGGCACGATGATCACCGCTACGACCCGAACAGAGGTTGTGATATCCTTGGAAACACCATTTATCTACCTACCATCCAAAGGAAGAAGGGGCTTTAGAGGAGACACCACAACATGCCATCAAACCGGTGGAACCGAAAACTACGGATACGTTCCCAGAACACTTCTTGAATACCTGGTCAACAAGTCTGATTACAGCAGCCAATATCCTGGCTTGGAGTCTTGTTTACCTGGTGGCCCATCGATCTTCCAGAGCGCGTTCTGCGCGGATGCAATGTCATCAACACTGGAAGTCGTCAGTGACCTGACAAGCACGACAGTCATCTATGTTACGCCACCAGTACTAGGAGATACAACCCAACTCCATATCTCAGATGTGCAGGTCATGGTGCATGCTTCTGGAATCGAAGTAGACGGTGACTTTTCCACGACTCAGCTCCCTACTCCTCCACCACGACCAATGCCTTCCCCTGTGAAAACAGAACCATCAAAGAACCCTCCACAGCCGTTACCGTTGATAGTCAGGCCAACTCCACTACCAACTTCGATCGGAGCACCTGTTCCGACCACAAATCCTGTAGGTCCATCACTACTACCCGCTTCCAAACACCTACCAGGTCCACTACCAGCATTTACATCCCTCAGACAGATAATCAACTCCATCATAGGAGGGCGGCCAGGATCTCCAGCATCTCCAGCATCGCCAAACTCTCCAGCTATCATCATCTCAGCAGCGACCACAATCCCCATTGCAGATATTCCGTTCTTCCCAGGAATCAGTGGAGTGACTTCGACGATAAATGGAAATCCCGTAGTGATAGTCTCAGAGCCCACCACATTGGCCTCTCCAGTCCGAACAAAGAATCAGATTGTTATCTCAAAAGCAACCACCATCCCTATCGCGGACCTCCCATTCTTTCCAGGTCTTGTTGGGAACACGGAAACGAGAAATGGAGCAATCGTTGTTATCGTCTCAGAACCAACCACTCTTGCGCTTCCATCGCCAGAGGGTTTGTCTAGGCCTCATACAAGTGCAGCTAATCCTATCCTCGCTGCCCCTGAGGTACACGATGAGCCGTTGGCCGTTGTGACCGCTGAATCTGAAAGTCCTGGACTTTTTGTTACGCGACCAACTACGGTTCCTTTCAACCCAGAGTCCCCGGTATCCGGCAGCACGATAACAACCTCTGGGAAAATATATATCGTTGTGTCGACGGCCGTGGCAGTTGGAAGCTCACAACCGATCTTAATTGTTGGACCATCTTCCGCCATCACAGATAGTGGCATCAAGAATACGCAGGGAGCTGCTGCAAGCGAAACCAGCAGCAGAAATGATGCAGCTCCTGAGTTGAAGGGCAGGCTATGGAGATATCTCATAGTGGAAAGCTGTCTTCTCGTTGGATTTCTCGCCATGGTCATAAAATGAGCACAGCACATCTAAAACTCACTTATCATTCTACAATGTATTTACCACCATTTAATCCCATCCCATCCCAAATCCCCAGCCTCACAATTTAAACACCCTGCCCACCTCCTCCGAATGCTCCGTCAGATATTTCCCCTCTATGATAAGCGAGACATGTTTAGAGAAAGCCAGCAAATCACCCTGCTCATCACAAATATACACCAGGGAGTCAAACCTCCCGTTCTCGATTTTTAATGACCTCGCACGCATGAACACCCATTTGAGACCTTTGGGGTCTTTCTTGATTTCTGAGGTCATGCATAGGGTTGGGAAACGAACTCCGACTTGCAGGTCTTTGCGATGGGGACTCCAATTTGCGGGGGCGCCGTCGATCTGGTGGAAGTTAGTCACTTATATTTAATATTTCCAATGAGGACTTTGAACTCAATCCCTTTCAAAATAGTTCATCTCTTCCACTCCTAAGCCGAGGAATCTCTTCCAAGTAATTGTAAACAAAGAAAGTAAAAAACTCACAAAATCACACAAAACCCCCAAACTCTCCAAATCCCAGTCCTCCCCATCCCCCCTCCTATACCAAATATCCTTCGTACACCTCCCAAACCTATCACTCAGCCTCAAATCCACTCCATACGAGCCCTTCACTACCCACCCTGTAAACTTCAAGATACAAGGCGCTACGTTTGAGAAGAACGCTGGGTGGGTTAGTTCCTCGCAGTCAGTTTCTCGGTTGGGGATTTGGGACAGCGGGATGGATGGGCGGGTGGGAAAGGTGAGGTTGAGATTTTTTGAGAGAGGGAGGGTGAGGTTGGTGCTAGTTAGGATGCTGGTGGTGTGGGTTTTCCAGATGGGGGGTTCTGCGGATGTGGGTGAAGAGGAAGAGGAGGAGGTTTGTAGTTCGATTTGAAGGACTGAGATGCGAGAGCTGATATTCAGAGGGCGAACTGTGAGACGGATAGAGGAAGATGGAGGAACCGGGTGCAGAAATTGGATGTGTGAGTTTAGAACATGCGGGTGTGGGCTGGAGGGGTTTGTGAGGAGGCTGTATGACTTTGCGGTGTAGTGGAGGAGGGCGAGGAGGTAGCCGCCGTGTGCTGCCCTGACATCACGCCGGTGTGTTAGGTCTAGTTTCTGAAAAGATGAGAGCTAAAAGAGGGAAGAGAGTGAAGAGGCCGTGAGAGGGTACGTACCAGGCTCCACACCAGTCCCAGGCTATCGTTGCGGTGAAGAGGGAGTTGTTTCCTGGGACGGGGAAGACTTGGATTGCTTCTGCTAGGGGAGTCAAGTTGCGATTTGGGGGCTGTGGTTTCGCCATATCGAATGATTGAATGTCTTATTCAAGGAGAAATCTCTAACAGAAGGGTATCGACGTCCCCTTCTTTATCATTTTGAGATACCCCAGAGCCCAGAATGTAACTTGTGAGATCTCATGTCAGCACGATCTCACATCTGGAGCATCCACCGAGAAGCCACCACCACTACTTGAGAGAAGAGTCTTGGAACATTGAAGAACTGTACCCCCTTTCTCTTAACTGGTCATCCGGACAATGTAAGCGAGTTCTTTCCATTGATAGGTGTCCGAAGAGCGAGCTCAGCTCCGCAAGTACCTAATCTAACCCGTGACATGTCAGATGGAGGTACAACACGTGTTGAGGACCTCCTTGGCGAGGACCCAAAAACGTGACACCCCTATTCCTCGCATCTCACCCCATCCCAGTACCAACCACCGCGTCTACCAACCAATCCAACACCCACCCCAGTCAGTCAATTCTCATCCATCCAAAGTCAAGTCAAGTCAACCTTACCTTACCGTGCATCAGTCCCCCTCTCGCCATAATTCCCCCTTTCGCTTACTCCACATGCATTAATGTAATATTCCACCTAGGCAGTTTCGCACTCGTCCCATCATCTCAGCCAATCCAATCCAATCCACCAATCCACCAATCCACTCGGTCCCTCCTTCTCCTCACTGATATGTACTCGTGCGAGTAGAGTCCGGGGAACAGGATATCCGAATATCGCTTGGATTAAAGCAAACAAAACGATGAAAACGAAACTTTGTTTTGGGCCTGTACTGTAAACTTGTAGAAAGTTTAGTTTGATGGGTTCCGTTGATCCGAAAATCTGAAGATCAGGTAAGGAGAGATCAGAAGATCAGAAATTCTGGTGATCCTTTATGCATTGTTACTATCACTATCACAGCAGCACAGTATTATCGCATTGCATTGCATTACATCTCCTTCCGTTCCGTTTCGTTTCGTTCCCACCCAACCTTCCTTCCTTCCTTTCACCGTGATTTGATTTGCTGATCTGCCCACCACAATGTGATGTGATGATCTGCTGTGATGTGAAATGATGTGCCGTGATGTGCCGCGTTGGCGCCGATGGTGAAACTGAAACGACAAAGATTGAGGGATGCCAAGACTTGGACACGCAAGAAGCGAGATGTGGAAGGGGATAGATGGGGTAGGGTTTCGGTTAGAGGGTATAAGCCCTGCGTAAGTGTTGAACTGTGCTGGACTGGACTGTGTTTAAGGTTGAGTTTGTAAACCACTGTACAGGAAGGTTTGTGTACGGTTAATGGTTTGTGGAAGTTTATGCTTTGGGCAGCTTGTGATTGATGTGTGAGGGAGGAGAAAGGAGGGGTGAGGGGAGTTGGTAGACTCGTAGGGAGGAGGTAAGGAGGGAGCCAGTCGCAAGTGTGGATATGAAGGAGGAAAAGACTGGGCATATCCGATGTTGAGTTGATAATGGCATGATGGTCGATGCCTTGGAAACTTTGGAGGGAGGTCGTATCAGATGGAAGTTTGATACCTTTACCAACAAGATTTTCCGTCTAATTCCACACACAAAGCGAAATCAAGTCACAAATATTCAGGAGAAAAGACTAATAGTAACGTTGATACAGATCATAGATCATGATTTCATTGTAGTTCCTTTCTATCCAAGGTATCGTCCCCCAAAAATGCTCAACAAGAATGAAGATATTGTGTATACACGTGCCCTTTATTTTTTCCAAACCACTCAAGAGAGATCCAAGAAAAAGTTTCCACGGGACTAAAATAATATTTACAAGAACGCAAAGTCACAAAACAAAGGTTTTTGTTTGCACGAAGAGAGATTCCTTCCAAAGAGACCTCATGAAGTTGGTTTTGGTGGCGTCGTTGTGAGATAATTGACGAGACGCTTACTCGCAGGTGTCCTCGTCATCCTCAACTGGGGCAGGAGTTGTGACTGGGGCCTCAGGGGTGGCAGTTGGCTTGATTGAAGTTTCGAGGGTGGTTGGGGCAGGGGCACCGGCAGCTGGGGGGCTGGTGACAGCTGGAGCCGCAGTGGAAGAGGCAACAGGGGCAGCTGGTGCAGAAGGGGCTGGGGCGGATCCAGAGCCAGAACCACCGGCGTAGAGAGCTGGGCCGGGGATCTCGTAGGTGAGACCAGCAGTGTAAATGCTGACCAAGATACCGGCATCAGTTGGGGTGTAGAGCGAGGTACCGAGAACACCCTCTGGGTTGTCGGTTCCGGATCCGGAGACCTCGAGGTTGACGCAGAATGGGTAGTTCTGAGCTCCATCGGCTTGGCCGGCGGAGTGGAGAGCGATGATCTCGTGGCGGAGGACGTAGTTGCCTGGGGCGATGGTGGATGGGATGGTGACGGATCCGGTCAAGTTGTTGGCCATCAAAGCATCGGAAGCCCAGTTACCTGGGGCAGCGCTGTTATCGAGGAGACCAGACTCGGAGATCTTGAACCACTTGAGGGTGGCCTTGTCAACGGTTGCGCAGTCGCCACCGCAGTTGGCGAGGTAGTTGATGACTGGGCCGTGGTGAGACTCTGGCCATGTGTTCCAGTGCAAGTCAACGTTTCCACCGGCCTTGACTGGTGCGGAGAGAGCAGCGTTCTTGGCTCCGTTGTGGCAGATGATGTCGCCAGAGGCGAACTGGGATGGAGAGACAAATCCAAGATCGGTTGAGGTCTCGCTCCATCCGATAGACTCAGGTGCGCTGGCCTGGTATGGGTAGGAGTTGACAAGGTATCCGGTGAATCTGGCCAGGGTTAGAATACGAGCAATAGAGGGCCATCTAGAACCACTTACGAGGTACCATCGACCTTGATCTCGTCAACGAAGCCGTGGGCGGAAACCTTAGCGGCAGTGGCCAAAAGACCGAAAAGGGCGGTGTTCATCATGGAAGGCATTTTGAAGTTTTGGGAGGAATGAAGTGACTTTGAGTAACTTGTGTGATAGACCGTGGTGGATTTGATTTGAATGAGTGTGTGAAGTTGCAAAACTGATATCCAGACCAGCTACGAGATCGATCGACAACTGTTCGTACTTGGGACGACGTGAAAAAAGAATGTAAGAGTTGGTTTAATGAATGTAAACAGTGAAGACTGACTGAGATGCTGGTTAGAAGAGATGGTGAGGACGATGAAAGGTTATATAAACTTTCCCCTACCGCCGCACGAGGCACCACTTGAGCGCAACGCAGAACCGAACAAATGAACTTTCATTACTGCTTCGACTATGCTTGTTTCGAGGGGCTGAGAAAGGGAGGGATCCCGGCTTGGCAGGCCAGAAGTTTCTGTTGTCCCTTCTGTTGGTAAGACAAACGGCCTTAAAACGGGTGACAATTATTGTCATATAGATTGCTCGTGCAGCAAAGTGGGGGATGCGAGATGAAAAGGAAGGGGATGGCTGCAGGGGAAGGGCGGCGCCTTGAAACAGAGCCCCATTGTTTGTTCAAATCCCATACGCACTGACAGGCTGGCGCCTTGTCGGAATTTGGTATGGGATCGGCAAGGGGTGATGGGAGGCGGCTTTGGACGCAGGAGGTGTCGCATGTTAAGCGCTCCCAAGGACCTGGATCCGCTGGTACAAATGTACACGAAATCAAGGAGGCGTGGTCAACAGTGGCCAACACGACTGGACGTTCCAGAGGAAATGAGTTGAATGCCGGCGAACAGGTTGAGATGACGACGTTGGAAATTTGAAATGAGGAGCTTGTATGAAGTTCATGATCTTTGAGATCATCGACCCGTCTACAGTCTCATCAGGGTGGAGTTGCCTTGATGTCTTGGTCCTGGTCTCGTTCGTGTTGATGTAGCCGCGGAAGAAAATAGATCCACCAGGTAGATGCAGGTCAAGCGGCTCGCCTCCTTGGCGAGAAATTCAGGGGCTGGATTTGAGATCATGTGACTCTGGCTCAGCGGCTCCTGAGCTTTCCCAAGCAAGACTTCTCGTGCCTCTGCTCTGCAGTAAATTCCGTCTGCCAGATTCAATCATTTCTTTGGCTGTACCTGATTTCGATCGAGAGTCCCTTGCTGCAGTCGATGTGGTCGATTGTCGATCCAGACGTCGCGATGACCGCCGTGCCGCTGCATTGATCATACTTCCATGTTGGGAAATGATGAAGCTGAGGCATGGCGATAGCTATTGTCACGAAACATTGACAAAAGGGGGCTCAGTGATCTTTATATACAGTTGAGATTATCTTTTACTCTTAGAAGAAAGTTTGAGTAAGTTTGAGTTCGTTTGCTCGGGAACCTCGGAAACCTTGAGAAACCCCTAAACGGGTGCCTTGAAAGTACGCAACCTTTCTCCTGCAAGATAGAAGAAACTAAGACTGAGACGTATAGTCTTATTTTGAATCCATCATCCAATTGAAATTATCTACGAGATCGAACATGCTATTTATAGCTTTCCAACCGCTGTGTAACTTTTATTAAATTGGTGGATGGCCAGCACAGCTTGGAGCTCCACAAAATACATCCTTCGGTTTGCCATATTACGGAGAAATTTGAAGAGGGATGAAATGCTCATATATCAGCCTTCTAAGAGGATGTAGTGATAAAATTGGCAGGATGACGATAGTTAATGATCTTTCGAATGCCAAACCTCGGTACAGGACAAGTGGACACCTGCGTGTCTTTGAGGCGCCTTCCAATTCGTCGTCGCTTTCTTACCACCCTGGTCCTATCTCGACAACCAACAATACACTTCGCTACTGTGCTTAGGACGAAGGCAAACTCCGTAACTATCGCAGTATCCTAAAATCTAAATGTTTGACAGCCGGTCAGTGTCTCCAGGTTGTTGAATTTACCCCACGCGTTCTCCGTCTCTAAGCGAGACCATCCAATCTGTGGTGGACACACCACATGTTAGAAAACAGTTGTCTCATCTCTGACTCGGACTAAGGAAATGAAAGTAAACAAGGAGCTCAATCGAAAAGAATTCCTATCGCCCTTGCACGAAAGACTCGATCTGTGAGATTCGGGATCTCCTTCCTAACGCTGTTCGGATTTCGGAATGAAGCCCCCACCTTGCTGATTTCCGACTCAACATCCTTACAAAGCGCAGCAGCACCAGATTCGAGTAACACCGTGAGTTAAATCAAACCTCACTTCAACAAAAGATACACTTACAGTTTTGACCGTTTTCGACAGTCCCGATCACCCATACCCCCCGTTCGCAATGTCTGAACCACCCTGCATCACGCTCCTAAACCCACCCAATGGCCCCTACATTCGACCAACCTACTCTCACATCGCCAGCATCACCTCACCCACACGCCTCATCTACACAGCCGGTCAAGTCGGTACACTACCCGACGGTAGCACAATCATCGGTTTCGAAGCACAAGCCAAGCAGGCGTTCGCCAATCTCAGAATCGCCTTAGAGACGGCTGGAGCGTCAGTTCGGGATATTGTGAAGCTCACATACTATGTTGTGGATTTGGAAGCGAACATCGATGCGTTTAGGAGGGTATATGTAGAGTTTTTGACGGATAAAGAGGGCATTCATAGGGCACCGTCTACGTTGTTGGGTGTGGCGAGTTTGGCGAAGAAGGAGTGGTTGGTTGAGGTTGAGGCTGTTGCTGCCGTTAGGGATGTTAAGAGCAAGTTGTAAAGTCTATGATGAGTTTCAAGGGAAGAGGGAAAGAGGGAAGGAGTCAGCTATTCATGAGAGACGATTCTCTTGCACATCCTGAGGCATGGTCCGAGAAGAAGATATCAGACCAAACATGAATTTCTTGACTTCTCACACGTGACGTGCCAAGACTGCAGGTCAACAATGCTCTGTACCACGACCATTAGATCGCAAACATATTGACATTTCTTTTTGACGCTTTCTCATAAGCATGTGAAGACGACTCCCACGCACTATCACGTGTAAAGCTAACCTTATCAGCCCCAGTTCCCCACAAGTCTGGCCCCCCAACAAGACGGGATCTCGAATCAACGAACGAACAACACGAACCTAAGCCAAAGAAAGTTTCTTTTCTTGGCCAAGGGGCTAGATGGAACTTGCCTACATCACCGCCACCAAAAAACCAAAACAGGATTCAAGATTTCAAAATCTTACAACTACATCTTCTTATATTAAATATTTAATTGAGGATTTTTAACTTAACAAGTTATCGTAGTAAATTGTAAGTCTGCCCTGGAATTCATCTTCAGTGCCCACTTTTGAACTTTGTACAGTGGATATCAATTTCGCACCTCACTTTCCATCTGGTCACGATGCCTCCTTCCGAGAGCGGAAGCGGCTCAGCTGGCCTCAATGGCAAAGATAGTGGCAAACGTCCAGCTATCAATTCTCAGTCCAATGGCCCCAGCACAAATGGAAGCTCCCAAGAACCTCACGACTCATCCTCACTTCTCCATGGCGGGGAATCGACCCCCAGTCTCCGGCCTCGACAATCAAAACAAACACCCATTCTCGACATCACGAAAGATTTGTCCGCCCTCATCAGTCAACAGATGAGAAGAACTCCCGACGCTGTTGCTCTCGAAGATGAAACCACGAGCTTGACGTACAGCGAGCTGGATGTCGAGGTCACGGATTTGGCCAATCGTCTGCGTGATCATGGGGTTGGGCGGGATAGACTCGTGGGGGTACTTTTGGGACGCAGTGCGAATTATGTAATTGCGTGTCTGGCGGCGCTTCGTGCTGGAGGGGCATTTTTAGTATTAGGTAAGTCCATTAAAGATCATTCCAATTGTTTTGGTGGGATGGATTTACGAAGTCATGTTTGGGGGTCCAATACTCAACACTGGGGGAGGATTGCCCCGAGCGTCATGACACCCCACGTTATCCGAGTTGAAACAGTGCTAAGTGTAAACAGAGCTCGCGTATCCTCCTAGTCTTCTGGCAGATGTCATTGATGATGCCAAACCGGTCGTGGTCATCACAAATGCAGCCCAAGCGAGTCAGATCAATGCTGATATCCCGGTGATGATCATCGAGGAACTCAAGAACAACTCTTACCGCCCCTCAGAGCATATCAAGAAGTCCCCTTTACCAGCTGAAGATGATCTCGAGCGCCTCGCCTTCGTCTCATATTCTTCCGGGACAACTGGAAAGTGAGTGTTAACGATATTTTCATAGATTGTTTCAAGGTACTAACTGATCTCGACCTCTAGACCTAAGGGAATTGCCAACCCACATAGGGCACCAGTCCTCTCATACGATCTCAGATTTCAGCTCAGCGATCTCTCACCCGGCGACCGTGTAGCATGCAACGTCTTCTTCATCTGGGAAATGCTACGGCCTCTCCTCCGGGGTGCCACAGTCGTCTGCGTTCCCGATGAAGCCAGCTACGATCCCGTAGCATTGGTAGAACTTCTCTCGAAACGTGAAGTCACAGAAACTCTTATGACACCTACTCTCCTCGCTGCTTGTTTATCACGACATTCAGACATTCAGAACGATCTTTCTAAACTTCGCACGTTGTGGTTTAATGGAGAGGTTGTCACGACAGATCTTGCACGTCGCGCTATCAAAGCTCTTCCCAACACACGTTTGCTGAATTGTTACAGCGCGAGTGAGACGCATGAGATTGCTTGTGGAGATATTAGGGAGATAATCAATAATGAGGCGTCCTTTTGTCCCGTCGGACCACCTATGGATCCTGAACATACCTACATCCTCAACCAGGAGGGGAAGAAAGTTGAAACTGGAGTTGCAGGAGAGCTATTCGTTGGTGGATCTCTGCTTGCTCGAGGATATCTCAATTTACCTGAGACTACTGCGGAAGCATTCATTTCAAATCCATTCGCCCCCGGATCCCGCATGTACAGAACCGGAGATCTTGCAAGAATGCTACCTTCTGGGATTCTTGAGATTACCGGCCGTGTTGGAGCTATGATGAAAATTCGAGGTTACTCGGTCGTCCCAGGAAAAGTTGAGAACGCCATCATTGAGCTTCTGGCTGTCAAACAGTGCGCTGTGATTGCTCATGGAGAGGGACTAGATAGGCAGCTAGTGGCTTATATCGTGCGTGACAAAGAGGATCCAGGTACGCTTGTTCTTTCCCTTCAGAATACACCCCCGCGAATTTGAATATAGAGCGGAGGAATACTGCCCCCACACTCATTCTCTCCAATGAGAACTGCCAAGATATGTACTCATAAAAAGCAATTGCTAACGTTGGGTGGCAGGTGACCGTCCAGTACCGATTATCGATGAGGCTGGATACAGTCTTGTGGCTCGTAGGGCCTTGTCAACATCTTTGGCACAATATATGATTCCTGCCTTGGTAAGAGATACCCATCTCTCCTCTTCTCAGTTTGTTGTCAAATAGGTTTGCGAACTGGACCCTGCCTCAATCACACTACATACTTGTTTGGCAAGTTCGACGAGCGAACACCTTCTTCAAACAGCAGCACTAACATCAAGTTTCATAGTGGGTCGAACTCGACGAACTTCCAACAAACAGAGTCTCTGGCAAAGCAGATCTCAAACGTCTACCTCCACCAGGCCTCTCGATATCTACAATGTTTAATCACACCAAGACTGAGCGGGATAGCAGCATTAGCATTGAAGCCGTTGCTGAGATATGGGCTACATCCCTCAGCATCCCCTTCACCTCTGTAACAAAAGAGCACACATTTTTCGACCTCGGAGGGCACTCGCTCACCCTTGCCGATCTCGCCACTCGAATGTCAAGAACCTTCGGCGTTTCCGTTCCCGTCTCAAGACTCGTGGTGAACCCGACATTAGAAGGTCACTTGGAAGTAGTGCGAGGTATTCGCGATGGACATACTGCAGCAGTTCAGGCAGATTTACCTGCTGTTCTACGAGGCGATTCCACTCTCGATGAAGATATCAAGTCTTCTGGGACACCAATGCGTGCTCTCAGCGCTCTTGACTCCGATGATACTGTCCTCTTGACCGGTGCTACAGGTTTCCTTGGCGCCTTCCTTCTTTGCGACCTCCTCGAATCAACATCCGCACGAATCGTCTGTCTGGTCCGCTTCAACAGTCCTGAAGATGAGGATGCGCCTGCTGGTGTTGCTCGTATCCGTAAGAACTTACTGGATCTGGGACTTTGGCAAGATTCCATCCTCGACCGGATTGAAGTCCTTCCTGGTAATCTGTCACACAAGAAACTTGGTCTTGCTCCAGATTCTTACAAGGAGCTTGTGTCAAGTGTGAAGGTTATCGTCCATGCTGGAGCTACGGTCAACTTGGTCTATCCTTATGCTGCGCTACGAGATGCTAATGTTGGTGGGACGAGAGAGATCTTGCGTCTGGCGGGGGAGAGCGGTGCGACACTTCAATATGTGTCTACTAACGGAGTACTGCCACCATCTACAACACCATGGCCTGAAAGTGCTATGATCGATGTTGAGGATGTCCCTGACAAGTTGGTTGACGGCTACGGCCAAACCAAGTGGGTCGCTGAACAATTGGTCTACGAAGCTGGTGTTCGTGGTATGCCCGTACGAATCTTGCGCGCTGGAACTATCAGCGGTCACAGTACTTCTGGGTCAACCAACACTTATGATCTCTTCACTGCGCTGCTCGTCGAGTCCCTTCACATCGGTTACTTCCCAAATATTTCAGGCTGGCGTGCTGAAATGACACCGGTCGATTTCGTCAGCAAGTCAATCGTCACGCTCGCCAACGATACTACATCAAAGAACTCTGTCTTCCATCTCGGCGATGCCAACCCTGTCGACACCCAATCTCTCTTTGACGATCTCGACAAGCTCGGCTTCCCCACCAAGCCTCTCGAATGGAAAGACTGGGTCTCGCTCTGGACCGAGAAGCGTGGCTCCTTAAAGCGAGGAGCTGGTGCCTTCACAGCCGACATTCTCCGTGGTGGAATGCCCAGCGTCGAGTTCCTACGTGATATCACAATACTAAACGACGAAGCTACCAAACCCGCGCTCGCAAATCTTCCACGTCCAAGCATTGATGTCAAATTGGTCGAAATATACGCTCGTCACTGGTATTGCAGAGGCTGGCTTCCACGCCCACCAATCCGCCTCAACCAAGCCAACGGATTCGGCGCCAAGCTCGTGAAGAAGAGCCCATTAAGTGGTCTCGTTGCTGTCATAACAGGTGCATCATCAGGTATCGGCGCCGCAACTGCTACTGCTCTCGCACAAGAAGGCGCACACGTCGTTCTGGCCGCGCGACGGACAGACGCCCTTTCATCACTTAAGAAGAAACTCTCTGTCTACGGTGGCAAAGTCCTCGTACACGCAACAGACGTAACACAGAAATCACAAGTCGAGTCCTTGATCCGCACTACAGAGGAAGAGCTCGGTCCAGTTGATATCTTGGTTTCATGCGCGGGCGTCATGTATTTCACCATGATGGCCAACTGCCACACCGACGACTGGGAGAAGACCGTAGACGTCAACTGCAAAGGCCTCCTCCACTGCCTCTCCTCCACCATTCCCGGCATGCTCTCCCGTGGCAAAGGCCACATCGTTGCGATCTCCTCAGACGCAGGCCGTAAAGTCTTCCCAGGCTTAGGCGTCTACTCGGCCAGTAAGTTCTTCGTGGAAGCTACCTTGCAGGCTCTGCGTGTGGAGACTGCTGGGACAGGGTTGAGAGTCACGAGTGTGCAGCCTGGGAACGTGGCGACGGATTTGTTGGGCTTGTCGACGGATAAAGAGGCGTTGAAGAAGTATGGGGAGCCGTCTGGGGCGAAGGTTTTGGATGCGGAGGATGTGGCGGGCGCGATTGTTTATGCGTTGAGGCAGCCTGAGCATGTTGCTGTTAATGAGGTTATGATTGAGCCTAGGGATGAGCCGATTTGAGGGGAGGGCTGAGTGAGGGATGGTGATGGTGGATTGGGGGAGGTGTGAGGGGGCGTGGAGGTGGATAGAGAGAGGGGTGATGGATGGGCGGTATAGATGGGGATTTATAGGTGATTTAAATGGTTGCTATGTAGCATATCTCGCAAATTAGGGAATAAAGCAAGGATTTGAAACATTCATCTAACACCTCACGTAGTATTGTGAAGATCTTCCACCTCATCGTTGTTCAGCAGCCTGGCTCGATCTAGACTGTAATCCACATCGTGAATCATTGCACTCTTTCTTACCTTACCATATAAGTGAATATTATCATAGAACTGTATTCCGTACCCTGTGGATTTGTGTGATAAGGTGTTCTTCCCGTGTACGTAGGCTACATTCACTTATCTTCGTAACGGACTTCGGGGAGGACTCTCAGCAGTGAAAGTGGTCCTTCCCCAAGGACTACCAAAATAGAGGAATCCTGTAAAATCATCACGCTCTACAATGGATCTTCTCAGACATCCCCGTGACTACATGAAAGATAGCATGCGAAGGATGAAGACCAGGGCTGAGTGTTTCGGGTGTAAACTGTGATATCAACCCCATTGAGAAAATGAGTGTTTTGGAAATATGCTGAGCTTGAAGGGTAAAACGAGTTGAAGATCCTATCATCATAGCCATACAAATGTGGTATTCATTGCCATTTATTCGATCACTGTCACTGTTAGTTCGACCTGAATTGCGTACCTAGCGAGAGGTAATTTACTGTCAAGTAGCTTTCAAACGTCAACAAACTCGGCTGGTCGCCAGACAACATGAAAAATGTGATTGATTAATTACTGCAAACTGTGCTTCCCGAAGACCAGACATAATACGAAACAATGGAAAGACTTTGAAACTGGAATTGAGATGCAACATGGTCGTGCATACTGATAAAGTTCTGCAGCCCGATGTCTAACTTAACAAGCCGTATTTTGCTTCTGGGGCCGGAGAAGGTTTGCTAAGAGCTTGAGACAAAGTCAATTTCTGGGGGTTTTGGTGGGTAGAAGAAATTTGGGTTTGGAATGGTCAGTTAGATCTGATTCTCCTCGTTTGAATCACTACATGGAAGGAATTGGAGTGTATAGGTTTGTGTGAAAGGTCGAGTTGTCCTTCTGGTTATTGCCATATCAGTCAGCGAGTACAGAGCCTCTCTAAGCTTCGTTGCTAACTTTCCAGTACAGAAAGCCCACCGTACAGGTGCAAACAACCTAAAATTTAGCGACCGAAGCCTGAAGCTTCCCCACGACTCGTACTTCGGCCGATCCCGGGCCGAACGGTCCACACGTGACAAGCGCACCTCGAATTTTTCGCTCACGTGGAAAGCCACCGTTTGTCCTGCAGCGGTCATCAACATCCATCTTCCCCTGTGTCGAACGGTTTGGGGAATGGACGTCGCAAGTCTCATCGCAAATGTAGGGGCCAGTGCTACAGGGTCCATCATCTCGAAGATCACTTGCTACCCGCTCGATACGATAGCGGTGCAATATCAAACCTCAACGCGGCGACCTCGTATGTACCCACCTCACTGCCATGTGATGCTAGATCACTCCTTCTCAGATCCCGATCTCCCTATTTATGTTCCATTGCTTTATATAAGAGGACTATATACTAACCGTCTGAATAGTCCTCTCCGTCCCACTGAGAGCATACTACCGCGGCATCGGCGTCACCATCCTGACCGTCACCCCCGCCACAGCAGTCTACCTCACCACCCGAGAAGCGACTCAGATCGCTCTCCTGCCACACCTAGGCGACAGTTCACTCAACGATGCCCTCTCAGGATGTATCGCCGAGCTCGCCGGCAGCGTGCTCTTCACCCCCATGGAAGTGCTAAAAGCGCGACTCCAGATCTCGCGTTCAGGGCGTGAAGGCAAATTGCTGTATCAGCTCCGCAATATTGCTGCTAAAGAGGGCTTTCGAGGCTTCTATAGAGGCTATGTTATGGGGATTGCGAGTTATATCCCGTTTAACATCCTCTGGTGGACGACGTATGGGAATGTTCGGCGGGGGATGCCGGATAGGAGTGTACAGACTCAGATTGCGTGTGGAGCTGGTTTAGCTGCCGCGACGTCTGCGGCGTTTATTCATCCTCTTGAGCTGGTGAAGACGAGGTATCAGGTTGCGACGAGCGATACTGTTGCAGCGGCTGGTGTGGTGACTGGTACGAGGAACTCGGATCGAGAGGGGTTGAGGCAGGTGGTTAGGAATGTGATGAGGGAGAGTGGACCGAAGGGGTTCTTTGCCGGGTTCTTGCCGACGCTGTTGAGGAGTGTGCCTAGTGCGATTATTATGATGAGTGTTTTTGAGCATCTGAAAGCGAAGAGGAAGGATACGGGTCAGGAGTCTGCGTTGTGAAATTTTAGACTAGATGGATGGCTGCATGGGCTGCTGGATCTTAGAATTTAGGTCTGCCATCGAGGGTTACCAGATGCTCTCTTTCGGCTCAATTAAGTGCATTTGGGTTTTTATGGTCGTTCATAGAATGTACAGTAGGCATTTGCATTTGTCTTTTGATATTTTTCTTCTTTTTATTCCCATGTTTATTCTCACACTGACAGCACTCGTCTAGTAGATATGATGGCTACCTGCGCTTGATTGGCCATTCTTGAGCAGCCGGAAGTCATGTTTAATTCAGGATGCTTTTTGAAAGACAAATTACTGATAGGAGACCAGATCGAGAATCAACAAAGCCTGGATGAAGGACAGCGAGTCCATGCAGCTTCCGGAGGATGCTACCTACGAGCCGATCTCGCTCTATCCTCCGTCTATCCCTCCAAACCACCAGATTTCGTACCCAGTACGCCGCTTCCACCTACCCAACCCACCCATCAAAATCTAAACAGCACCACCACAACCCTACAAAACAGCTTTCTCCCCCTCGATCTGGCCACCCCCCTCACCCTCCTCGCCCTTCTCAACCACCTCTCCCCCACCTATCCCCATCCCCAACCTCCCCCTCTCCCCCACCACCCACTCCACCAGTATCTCCGGACAAACCACCAACCCGCTCAATTCTTCCAGCAAAACATCCCTATCCCAAACCTCACACATAATCCTCCTAATGCCCGTCGAACTAATCCCATTACTCGCACTCCTCTCACTACCTCTAAACCATATAACCGGCTCCCCAGGAACCGTCAACGCTTTGCAACTCCATAGCTGTCCGATACGACGCTCCTTGTTGATGCTTTCCGAATCGAGAGGGCCGCGCTGCCAGGGTGTGCAGTTGGGGAGGTTGGATGGGGGGTTTTCAGAGGAAGGGGAATGGTTGTTGATGGCGATGTCGATGTTGAGCTCTTCGACTGAGATGGGGTTTGGATCCTGAGCTTTCTCCTCTTTCTCAAGGCCAGCTTCCCAGGGGTTATAAAAATCAACAGGCCGCCTTGCATTCATAATAAGGAACTCATCGACAGGACCCCACTCTATCAACTCTCCTGGTTTCTGGTGCGGCGAGCTGTGAATGGAGAGTTTATCGCCGCCGAGGAAACCGGTTAGTGTGGCTGGGATTGAGGGAGAGGAGAGGGAGGAGGAGGATTTGATTAGGTCGGTTAAGTGTCGCAGGAAGGCGATGTGGCTTGTCATTGAGCCGGTGAGGAGCTTGAGGAAGCCGGTTGCGAGGAGGGGGGTGAGAGAGGGGTGGTGGGCGAAGAGTTTGCTGTGAGGGGGAAGAGGGGGGTTAGTTGTTTTGGATCTTAATTTGATTGGATGGGGTTGTGATGGTGAAGATTTGAGGGGAGGGAGAGTATGTACGTGCATGTCAGAAGAAACCGAGAGAAAGATACTCACTACCTAACCTCCTGCCCCATCAAAAAAACATTATACTTCTTCTCCCTCCGCTTACCAACCACCATCTCCGGATCCGCAAACACAAACAAACACCTAATCCCGAAATCACGCCTATGTTCGTAGAAGTAGAGGATTGTAGTGAGGTGGCCCGCGTGTGGTGGGTTGAAGGATCCGGGGTAGAGGAGGAGGGTGTTAGGCCCAGTGGGGTTGAGTGGGATTGCAGAAGGTGAGGGTGAGGAGGGCAGGCTGAAGAGTGTGCAGGGGTCGGAGGTGTGGACTGGGGAGAAGGTGGTGAGGGCTTGGTGGAGGTAGAAGTCGAGGGTGGTGGGACTGGGATTTTGTTGCTGTGGAGTGGGTTCTGAGGCCATGGTGGGGAGGCAGGTGTGAAGCTTTGATTTGAATATCGAAGTGTGCTGCGAGAGCTGAAGTGTCGAGAATTTGAAGAGCTTTGTCGAGGTTTTATGATGAAGTGTGGAGTGGAGACTGGAAGGGTCTGGCTGGAGCGCATTTACAAATGTGCTATTTGTCGCATACTAGTATCCATGTCATTCTGGGACTTTATTCACAAGGCTAGGTGGGTTTCACACGGGATTCACACGACTTGTGATATGGTAGGTAGGTGGCAGGTATAGTCAACAAGCTAAGCGAGGGGCGGTGATCCTGAGTCTTCCACGCTTAGGTACGACATTGACACTCCTGTATCGCCACCATAAGCGACCTCTTATTATTAACATCACAATACGAAGATCACCATGTTTTTCGACTCAAGCAACAATAGAAAAGGTCTCAAAGTATGCAGCTGTACTTTCCTATTGTGACCCTAGCGTATATCAGTAGCTCGTATGCCTATTTCCATCTAAATATATCTCCTTTCTGATTTATTCGTTCATATTCAAGCAATTTCTCCATCACAGTCGTTACTGCTATCTGAAACGGATACACGAAAAGCAGAACATCTCAAATCCAGCAGGAAGCTCGGTCTTTTTATCCTTCAGACTCCCTCTCAGCTCCTGAACGACATGTTCTCCATGGCCATTCTCCCTCTCACGGTATTTCTCATCAGCTTACAACTGCACACGACCATAGCAGCCATCCAGAATCTCGCTTTCTATGGCGTCTGGCTAGGAGCAGGAAGCAATGCTTCGATCCTAAGAGTTCGTCTCATCCTGAACCCCAGAACCCTTTCATACTCTTTCTCCTCCTCCTTCTCTCCTTTACCTTATTTTCTGTTCTCTTCTCCCATTCCCTACTAGCCCCTCTGTTCTGCGAGCTCTAGTCATCAAGTTCTAATCCCACTAGTTCGAAAGCACACTCATAATCCCCTCACCGTCACCAGACACCAGCTTAGAAGACAATGTCCAAGCTTTTTGGCCTGGTCTCCAGCCCGCAGACAACGATGGTGTGTTTCAGAACGTGGTTACGAATCAGGGTGGGAAGGTGGGAGAGTGGCATCTTCTGCCGTTCTCGTGCTGTAGGTATGTAGTTTTTGTCGAGTCACCCTATCCGTTTGGATTAGTTTGAACCATGTTTGGGGGTTGGATAGGTGAGTGAAGTATGATGAGCTATGTGCTGATGAGAGCAAGGATTTAGTCCTGCGAAGGCACTTACGCCGCAGATGAGAGGTGAGTAGAAATAATCCTTGAGCCTCATACATGCCTTTCCATCAGAACCCATGAATACGAGAATTCCAAGAGCCGAGGAAGGGTAAAGGGCAGATGACTAACGACACAGCAGTCCATCCTGGCGACTCGCTGACCAACATTTTCGCCCTTGACGTCCCAACCGGGAAGTGGTACGACAACTACCTCGTGACACCGAACCGTGTTGGCACGGGGAGAGAAGACGGTGCCGTACCGTATGGTGGTGGATTCACGTTTGATCCTAGGGATGATGGTAGGTTGCTCATTCCCTTCCACTCCCTTTCAAGTGTGGCTCTGTGGCTGTGGAGAGATATCGGGAATACCAGGTATGGGCTAGAGCTGACATGGTTATCTGGCGAACAGCGGAACTCGGAGAGAAACCATTCACTAGCACGCTAATGACCATCGAATTGCAAGAACGAGGGAAATGGAACTTTGGTGCGGTGGAGTGGAGGAACATCTTGGTGGAAGCGAATACCACGGAAACTAAGTGGTGTGAAGAGTAAGTCGCAAGTCTTCAACATCACAAAACACAGTCCATTCAAGCAGAGAGATTGGCATGATCGTACTGGAACAGTGCTGATGAGGCGTCTCGTAGTGGGCCAGTCCTAGCAGGTGGCCACAATTTCAAGAGGAGCTTTTCGATGCCGACATGGAATACTGTCGGAGCTACCACGACGTGCCACATTGCGCAGATGATTTTCGAAGGGCCGGAAAAAAGAAGATGAAAGACGTGGTTAGGGATGATGTTTGAGATGTTTGTGTGAGTAGGAAAGGTTCGTGGATGAGGCGCTGGTCGCTTGATAGTTTAAATACAACCGCTCCCACCTCCCCAACACTTCGCCAAAGTGGGAGCTGCTTAAAAGAAAAGGCTTCTGAAAGTCGGTTAAAATGGATTTCTAAGACACCATTTGATTCATCAAGATCCAAATGATAGGTAGAGATAAAACAAAGTGCGGTTCTCATGATAAATTTTCAACAAGAATCTTACGTTGGTGGTGTCAATCCCTGCCTATACATTCGATATAGATTTTTCGGCGAAATACAGGTCCAGGATTCCCAGGGCGGATATCTTTTGGGGCAACAAAAGTGACTCAGCTGTAGGTAACAGTGCAGGTGGTGAATCCATCTTACCAAACATTTTCGCGAGAAAAGACTAAGGGCATAAATACTGCTGGTAGGACGCAGCTCATTTGCATGCACTTACCAGTACCATAGAGATACTACAGACGGTGTGCGCGCTCTGTAGCTCTGGGTTTGTGAAGTCTCTCACTGCGATAGACGCATCCTCCAAAGTCGTTGACGAGAGAGAAAATTTAAGAATCTGAGGAGGGAATGTGTGAAGTGGGAGTGTTGAAGCGCAGACAATTTAATAAAAGCAATGACAGTGAAAGAGCAAGCGACAGTAGTACAAAATTTTTCGGCTTATGACTGGCATCTCACCAGAGCTTGAGAATGCGGGTTTGAAAGGCGCTCCAAACTTGTAAACACGCAAATAAGGATCCTCTGCACATTGCCGGCCTTCAGCGTCCCCATTGTCTTCGTACCACTTGATTATCTGCATTAGTCTTTGACGTAAGACATCTAAACGCCGCCTTTAAGTATTTTGCGAAGTATATATTTATCCACCTACTGCTCGGAGTAGCCCCGTGAATATCCTCAGAAGTGAAAGCTGGACACCACCATTATCGTAAAAATCAGTGAATATCTGTAACACAGCGCCATGTGAGATAGTACGTCCTCATCACCAGATAAAGCACGTGTGTATATAAAGCCTCTCAGAGCTTGAGTCGCTTGGATAAGAACGAGAAAAACGATGTCGCCCAAGAACTCATAGTTTCACGGACAGCTTGCCTTCTCCTCTCTGAAAAGGTATCGTGTCGGTATCTCGTGAAGCGGCTGAAATGTACTATGACAGGATAAAGACGTGCAGTGACAACCATTTCCCTCAGTTTCTGTGTTTCGTATCTTCAATGGAAAGGAAAGAGCGTATATTTAGCAAGAATCCGAGACTTGGCAACGAAATGAAAGTCGACGAACATAAGAGAAATGGCAGCAGAAGGTGAAATTATAGGCAATCTGCAGCATGGAAAGAACGTCGAATTTCTGAGAGGCAGTTTCTGTACGGATCTGTATAAATGTTTGAGATGACTGCCCTAGAGCAAGTAGTGCGAGGCTGGCATTGCCCGATGGATTCTGTGGATCGAATCATTTTCTTTTAGTATGCCGCAAAATAACCGGGATCAGTAGATTTATATACTTGACCATAGACCCTTCTTCAAAGCAATAAATGTCCAGTTAAATATAACAGAAAAGAGCGGGCAAGGGGTTCATCGTGCTCGGGATAAGAGTGAATATGTGTGAATAAGAGTACCAAGAGGAGAAGAATTAGGAAAACTCTCCCGCTGTCAATCAATCTCTGCTGATTTTGAATTCCAACTGTGCTACCTAGATGATCATAACATTGGAATCCCATAGACCTGGGAAGGAGCAGAGAACAATCCTCAATTCATCCACGCTACAAGCACAGCATGGAATCGTCTTCCAGAAGTTGCACTTTCCTGGTTCAGCCTCCATGTAAGTCATAAAGTCTAGGGACTCTGATGTGGTAATTTAGAGACCGTTGATTTATTTGGAATAGAGATGAAAATGGCTGGTCAGAGTGTTGAGGCTGTCATGAAAATCAGGGGTGTGGAGATGATGACAAGGAGAGGGGTGGAGGGCAATCGGGAAGCAGATCTTATGTTTAGCCAGGCGTGACATAAAATGCGCATCTCGCGGTATTTACTTTTCCACAGCCCTAGGTGGGTTCCAGACCTGGCCTGGTCTTATTCTCAACTTACGTTTCTATCTTTCCATGTTTTCAATCTGGAGCCTCATTTTGGAATTCGATTTTCGTTCTAGGATGAATTAAATGTTTCAGGGTCCTCCATTTATCCGGCATTATTACGTCTCCGCGGACGACACGTTCCTTGTCCTCCTATTCTGAACAGGAACTCCTCAAATGATCGCAACTCACCATTTCCCTTCCGCTCGCAGAAGGAAGAACATCCTTCCCAGCACCACCCTCATCCGGTTCTGTTTCCATCTCCATCCTCGTCTCTTCCCGCGCCTCTTACTTCCGTTCCTTCTCTCTGCAAGCCAGCGGCGTCCCTCCTCCTCCTATTCACTTTGCAATCTCCCTACAAAGGTATCTCCTCGAGGAAAAACAAAACCAAGCGTCACCACCTACCTCTCATCTCTCGTTTCAGCCATTCCCCTACCATCCTTCCCATCCCATCCCACCCGCTCCCTGCACACAGCACTCCTCCGGATAAATACCCCCCTCTTCTGCTCCCACGCAAAGCAAGCTTTCCCCAAATGAAAAAGGCGGAGATACAAGCCTTTGGGCGTTTTTATTTCTGCTTCCATCGAGTTATTGAGATCGCTTGGCAGAGCGGTGGATAAATGGGTTGCATGCATGCATATCCAGGCGGCAGCCAGGTAAGGTAAGGTAAGGCAGGGAGGGAGGGGAGGAGGGATTTAGCCGGATGAGGGACGAGTAAGCTTTGAGGCTTGTGGATGAATAGGTAGGAAAGAGAAGGAAAGGAATGGTATGCGTAGTTGTGGCACATATGTATGTACCTCTACAGCTTAGTAGTGAAGTGTATTAGTGTGTTATTTTAGATTTGAGATTTGAGATCCGAGATTTGTGGTGTGGGAGGTTGTCTGGTTGTTTTGAGGAGTCAGGACGGAGGATGCGTTTTGATGGATAGGTACAGTAAGGTATGGGGAGAATTAAGGTAAGGGAAGGTGATGAGTGTTCAATGAAGGAAACTAAAAGTGTGAATAATTGTTCGATTTGAGTTTACACAGGAAAAGGTACTTACAAGTAATAAATTAGCCCCCCTCACGATTGATGAACTCGAAGCTGAGAATGGAAATGTAGGACACGTGACTCATCTCATCCTCCACCGTTCCCTTCCATCTCTTCTCCATCCATAAGCTCCTTGCTGCTATTCTATCACTTCATTATGCTCAGATCCATTTTAAACATGCTGTAAATTATCCCCCTATTCTCACTTATATTTCCCTTCCCTTCCCGGCGCCCAAGTTCGGATTTCGTTCCAGACCAGCTAGCTGCACGTTTTGATTCTCGGCCTCTAATCACTACCTAGGGATGGTCGATGGACTTTCCATTCAGCCGAAAGACCATTCTGTGTTTCATTAGTGGTACATAAAAATAAGCTGGCGTGTTCCATTCCTCCGGGGTTTGTTCTGAGAGACGGGATGGTGTGTCAGAAATCAAATCATATCATGTGGCGTAACAGGTGGTGGCGTGGGTCGAGACTTTAGGATCATGGCATATCTGAGATCTAATGCGGCTGGGACTTGGGGATTTTCAAGGGTAGTATTGTATTTTACAAGGTTTCTGATATGGTACGGAATGATTGTTGGAATATAACATCTGTTGTTTGGTGGTAGTTAAGGGGAGGAGAGCAGCTGCAAGTCTTTTGGGTTGGATAATCCGTCTGTCTGATCTGAGTCGATTTACCAGGGGAATGGGTGCGAATGGCTAGAATCCTGACGAAAGGGGTCCGGAGTTACGAAGTTAGGTTGCTTTGCATCCGGATGAGCCATGCGGCTGCTGAGTTTGGAATTATTACTCTACTGCATCTCAAGTCAGTACCCGCCATACAGCGGCGTCAGCGTCAGCGTCCGCGTCCAGTCGAAAGGACGAGAGGGGAGAACTGAGGAAGCCCGAACATTCCGGGCTTCTTCGGGTTCTGGTCAGCTGCTGCTGCGCTCGGTGAGAGGAGCGTTCCTGGCTGCAAATAAAATGAAAATGTAAAATGTGACAGCGGGTGTATAGTTCCGTGTCGGCCGTTCCTGGGGAGACGAAGACAGGCAGTGCCCAGGCATTTTTGAGGGCTTAGAATATTGTAAGGTTGGAGAGGAAGGATATGAATATTGAGAAAAAGGTAGTAAGAAGGGGACTGATGTTGTAAAGAAACTAAGTGGTGCGTGTAAACATCTGATCTGACGGATGAAGAGATGAGATGATAGCGCCTAGGCTTGGTGTTTGAAGTGCCGGATGTGATCTCCTGATCGTGAAATCCTCTGTCGCCAACGGCTCGACAATCAATGTATTATCTAAACCCAATCCCCGGACCCCGCGAAATCCCCACAACTCCACGATATCAAGATAATGGGCTGTATTGTATTTACTTTTACGTACACTGTTTGTCAGTGTGGATATCTCTGTATGTTGCAACACAACGTTCAACGTTTGACGTTCCTTTCTCCTCGGTAAGAACGGCAAAGGTGTAAAGTGCCAAGCAGACGCCCTGTTCTGGAGTGCTGCACCCAAGACGGGATCATGGACAGGCATGCTGAGGTGTGGTCGATGGCCACGTTGTGTGCTGATTTATCGATGATGATACTGGGATTTCTGGTTTTTGTAAATTTTTTGGTGGTGAGGTCGCTAAGCGATGAGTGCGTGCTGATGCCCAGAGAAGTGACGATGCCATGGGGACGAGAGAGCTCAGCTATATGTTGATTATTTGGTATGGTGAGGAGAGGGTGGGAGGTTATCGCTTGGATTTGTCATGATGCTACTACGGTGCGCAGCTGTACGAAGCCCTGTGAACAGATGTTGCAGAAATCTCAAGACAGTCTTAGCTCCCTGCCACACATGTGTTCTCACCAAATCGCAGCCAATTTATTCAACATCCGCCTTTTCTCTATTCATTTCATTCTCGCTCTTTCTTAATTTACCATCATCCAATTCTGTCGCACTTCGCAGTCTCAGAATACTTTACGCATGCTTCATTCTGAAGAAATCCTATTGGGCGTCAGCCCGGATGCTGTGGGGAGAGGCGTTGCTAACATCGAGCCATCTGTGGTTTTGAGCTGGGATTCGATGACCAGGGGACTTTATCCGCAGGGGGTGACGATGGCTAAGCATTGGGGCGTTTTAAGCCAAGAGTGATGATGACTTCAGTGGAATTTCTGGTGGCTTGAGACGTTTGTAGTGAGCTGGAAGACTTGGGGAAATGATGAAAAGATAGACTTGGAAAGATCGTGAACAATATGCTTCGAAGAGAAGAAGATGGCTTTGGACATGTGAAGAGGGGCATCTGCACTGTTGACAAGTACGACATTCAATGCAACTTCAGAGGAAGTTTCGGCCCGTGAAATCAAGTCAGATCATCGCCGACTAAATGATTTTTTAGCTCATCAGCTGCTTAGATTGCAAATAACTCCGTAAGCCCAGGATGAGATGCAGTAGCCGATGGGAGAGCCGCTGGTGGGTGAGATGGTGCAGAGTCAAAGAGGAGTCGGGCGAGGGGCTTTACTTTGTTTATGGCGGACCGCGTTTCATTGGGTTGTCAACGAGGAAATACGATTGTCCGAGGCGAGCAGTCCACTTAGTACCGCTTGCAGCTTAGCGGAACATGATTTCTAATCCCCTGCACATCTCCACCCTGCCGAGTTCTCCTCTCGTCATCGAATTGAGTTTCATGGAACTCTGGAACAACATCCACAAAGGCCCCGGTGCCCCGAGGCTCACCTCTCCAATAATGAGATGAGAATTTATCCACACCTCGTTTACGCGCTCCTGGCTCTCTCGAGGAATCTGGGATGAGTCCTGTTCCCAACAATCAATCAGATCGATGGTGAGGCACCGCCTATCGTCTCGTGGGTACGGGCGAATATATGCTCGTCGTGCTGAACTAGGAAATCTCACCGTGTAAATAACAGTATGCAACAGTTGTGATGTGCTTCGCCCAGAAACGTTGAGAAATCTTCTTTACGCCCGCCATGGATAATTGATGTCAGTGCTCCTTGGCGGTCAAGTCCCGGGGATCAGATCACTTGGCTTTTACGCCTCAACCTTCTTGGTGTACCGACGTCCCGAGGAGCACTGGAACTCTCAACATGGTCTGATATCAAAAGACCTTAACCGCCTGAAAGACAGCAGTTCGGCAGGACAGAAGGGAGCCTGCTTCCCTGCATGCGTAAACTGAAATCATTATCGGTCTTTCGTTTTACCCCATGCCCCATACATTTCCTTCGAGCGAGGCCCTTGCTGGGGTATGAGAAGGCGACTAGCCACGACTAGGCCAAGTGCAATCGACTTACGTTCGAGAAACAGGCCATATACCCCTGGTTGGAATTTGAGTGGATAACGGACTCATGGAAAGATCATCCTGCTCCAGCTTCGGCTGTTGCTCTGAAGAAACCCGACCATGCTCTGGGAGATGCTGACCATCGTTTTGCCGATGCAGTGGAGCAGCAATGGATATCATTTTCCCTATTGGACTTCACGAGGCGCTAGTCCTCCTCACAGATCATTCATTAGTTCAGTACCTGAGCTCATCCCGGTACAACTGACCTCACCCCAGACTGCATGAACAAGCTACTCTACCCCATCATCCGGAGCCAGTAAGTGCTATATATCCCCTCTCCCCACCGTCAGAGCGTCTCTCCATCTGTTGATTCTCTTTTATCATTTGGTCTCTTCCTTTGACGACTCTGGGTATACCTCTGTAGCAAGACTCTAGGCATAGTACAGCAAGGCAAACGCCAACAAACTACACAATGGCAACCACAACACAAACAACAGACCCAGCTCTCAATAAGGAGTACCACAGCGAGAATGGCAACTCCGCAACTCACGACCACGCTGCAGTCAACGGAGCTACTAATGGAGCTACCAATGGAGCTCACCACAATGCTCATCGCCGATACGACTATGGAGGAAACCCTCTCGCCCATATGAACACTGGCGAGAGTGCTCGCTTGCCAGCTTTCGGTGGAGAGTTCCAACCAGGTCTCTACAAGCCCACGACACATCGCAAGTTCGCCAACCCCGCTCCTTTGGGATTGAGCGCTTTTGCCCTGACCACTTTCGTCCTCTCCCTAATCAACATTGGTGTTCGTGGTGTTCACGAGCCTAATATCGTTGTTTCGCTCGCTTTCGGTTATGGAGGTCTTGTTCAACTGCTCGCAGGAATGTGGTATGTACATTCCATTCTGACTAAATTACAGTGGCAATGAGCTGATTCCTCTCTCCTAGGGAAATGGCAGTAGGCAACACTTTTGGTGCTACCGCTCTCTCCTCTTACGGTGGTTTCTGGCTCTCCCTCGCAATTGTTCTTACCCCAGGTGGATTCCAAATCGTCGATGCCTACGCAGTCACAGACGCAGCTGGAGAAGCTACAGGCAATGGCGTGAACGCTTTCAACGATGCCTTTGGATATTTCCTCGCAGGCTGGTTTATCTTCACCACTATCCTGTTGATGTGCACACTCCGATCCACCGTCGCATTCTTCATGCTGTTCTTCACTCTCGATTTGGCTTTCCTGTTCTTGTTCTTGGGACACTTGTACTCTGATTCCGAGGGCAAGAACAACACTGGACTTATCAAGGCTGGTGGATATTTCGGTCTTTTTGCAGCATTTTTGGCGTGGTACAATGCTTTGGCTGGTATTGCGGATGATAGGTATGTTCTCTCTGTACATTTCCTGTCACTCGGCAGATTACTGACTTTCTGTTTACAGCAACTCCTTCTTCGTCATCCCAGTCGCACACTTCCCATGGTCCGAGGAGGGACGCGAGCGCAGAGCCAAGACCGAGCGTGAGACTGTCTAAACGGTTTCTCTCGATGCACGAACAATTGCGCATATTTTGATATTTGGGAAAAGGATTGGTAGGGAAGGGAAGAGGAGGAACGGACTGGATACGACATTATACCACGGTAGCAGGATTAGCATCTCAGCGAAAATGTTTGCATGAATGGATGGATTGATTGATTGACTTCATGATACCTTGGAATTGGGTCTTCACAGAACATAGTTGGATTCGACATACGGGGAATGATTATCTATCTAATGGGTGGAGGAGGAGGATTGTCGATATGATGAAATATATTTTGGATATATCTACTCGCCCCTTTCCCTCTCCACTTTCATTCAAGTCTCTTTCAATCACACAAGTCTATGCTCTCCTTCCTTCCTCCCTCTCTTTCTTATCAACACCTCAAGTACCTATCTACCTATCTACCCAAAGCAACAAACCCTCCCATCGCGATTTTCTCATCGCATCGCATCGCATCGCATCCCCTCCAAGCCTCGGCTTGCTCTACCCCTCCATTCCAGTCCACACACCAAAAAAGTCAGCCACACACACACACACGGCTGGCGGGATCGCCGCATACGTCAGAATTGCAACGCTTCGCTAGCTTACAGCACCCGCGAAACCGCCTTCTCCGTATCTAGCATCTCGATCAGCACAACAATCACGATTACGATCAATCAAGCCATCAATGGTAAGGCAAGGTAAGGCAAATAGCATGTCATCCCCTCTCATCTCATCCCATCTCATCTCCATCCCCAGACTCAAGACTCGGACCCAGACATCAAGAACAAGGTTCCCCGCATTCCCTCCCATCTGGGTCGGTCGCCTCTCTTCACTTTATTCTCTCATCCATTTCACGATACAATACTACACCAATGAAACCCTCAAACATACGCAGCGTAAAGCCTAGGCGTTTTTTCCCTTTTTGTCTTGAATTGGAGATGCAGCGCATCAGCAAATGATCGGTCAATTAATTGCCTGCGTGTGTAGGTATCACCTGCGGTCATATGACATCGCGATGGCTCGTGGCAATCCCTTGAGGTTTAAGGTTCCTAGTTCAGAGAAAGGGATGTTAGTTGGCTATGCTGTCATCGCTTCCTTTTCTAACGCTTAGGTCGCATCGCATCGCAACGCATCGCATTGCTCGCTCGCTCGCTTGGTGGTGGTGTTTTTTAGTGACCGCACTGTGCGCACGGCAGTTTGTTAGTTGATGGATCGCCATCGCCGGCTTTGTATGTTCCTTCCTTAGGCGGGAAGGAAGACTTGGGGGGCTTGGGGCTCTTGCTGCGGTGACGCAGAGGTTTGGAGGGGAGGGCTTGGTGGCTGGTGGCTTTAAGGGGAGAAATACTGTAAGCTTGGGCTTGGGGGAGGAGAGGAGAAGAGGGGCAATTAGAGGGGAAGGCAGCTACACAGCTCTCCTGGGCAGTCATGGAGCTTGAAGGCGAGAATTGCTAAATGTGAAGATTGATGAGAGCATCGGAAAGGTAGGCAGGAGCAAGGCCGCGTGTGCACTGTAATTGTGTTACAGATTATTTTCTTCCTTTTTTTTCTTCTCATTTTCATTTATCGATATATTAACAAATTTTGCTTGTATTTTCTCTTCTCGTTTTTTTTCCTGCTTGGTGGGGTGGTGGGGTTAGGAGGGGTCGAGGAGGGATTCCAATTGATGTGAGAGAGGGGTGTCCTTACGAACGAGTGAGTACTTGCATGTCAAGTTTTTCCGGCTTTACTCGCAGATGTGGATTATGTCTTTATTTTTATTTTTCACTTTTTAACAATTGGTTGGTTTGTTTTTGAGAATCTTGGGGCGATTTGGCTTCTTTGAGATTTGCTGTTGGTCGTGGTAAAGGGCCGATTTTGAGACTCGGCGGAGAGGAAGATTGAGATTATGTTTAAACCAGTTCCCGCGCTTTGGAATGGAGGCTGGATTGGGATTGTATATGATACTCTGTGATCAGTATTATGGGTGCCCTTCGTCCTATCTCTTACAATGCTGGGATCCTTGTTTTTATTGTTGCTGTCGAAATATCACTTGCCATCGTTTGTCTTCCCTTTTTCGTTAATGAATCAAGCATCAAGCAGGTAGCCAGGTGTAAACGATCTAGAGCAAGAACACGGAAGGTTATTATCCAATCCAGGCACCTCATGAATTTTGAAATGTTTTTACTTGCACAATTACTGCAATTCTCTCCCCTCGTTTTACCTTCTACTTCGTAATTCGGCCCAACTTGTTCGTTACTCGTCCATCCTGAAGCGGAATATATACCCCGCTCGCCCGCTCGCAGTTCGCCGCCATTGAATATGGATGTCAGTCTGTTGTATTCACTCTCACTTTTGGGTAGAGTCCGCATTTTGCCCTATGTGAATATCCTGAGAGTGGGTGCCTTCTGGTGGCGGGATTGGAGGAAAGTTGTTGCTGACAGGGTTGAGAGGTATAAATACTCGGTCGTCATGTAAGCCTCGATAGAAAGGTCAAACCTCAGATGACTGGTTCATGACACGACTCAGGAGGAAATCAACGTCTATGGAATTCGTTCTAGTCGCTAGATATTCAGTATTGGTGAATAAGAGTTTTGCAGAGCTCGTTAGTCCCTATTTGGGCAGTATCATGCCAAGCCCTCTTGTCAAATGCTGTACCTTACCGTCCAATCTGGTGGAAATAATTGTTACCATTGGCCTTGCTATTGTCAATTCCCATTTCCAGGCTGTAATTGCGGGTTGAAGTGCTCAACTCCGTATTCCGAGATGAAGGAGGATATTTCAACAATGCCACTGCCCATGTGGTGAAGTGCCATGAGAAAGCAATTTCGCAGAGTAAACAAACGATGAGAGCAATCTCGCTGGCACATAAATCCTTCATTCCTTGCAGCATTCGCAGCTGGCTTCTCTGAGCGAAAGTATAGAGCGGGAAGATATATCCTTCTTCTTGACCGGGAATCACTCACAGGTACTCAAACAGAAAAGCTATGATTTGTGTGCATTTGTGAGAATACAAGTTGAGAACTAAAGAATTGCTTTAAAGTCTATTTTGGAGTTAGCTTCTGGCATCCTAGAATTTCGAATTTATTTTTTATTCACAATCGAACTGTTGATTGATGTATAAAATGATCACTGCAAGTCTTCTCATGGTACCATAGACCTGTCAGAGATACTTGGAGTCCAGAAAGGAGGCGTTTTGTTCATCGAAACCTGCCACCGTACCACGACTCCTTCCATCGCGATGAAAGAGGTGGATCTAGCCTGTTGATTTCAACGGACAGTGTAAAAAGGGACAAATACACCCAATATTCCATATCAGGTAGAGCACCTTTTCACGTGGAACATTCGCAAGAGACTCTTCTCACTCATGAAGCTCAATGCAAAATGAATCTGCTTTGAGGTGTCTTCAGAAATTATCAATAATGCTTCATCTCTGCCATATCTCCAGGTAGCCATATTTAAGCCACCACGCGCAAGCTGCAAAATCAGGTCAACCCCGTGTTGAGTGGATGCGAATTGAGCTGTCATTTTGAGATTGGGAGTGCTCTGTGTAAAAACAAGTATGAGATGAGATTTCCTGCGAAGTGCAACAAAATCTTACAGCCGAGTACAGCGATGACGTCACGGGGTGCTGAAAGTGTGATTCACCAAAAAGGCTATCTGGAATTGGCGTTGTTTTGGTTTATGGGCCAAAGCCGATTTCGAAAGACCTTTGGGATGACTTTTCCTCAATGTCCAGAATAACAGAAGATCAACTCAAAAGACCAAATAGCAAGAGAAATTCCCCAATAACAGTGCTCCGGATAGCACGATTGTCAAGTATTGATCCCAGTTTCAAAGTTGCTCCCCTCACTTAGCTTACCTCACGACAACAAGTTCTCCTTGCGAATACACCGAGGAGGATCAGTCTGCAGAGGAGGATCAGTTTGCAGATGTAGAGTGATACGAAGAGGACAACCAAGGGAGAGAATTCATAGATATTCGCTACCATACAATATTTTGTCAATTCAAGGGCTTCGATAGCGGACGACTTAATGTGGCCGCCCCGCAGTTCACGATATTTTATATGGTTTGCGGGAGGTATCAAGACTCCTGCCGCACACCATCGGTCATCATAGATTGATCTCATACTTCAATTCTCTATATAATTTCCGGATGTGATTCTTCCCTTAGTTCGGCCCAAGAAAGGTGATGTACGCAATGTAGCAAGTCGTCTTGTTGGTGTTGCCGTTGACGGTGGCTATCGGTTGGGTTCTTTGCATTTCGAATTTATCATCCTTGTCAAGGCTGTCAAATCATCGATCAGCTTCGTCACCTAATTCTGTGAAAAAGTCGACTCACATGTTGACACACCATTCAGTCTCGTTGGTTTCTGCCTCGATGATAACATTCCTCCACTCGACAATTCCAAAATCCCATTTCCCTTCATCCTGAAGCTCGATCGATAGAGTTGCCTGGATAGGTCAGCGACCGTGTATTTTTATTACCACTAGTCTCTTACCTTTACCAATGGAGACCAGTTGTTTTCAGCTGTTGAAATGGTATTAGTCTTGATGTCACCTCACTGGTCAATAACTTACTGTACTTTGTGTCGAAGTGGCCATCTGTGACTAGCCCTCCACCGAACGGCGGAACACCTCCTTCGTGGCCCAGCTTCCCAGGTTCTACCAACCAGTTTTGATACCAATTTTTTGTTTCGGGATTCCATTGGTAAGTATTCTGAAGTAGATCACCTGGATATACTTTGATCTCCTGTTAACGACCACGGGGCTCCGTGCAAGGATCGGGAACTTACGTCGAACTCTGTCATCAACGAGATCCATGGCTGGACTGAACTTTTGTCAGAAAAGTTTTCCTGGTATCGAGGTAGGTACTTACTTGCAACACCAGTACGGGAAAAAGTACCACTGCGAAAATACGTCATTTTTTGCACATTAGTATCGCGTCATGACTTCCAGAAGGCCACGAGGTTGGGGTTACCTCAAGAGGGGTTGTGAAAAGACCCGCTCACCGCATTATCGACTGTTGGTTTTGGTGGTTGGTTCAAGTTTGAAAGAACGTTTTGGATCAAGCAAGACACAGGGTCGGGTTCTAAACCTGGCCACATGGAACGAAGACCTTGGACCGATTTAGGGTCTTTGTCTGGGGTTACGGAAGGAATGAGAAGTGTGCTTTGAAACTATGCTTTATTAGCATACGTGATCCCGAATTCTCCACTGAGAAGTTCTACCTTTGTGATAGGTGCTTGGGGGAAAATTTCGATTCCGTAGAATGTGGCGGGAGGTGGAGGCTCCGCCATGCTCGCGGATAAAAGCACTGCTATTTCGAGGAGCCATATCAGGACCATGATGCTTGAGCTATAGCAACTCTTTGGTTTCTCAGGTACCAGTGGTGATGGTATTCACGTCTTTACAATTCTTTTGGGGGAAGAATGGAAATAAGGTGGCTATGCAAACCTAAAAGTAAAAGAACATCCCTTTTCATATTTGTATGAAAGAAGGGGCGAAATGAAGAGTCAGTGGTGGCCGGTACCCAATCACAGTTTCTGAACATACAAAGACTCTGGGGTTTTCGTCGCCGCTGTGACCTTGACACTGCGCCAAAGACTAACTATAGCCCATTCACTGCTAAATTTGATTCAGAGGTTCTGCTCCACATGTCACTTCGCAGAAGTACAAGTATATAAGGATCAGCAATATATCTCCTTCCTCTCTTTCACTTCAACCTCAAACCAGCTACAATCGTAAACACACAAAAAAATCCCTAAGACAAACACGATCAAATCCAAAACTACAACATTTGTCACAACTGAAGACTTCTGCACTTTAAGCTTCACCACTTTCCACTCAAGACACGTCAAGCTCTACCTCTAAAACACCATTATCCTCAGTATTGCTCTTAACTTCATCAACTACACCATCCCCAATTCAATCTTACCTCTCGTCTTACTTGACACTGACCTAGTAACAATGGATGTCAGAACAACAGGTAGAATTGTTTCGGGATTCCTACCTCTGCCTATTATCACCGATCGCCTTATAATTCGATCATACCGTTCCACAGATCTTGAGGCATACCATACACTCTTGACGGACCGAGGAGCTATGGAGGGAACTGACATTTCTCCAAATAGAGACTGGACTGAGTCCTTACTCGAAGGGAACATACCACCGTACGGTTCTGATATGATGCTGGGTATCTTCCTGAAAAATCCAGACGGCTCCGAGGGCGACTTAATCGGAGATGGAGGCATGGACAATTTACGTACAGGAGGAGAATGGCCAAGCTTGAATTACCGTTTGAAAACGGAATACTGGTATAAAGGATACGCCACGGAATTCGCAAGAGCTTTTATGGCATTCTGGCGGAATTTACCTCGTGTGCCTATAACACTCACAGTACGACCTAAGTCTGTGGACGACCAGCAAGGTAGCCTTCACGTGACGGAACGAGTCTGTGCTTCAGTCAAGATGAAAAATGAAGCAAGTCAAAATGTGCTGGAAAAGCTCGGGTTTGTACTATTTGATTTTGAACTAGGGGATGACGCCTTAACCGAATGGCGTTATATACTTAAGGTATAATATGGTATAAATGTATACGCTTATAGATGGAAACATGTTTAGCCTGGGCTTAAAATCAATTTGTTTTTCCTAACTCTTCATCGTAGAGCGCCAAAGTCACTGAAGAAATTTCTGGTTACATATTTTTTATCCTCGGCGAATACTTCTAGCCCGGGTGTAACTTGTAGACAAAGAACGAATATTCAACAGATTTCCAGTGCCTTGACAGGTTGGGCATTTTCTCTAACAAGCGACTTACTCCTTTCAACACCTATACTTTGTTTCTAAGTATTGGATTGTTCTTCAAGGAGCGGGTTAAATAGCACGACTGGAATGGGTAAAGCTTAGAATATCGGCGTGATGACGTTTTATAAGAAAAGCTTCAGTCCAAGTAAAAGTTCTTCAATATAATCTATCTTTGGCTTCTCTATTACTTTTGGACGTGAGGGGCATTTAAATTCCATGACTTGCAGTAAGTTTGCCAAGACCAAGTAGCGGGGTAATGTTTACCCCGCCATTGTTTAAGCGAGGAAGGAACACATTTTCCACCAGTCACCAGAAAGTCTCCAATTGACACACTACCTGAAAGGCGAGTATATTTTTGAGCAGTAAGTCACATAGTTGACGCACCCGACAATATCGTACAATCTCGAGTCGATAAAGCTCCAGGCGTTAAACTTCCCCAGTCACAAGAGGCTTAGACTAGAGCGGCGGTGAATGGTGTTTTGCAACCTTTAGATTCGCACAGATTAGGCGAATTTAAATTACAATAAACCGCACTGTAAGATATACACGGCTTGTTGAAGACCAATTGAAGAGAGCAAGTCATGGAAGCATCGTTAACACTCCAATCAGACCTCACCAAGACTTACAAGACCATGCTTTTATCAAACAAGGCAAGTACTTAAGATGCAATGTGAATATTGAATCTGCACCCAAACAGGTGGCTAGGAAAGTCGTTCTGGAAGAAACATATTGATTCGAAGGGTGAGCAGTGAAACATGAGACCCAAGAATTCTGGTATCCTATTCCAGTCCATGTCTTGCTCCACTCATAAGTCCTCATTGATTTCCTCGCTTCTTTTCCGTCGCTTTTCCATTTCAAACTCACTTTGGTACATATCCCAAACCAAATCTCGCAGCTCCTCCACGCCAAACTTCTCCAAAGACGTCAAATTGAACCTGTGCCTGTAATGGAGCCCAAATGGCACCTCCCACCATGGCCCTCCATAAGCCAAGCCAGACTTCCTTTCCTTATCCTCCTGATCTGCAATGTTCAAAGCTTCATCAAACATCCACTGCTCAACGAAATCATCTCCCGGGGAATGCATATGTTGGAAGACAAAGTCTATAGCATGTGGAGTCTGAAAAGCTTTCAGTTCTGTCTGCTCCGCGTAATAATTTGTGAACAATTGAATACGTTCTGCCTTGTCTGTAATTTCCCATGCTCTGAGAATTGATTCGAGATGCTGGTTGTTGTAATATGTCCGTAAGGTCGATCTCCCCAGAGCGATGGAGATCTGGATGCCGTGAAGGGCGAAGAAGAAGACACATATCTTGACGAGAATGGAAAATTTGGTCATTTTTTCGATTGGCCTCGTAATCTGAAGTGGGTTGACGTTTTGTGGATTATTAATGCTCTGAATAGGCGATTCACAGTCTTTGGCTTGGAAAGTTGCGTCGATCTGTTGTGACATTGTTGAGAGTGCACTAGCCGAAGACGCGCAATGGCATAAGGTTATGGGCGGCGGCAAGACTAGCTATATAAACATGATAAGGGGTCGTTTAAGGGGCAACTCCATTTAGATAGTCCCGGCTGGGCTGTAACACAGAAGACTGAGGCTAAAGTCGGCCTCAATCTACCGGCGGTTTCCAGCATGTTTCCAACAAAGGTCACGTGAAATGTCTTGGGCCTGACCTCGAAGTCGTCTTCTTGGCGAAGACGAGGTGTTTGATCGAGAAGAGTTTGGTTCCGAAAAGAAGAAAAAAAATCAAACTGTTTGAACGGTGAGTATTTTGGATGACTTCACAGAACACTTGTCTTACTTTCCAACATTGATATGAGCTGTTCCGAGCACTTTTGGAAATGCAGAATGAGACGGTATTTAGTCACGGTGAATGTCATAGACCTCAGAGGAGGAAAACATGGCCCCAAGAGAGAACTTGTAATTCATAGCAAATTGAGAGTCATAATAATGCGACATTAAGGAATGTAGACCTATAAGACATGCCTCCTCTGCGAGGGAGACATATCTCTGGTGCCGACATCAGTTCAGACTTGCCATCACTCAACACTTACAGATATTGCTGCATCTTCATCGATACTTCGATTCAGACAAGATTGCCAAGATGGAGAATCAGCCACAGAAATTGCCTGACCGAACGAGGTATGGACAGCTCCGCCACGTTTTGCCTATTACAGCCTGGGAACAATGTGCTGACCAACATAGGGTTTGGCAACAGAGAGAGTCTTCTCCAGCATCATCTGCATCAGACAGATCACAATATCGCGAGCCGTGTCGCTTGTCAATGGAATCACCAACATCACCTCCATTGAAAAGAAAACGAGGTGTTGTGGATCTTTCTCAGCTACTTCCTGGAAAGCAGTATCAGGAGAACCCATGTACACCACCCAATTCTCAATCGTGCTCTGACAAACTGGACGATGACTTCGCGGTCCGGCCTCTAAAGAGACAGGAATTTGAGATTGGACCTCAAGATTCATCGCCTTACGATGGTAGCGACTGCTCAGATGATTACGGATCTGTTTTAAGCCAGGAATGGAACTCAGATGCTGAGCAGCGTCTGGAATCCTTACGAGATTTGATTCATGGGATGGAAGCATCCATGGTGAAGCCACCAGTCTTGTATTACACGTGGAAATACAAGCCAACACTTTGTTCGTGGAGGGTAGGGAAGTCTTCGAAAAGAATTCGAGCGCAACAAGGGAATACCGAGACGAAAGACGGAGGTAACGCAACCACTGACAAGAAAAACTCGGCAAATGGCAATGAGAAAGAAGGAGACCCGACCAACAGAGAACATAAGAAGAAGAAGCGCCAGAAAGAGCAGGAGGAAAAGGACTGGGCTGAGGCCAGACGCCGGGCACGTCAACACTGGATTTGTGTGAGTACATCTTATCCCTTCTGCGGCCTGAAGTAGCTAACAACAGCATCTTAGCACGTATGCAGAGAGGGAAATCCCAGCGTGATCAGAGTTTACCATGAGAGTACGCTCCTCTGCAGGGAGTGCGACCACAGCCATGAAGGCTGTGTGAAGTGCCCAGGTCTTGGGAACCACTTTGAGGAGGACATCGTGCAGTACATGTATGATCAAATGAGGTGAGGTGGAAGGTAGCAAGCGTTAAAGAGGATAGGGAGGGTCAGCCGAGATCGTTGCGTTTGGGATGTGGATTTCCTGGGCTTGGTGTTCTGGTAGCAATCATTTGCAATAAAATGCGTAGTTTCTCAATGATCCTGGTGAGCATTCCACTAATACCCATTTGCCGGACCAGATGCGGTCATTAATTGATCATGTCGCATTGCAGTCAAAGTGGCTGGGGATCAATTGAATTGGCATTAGAAGAATAGGCAGGCTTCTGCATCTGAATTCTTGTCGCAAGTGTCTGTATTCACGGGCTACTTCCACCAGTGCCACTCTCTAACCCATCCTCGTCCTCGTGTTGCCGGGATTCTTGTCCCCATTTCCCAGCTCCAGCCTCAGCATCATCATCCTCGTCTTCACTCTCGCTAGCCTTTCTCTTCTTGGCCTGTTTCTTATACCGCCCCCTTGGAGCACGAACCGCCTTCAGAGGCTTCAGGAAACCATCGATATGCACCGCTCCATCCATCTCCTCATCACTCGGCAAAATATAATCTTCCACCTCTTCTTTCTGAATCTTATGTCCCTTTTCAAGATGTCTTTTGACCGCAGCCATATCCCGGAATCCCTGAACCCTACGAGGACAAGTCTGGATGGGACAAAAGACTGCTTGTCGGGATGGATTAGACTTCGTGCGGACGCCAGGAAGGATGTCAGGTTCTGAAGCAGAGTCTGAACCCGACTCGTCATCGGAAGATGATAGCTCCAACATATGCTCGTCGAGGTCGGGTATGAGCTCAGGCTCGTACCGTACAAGCTCGTCCTTCCCTTCTCTTTCCGCGAACGGAATCTCTGCAATCCGTCTCATGACCATTCCTTCCCCAAATAAATTCGCACATCTCCTCGCCGCCCTTTCAAGAACATCAGGCTCAAAGCCTACTAGAGCCGCAACTCCGACAACCTCACTCCAATCTCGTAAGTCTAGCCTCCTCCGCCGAGCATCCCTCAACTCTTTAGACGTAGCCCGCTTAGCAGGCACGCTCCTTGAGCGTTCTCGTCCTCTTCGCGGAGACGGAGACTTAGTCGTGAGAAGTTCAGCTGGAGGCGCGAATGCCGGGAGAGGTTTTTTCTGAAGACGTGCTACACGCACTGCATACTCTTGTTCTGTTTCTCCTTCGAGACGTTCGTATACCTTCTTGGGACGCCCGCGATGTGTAATTTTAGGCCGAAGAGGATCTCCGTGGTCGGGCTCATGGGTGATACTGGGGACAATTGCCGGTTTGGTGCGAGTGGGGAGATCTGCGAACTTCCTGGGCCGGCCTTGGGGCCGTTTGGAAGGCGATTCTGGTGCTTGCTCGGAGAAGGCCGTGTCTGCCACGGACTCGTCGTCTGTGGTACCAGCTTCGGAATGCGAGTATCGGTAGCAAGTCTTCCGGGCGTGGTGAAGGGCCATGAGGAGTTCATCGAGTTTCGAAAGTGTGTGGCGGACTGAAGGACGGAGGAGATCTCGAGATCGTTCGTCCTCCGCTGAGACCACGGACTTCATGTGTATTGTGGGTTGAAGGGATTTGGATGCTTCATTGATGATGGGTTCGTCCTCATTTAACGAGTTGTGGTATTCGCTCCCAGTACTATCCGATTCAATATCTTTCTCCTTTCCTTTCCAAGTGTCGTCAGGATTCCCTTCTTCTACTTTTTTCCTACTCTCAAACCTCTCCTTCGCATATTTCAGTGTGACCCCAATCAGCACATCCTCCAATTCTCGGCTTGGCGCACCATCTTCCTCTGCTTTGAAAGTGTACTCCTCGAATTGCTTCGGCAGACCTATCTCCTCTCCGTTTCTCGGCACATCATCTGGAGGTAGTGGCCATGCCGTCCATCCCTTTGCAGGTCTGAATGCCTGGTCTTCCTCTGGGATGCCGGGAAAGTCATTGACTGATTTCCTACGTCTCTGATCTTCATTAGCACGCAAGTAGAAGAAAAGTACAGTATCAGACATACCTCGGGATCTTCAAGTTCCCGTGCACGTCTCTTCAGCGCATGCGCGTTGAACAGATGAACACTTAAATCTGCATTCCGAATGGTGTCTAAACTGGCCGCGAGGCTGCGCTCCGGCTCCGTGAGAGTCTGCCATGATGTCGGCGGACCTTTCCATCGATTCGGTCGCGTGTTTGCATCATGATTTTCTGAGTCCGAGGAGCTGTGGCTGTCGCGATCGGTCATTGTTGGCCATGTTGTGATGGCTGAGGTTAGGTTCGGCGAGGCTGAAATTTTGGACTTTAAGGAGGGAATTTTAAGGAGGGGCAAGGCTGGGACCTTTTCGACCAATCATGTGCTTGTCATGAGGGGCAGGTCAAAATTGGGCGATTCTTCAGCTATCTACTCAATTTTTGGATTACAAGTAAGATTAAATGTGGCGCGAAGTCATCAATGTGCTATAAACTGGAGTGTGGACTGGTTTGAGTGTCCGGTAGTATCTAGTTTTGAGACGAATGCGATCCGGTGTTTCTATTGGCTGGTTCCGGACTGGTAAACATTTGGAACCGAGAAACTCTCCTCACTAGTATCACGATACTGTAGCTGTAGTGCCCGGCACCATTATATTCTAACCCTAAGCTACTAACGCACTTGCTCCATGAAATCCCACTGACATATAACCCTTTCAAGCTTCATTCTTCCAACTCATGACATATATCAAATATTTCGTATCTCGCAGCATAGCTCCCAATATTATCCCGCGAATCTTCAACGACCAAGAACGACATGACTTCATCCAAGTCCACAAATAACCAAGCCTCTAAACCCGGTACTGCTGGAAGTCTACCTCCCAGATGCCAATTTCCACCCTTGGAAGCCCAGCCAGCCAGTTCAATCGCAAATAATAAACCGAACAGGATAATACTACCTCCCAAAGACATGCGAGGCGAAAGAAGTTTGCATGTGCATACATACCACCAGGTAATGTCTCATGGGAATGAAAGGGTCTCTGCCCAGGACTTCTCTTCGAACACTCGTTCGGCAACGTACCGTCCTTCGCAAGCATTATCAGATATGGACCAGCGGGGAGGGGTTTCCGACGAGGGAGCAAATTCTTCAAATGTCTCCCCCTCGGTGTTAATAGGCCTAGGAATAACTTTTCAAAACACAATTGAAGGAACTCGCAACACTTCCGGTGTTGCTGGAGAAAGTAGCCAGCAACAAGCCAATGAACGAAATGGAGTGAATAGAACAACCATCATCACAGTGGATATACATATCGACGACGATAACCTCTCAACCATATACACCAACACGAACAGTAACGCATACGCCAACACATACATAGACAGCGACGTCGAGAGCACAGCAGCTGTTGAACACTGCACTAAGACGCCCAAATGCCTCCAGAAAGTCCACCGCTTCATGAAGGGAAGCCCGCTCCAACGCCTCCGCCATAACATCGAAATCTGGAAATGGGAACGCTCTCAAAAGAAATCCGTCGCATATCAAGAACAGCAACAGAAAAAAGCGATCCAGAAAGAACAAGATGAGCATCTTAACTTTGAGAGGAACCAAGCGAGACAAGCGAAGGAGTATATTAATGAGATGAAGAACAGGGAAACAGAGGGACGAGTGGGGTATAGAGGGAGTCGATCGAGGAGGGAGGCGGTTGGGAATGGAACTTGGTGGGAGAAGTTTGGGAAGAGGAAGATTCAGAGGGAGAGGAGAGAGTGGGAGGAGGGCATGACGTGGGAAGTGTTGAAGGAGAGGCGTAGGATGCTTAGGGAGGGGGATGGGACGTTCACTACTATTGTGAGGACGTCGGCGGAGGTGAAGGAGGATGAGAGGAGGAGGTTGGAACATGCGAGGGACTAGACGTTAGCTAAGTATTGCAAAGTATGGGGAAATTGCTCCTCCTGGCTACTATCACAAGAGATGGTATCATAGAGGAGTTAGACAGTGCTTGAATTTGAATACACATAGTGTATTATCATATTCATATTTGCCGTATTTCCTTCCCACGCATCTCTGGCCTCTCAACTTCCCATTCGTCTCGGAGACCTGCAAACAAGGTGTCCGCAACTAGGATGCTCAAACCCAAACTCCACACCAAAGTGATGGCGTAGAAGAAATTGGCGTTTCCACTTCCTGCATAAATCCAGAGATAATAAAATGCTGGACCTAGCAGAGTGGCGTAAAGTACTGTCGATGAAGCCAAGAATGTGTATCGCATCAGGGGAAAGACGTGTCTGTAGAGCGGGAATAGAGCCAAGAATAGAGAGGTATCTGATATCGATGGGTATGGCTTGAATATAGCGAAAATACCAAGGAGGATTGTGAGAACGAATAATGGTTGGCGGCGCAGTCGAAGGGTCAGTCCCGCGACGTACGAGGCCAGGTGGATCCAGAAGACACCCAAGAAAAAGTTCCTGAACGAGTCGAACATCTCAATGAAAAAGTACCACCACAGACCGACGTTAGGCGTCAAGTCCGGCAGTAGTAGCTGTATCCCATAGGTGGATTCGAGGTACTCCCAGGATCCAGTGATCAAGAATGACATCTGCAAAAGTGCATATAGCGATCCACCAACTGCGAGCGCATTTCCAATGACAAAGCTGTACACAGTCTCCTCTTCATTTTTGGTTCTCTTCCGATCGAAGGCGAGAAGTACAAGTGGTGGGAAGAGGAGAATCGGGTATATCGAAAGGTAAGATGCGAAGGAGAGGGCGAACATCGAGGTAAACGAGGCGCCAACAACGGCTTTTGCAATGGCGTGAAGGATGGCGCATGTTGTGAAAACACTTGTAGGTCGTCCTATACATGTCGCGATTGTAAAGGGGTTGAAAAGAAATCTGTAGGAGTTAGCAGTTGTATACTGCTGCAAAGTCTGGACTTACGCCGCCGCAATCGCATAGCTACTCCACCGTTTATCCTTCCTGGGTGATGTATAGAGCTTCGACGACCCAGCTTCTCCCGATTCTGCAATCTGCATGAGAGCATTGGCGCTCAAAAGGTCGACCAGTATGTATAACAAGTATGTGAAGGCGGGGTACGACATCGAATTGGGGAGGAGGGAGAAAAGGGGGAGGAGCAGCGGTGCTTGGTGGTAGACTCCACCATCGTATGGGGAGACATTGTGGTTGTATAGAAACAATCCTTCTTGTACTATTACCCGATTAGCTAGTTGTCAGCCAAGAAACAACTATACTCACATCTCTTGAAGCTTGTAACTGGAGTGGATATTTCGACGCGACCTGTCAACAGATCCGGTAGGCCTGGAAAAGAAAAGAAAAGTAGTCGTACGACTGCAGCAGTAGCAAAAAGGGACACTTTCCTCCTGTCAACGTTCATCTTGGAATTGTGTATGAGCGAAAAGGTGCTGCTCAATACTTCAAAGCGACTTAAGTCAATAAACCACATGAAGCTCGAGATGTGGTCTTCGCGATTTGGCGGGTGGGTCGACGGAACTGGAAGTGGCAGGCGGTGAGCAAGTTCTGCCAATCAGTCAAGCTTGGATTGAAAAAAGTTCGTTTCCGCTCTCTGAGAAAACCCCACGTCCAATTCTCACAGCAGAATAACTCAACTTCACATCCGCAACAATGGGAAGAATTAAGAAGAAAGGAGTCGCTGGCCAGGCCAAAAACTTCATCACCCGAACCCAAGCCGTGCGCAAACTTCAGATCAGTCTCCCCGACTTTCGCAAACTCTGCATCTGGAAAGGAATCTACCCTCGAGAACCGCGCAATAAGAAGAAGGCCTCGAAATCCTCGAGCGCATCTACGACTTTTTACTATACGAAGGATATTCAATATCTCCTACACGAACCGCTGCTACAGAAGTTCCGCGAGCAAAAAGCTCTTGAGAAGAAGATCTCGAAAGCGCTTGGTCGAGGAGATGCCGGTGATGCGCACAGGTTGGAAAAGAATGCCAATCGGCCAGAGAAGACGGGAAAAACGAAATACACACTCGATCATGTCATCAGAGAGCGTTATCCTACGTTCGTTGATGCGCTGAGAGATCTGGATGATTGTCTTTCCATGTTATTCTTGTTCGCCAACCTCCCCTCCACACCCACAGTCCCTGCAAAGATGATCGCAAGATGCGAGAAGCTATGCCTCGAGTTCCAACACTACTTGATCGTTTCGAATAGCTTGCGCAAGTCGTTCCTGTCGATCAAGGGTATCTACTACCAGGCAACAATCCAAGGACAGGATATCCTGTGGTTGGTACCTTACAAGTTCAATCAGAGAGTTACTGGAGATGTGGATTTCAGAATTATGGGAACATTTGTAGAATTCTACCAGACACTGCTTGGCTTTGTCAACTTCCGTCTCTATACATCAATTGGATTAGTCTACCCTCCGAAGTTCGACAAGACCAAGGATGACCAGGGTGCTGAGTTGGGGGCATTCGCACTTGAGGGTAATGGAATTGGTGCGATCACACAGCCAAAGCAGATTCCCGGTACCGAGCCCGCGAAGCCGGATCCAAAGCTCCAGAAAGAGATTGACAAGCTCATGTCGCAACTAAACCAACCTGAGGAGGAGGCCAAGGAGCCAGCTACCAGTCAGACATTAGCTGGAGAGGAGGACGAGGAAGAGCAAGCTACAGATACCATCGACAAGTTTGAGCCTGCAGCTCCTGGTGGAGATATTCTGTTACAGCCTTCATATTCCGCAACCGACCCTTCTACCCTCTTCTCGAACTTCACCTTCTTCCTCTCCCGAGAAACACCTCGTCAACCCATTGAGTTCATCCTGAAAGCATTTGGGTGCAAGCGCATTGGATGGGATGCTGTTCTTGGGGAGGGTGCCTACACACATAACGAGCTTGACCCGGCAATTACTCACCAAATTGTTGATCGGCCACCAATTCAAGTTGATCCCGAGGAAGAGCAGACTGAGGACAACCAAAATGCTCAAAAGCTCAAGCCAGGATCCAGAGTACCAGGACGCATTTACGTCCAACCCCAATGGATTTGGGATAGTGTGAACGAGGAGGAGCTTAAGAGACCAGATTTGTATGCACCTGGAGCACAATTACCACCTCATCTTAGTCCATTCGTCAAGAAGGTCAGAGGTCAATACGATCCTAGCGCACCACTCAACGAGCAGGAGCGTGAGGATGAAGAGTTGGAAGCTGCCAGTGACGATGAGGCTGATGTGTCAGATGACGAGATGGCCGTTCAGGAACCCAAGCTTCTTACCAATGACGAAGTTGATGCTACAGCTGAGGGTATGGATGTCGCAGGTTCCGAAGATGACGACTCTGAGGAGGCTGAGGGCGAGGATGACGCCGGCTCATTTGGTGGATTCTCTGATGCTGAGGAAGAGGAGGAAGACGAATCTACCTCCGCCGCTATCCGCAGACAGCGCGAGCTCGAGGCAGAACTCACTGGCGTCGCACTGGAAGACAAGGAAGTCGACCCCAAAGCCAAGGCGAAGGCTGATGCCCGCAAGAAGGCTGCGAAGAGGAATAAGGAAGAGGAAGAGGAGTTGGAGAGAGCGAAGATGATGATGAGCAGAAAGAAGAGAAAGATCATGGAGAAGATGGTTTACAGCAACAAGAAGAAGGATGCCGAGGCTGAGAAGCTGAGGGCGAAGAGGAGAAAGATTGAGAAGTCAGGAAAGGGTCCTGAGCGTAACTAGGAGCTGTTTGAGTCAGATAAGGGAAAAGTATGGCGTTTGGGAAGGGAACCTTTACTGGGAGTTCTGGCCTACCATAGTGTGAGAAATAGATTACTACATACTGTCAAAGGTCTTTTTTATGAATCAAACAATGCTGGAGTGTGATATGAAGAGTGATCAAGAAATCTGAAGTCCCGTTACCACATTATCTTGGCCTCGTAGGTAGTACATAACTCTGGCCCGTTCCACAGCGGCTCCGGGAGTTGGGGCGCTTTGCCGCTTCTTGGCATTGGCACCTCCCCCACATGCAGGGAAGTGGCTTCCTTTCATCAGTCCTATCCAGCTTCGCGTCCACCACAGCCTTTCCTTTCTGGAACATCGCTCTGAAAGATCTCTCTTTCAACGAAAGCCTCGCTCGAAAAGGCCAGCCAGCAACAAAGTTAATTCCCCAGTCAATGATACTCTCAGTGACACATTCCATCCCCTCCTACAAATCATGACTTGACTTCTCCCACTACAAATGATGTCTCTAGCAGCCCTTGCTTGATTAACTATCAAGCATCTACGATGACTTCTACCCACGATGCCCATCCCGATAGCTCACGAAGCCAGGACGACTCGGCCCTCGACCGACGCACGAACTCCAGCACTTTCAGTGCCTCCAACAGATTCAGTATAGGTAGCAGCGAGACGGGCGAGTCAAGCAGGGCTGCAAGCAAGCGGAGCAGCCTCAGAACAAGCGATTCCATCAAAGACTTGCCAAATGGAGATGCAGGAACTCCAGATGCCGAGAAGCCTGTGAAGGATGGCAGAGGCAGTCATAGAAGTCACAGGAGTCGGAGGAGTGGAGGATTCCTGCTGTCGAATGCTGCGTTCGAACCGCCAGCGGATACTGCGACGAGCACAGGCTCTGCGGTCGAGAGCCTACTGCGACAACGACACTCTCTAGGCGATCAGAAGGGCAAGACGACTTTGAAGAGCCCAGAAAGGAGACACAGGAAGAGGCGATCAAATATCGGGACGAGTGTGGGTGGTAGTCCGCTGGCTTCGAACGTTGTGACGGCTTCTACTGGCAATGGGACAGCGGACATAAATGCGAAGAGCAGAGAGGATGGTGTGGAGAGTATGGACCATGAACCTACCGCGAAACCTACCGCTGCAGCACCAGCACTTGATGTGGACTCTGCGCAGATTGTCAATTTGGCTTTGAACCTGAGCGAGAGTAGGCGGAATGCTCAAAGGAGGGTCATATCTACGTCGATGCCCCCAGCTACAGGCGGTTTGGGCGAATCTTTCACAGGTAGTAGCTTACGGCATCAACTGCAGCAGCAGAGGCGAGTATCACGAAATGTCTCTCCCAAACCAGATCGGGGGGAAAGGACTACGGCCTCTTCTCCAAGGCTTGCGTCTGGGCAGAGGATCAATAGCCCACTTCAGGCATCGTTCGACACGCAGCCCGACGGCCAGTATCAGTATCATTTCTCGGCATCTACACTGGCCAGAGCTGAAAAGGCGAAGAACGCCATTGAGCTTATGGCACAGTATCGACGGTTATTGCAATACGTGCCTCCTTTAAAGCCACAAGCCTTAGACAAGACGTTTACTGCAAGTCCTGCGGGGACTGCCCCGGGCTCCCCTATCATCTCATCGTCCAAGGGCCCATCTCGAACCATTTCGAATACATCTTCAAATCGCCCACTAGGAAGGCCGTACAACCCTCTCCAATATATTCGAAATCGTAAAGTGCGGTCTCGGAATTCAAGAGCGATTGACGGAGAAGCACAAGGTTTTGGAGACCTTGAAAAGGTGTCATCTTGGGTAGATGCTGTTTCTCACCAAGCTTCCTCTGAAGATGGGCAGGCCGACTGTCTGATGATGCCCCAGTTCTCGAAAGCTGCGGACGATGCTGCTTCGCCTTTCGGATCTCCACAGTCGGGTCAGGGCAAGCCTCAGTCTGTACCTGTGAAGGTCAAAAGGCCCAGAATCGATTGGGTAACCAACCCAGCAGATATGATTGCGGATGTTTTCTGGCTTGAGCAAGATGACAATAAGAAGCTTATTGAGGATCGTCATGGCCTGAATATATTCCCAGCAAGTAAAGAGCTCAAGCGACCTATTTCACGAAGTGATGAGCCAGAGGTCAAGAACATCAGCCCGAAAGCAAAAGCAGACGACCTCGGACTCGATATGCGCATGCTTGACACGAAACTTCCCGAGTTCAAATCAGTCAAGCCTGACTCGGAAAGGTTCCCAGATCTGTCAACTTCGAGAGCACGAAAGAAGTTTCGGGATGTTCGTGCAGCTGCACGTTTACATCATGGGCATAGCGGATCCTTGAGGCACCTGAGAAGCTCCCGCAGTAGATCAGACGACTCGGATTCAGACGAGAGCGATGATTCCATGCCAAAGAGGAGAAAGCGGCGCAGTGGGACTACAGACAGCTACGACAATGGCAGGGGGGTTCTCGAGAAGCAGATGATGGAGATTCTTGCCAAGGAGGCAGAAGAAGCTCGCTGGTCTTCTCGTGACAACTCCAGTAAACGTCATGATGGTACTCCTATGAAGCCTCTGCCAAAAGACATGGCCAGAGCCAATGGCTCGGCAGGCCACAGCAGGTCTGCTTCCCTAGTGAAGGACAGCAGAGCCAATGGGGGATCATCAGGTCGTGCGAGCCTCGAGGTTCCTGGTATAAATGGGCGTGGATCAATGGAAGATCTCAATACGACTGCCCCAAACTCTCCTTCCATGAAGGCCACCAAGCTCGGTGATAGGTTTGTTCCAAGCATTGCGATGGACCTGTCCTCTGGTAGGAGTCGTCCTACTAGTACCTCGCCATCCCGAAGGCCGCTGTCAAGGATGAGATCAAAAATAAGACCATATTACGAGCGAAGCCAAGAGTCTGAGCACCAGGATGAGAATGTTGCCGTTTCTGTTGAGCAAGATCAAGAAAGTCCAGACCCTCGGCGCCGTTCCATCAGCCCTGTCAAAAAGATCATTTCGAGGAATACAGATGACAGCCAAAAGGCATTCCGCAAATCGGGTAGCATCCGGAAAGGAAAGGAAGACTCGGGCATTCGAGGACTTTTCAAGAATGCTCGTAATCCTGTGAGCAGAGTCAGTGACTTACTTTGGCGGAAAGAAGCTTCGCCAGGCCAAGGTAACTCTTCAGGATTCTCAACTGACGAATCCGACATGGAGGAGATACGAAACCCCCAGCAGATTACACATTCTCGCGACAGCTCTGTGGGTACTGCATTCGATGATGCTGAGGATGCTTCACCACAGATCGAAAAGAAGTCATACATCAACAGTGTACCGCCTTTGCCGACTTTCACATCACCATTTGAACGTCGTGGACGACCAACACGGATGCAGAGTGACGAGTCATATATTGCCCCCAACTCGAGATCACAAAAGCTCCCCACACGAGAGGAGCGCAGGAAATTTGGTTCTGATAATATGTTGGATGCTCCTAGAATCGACGTGCATAATGCATCCCCAACATCTTCACCTGATGCCGTACCCATTAACCGTTTCCAACGCGACTCGTCTGTCTCTGACATCGACTCTCGACGTAACAGCATCAATGGAGTTAAAAGAGCTGATGCTCGTCTCAATTCGATCCTTGGTCTCCCTGGAAAGCGCAGAAACGCCCTTCCAATCACTGGTCTCTCTAGCCTCGAAACGAGCCATGACCATCGTCCCTCACTCGGAGGCCGACAATGGTCCATCTCAGACCGTAGTCCCTCCGAACATCGCGGACCTTTGAACAGACGAGAGATCGCTCGTGTTCGAGCCCTCCTTCTCTCTTCTGGCATCAAAGCTAAGGAAATCTCTCGTCGCGCAGCAGAACTCAAGGATTTGAGGGCGGAGAAAGATCCCTTGTATGGAGATATCGCCGATATGGCACACGAAGAAATCGAGGTCGTCCCCAAATCCCAACAACATCGCCTCGCCGCCCGCATTATCTCAGATGACGTCCAGCTCTCTTCTCAAATATGGCAAGATTCCGCAGATACATTCGTCAACGACACGGTCAATGTTCTCATGAGCCGCATCGGTAGTCTGCAGCATCGCCTAGTCGATAATCTCACGCCGATGACACGCACGGCTGCTGATGAGGCGGATGAAGTCTCTAAAGATCTCGTGACGAGCCAGATGCTGAAGGTTAAAATGATTGGTGATAAGATCGATAAGATGACCCGGACGAGACGGCGGCGGTTCAGGTGGTTGAGGAGGGGCGGGTGGGTCCTTGTCGAGTGGGCGCTTGTGGGGATTATGTGGTACGTTTGGTTTGTGGTTGTGATTGCGAGGGTGTTTATGGGGATTGGGAAGGGGGTTGTGGGGAGTTTGAGGTGGTTGTTGTGGTTGTGAGGGTGTGGGTTGGGATGGGATGATTGCTAGAGGTTCGGGGGGAGAAACACATGGGATGGATGGACAGCTGAGATGTTGGGTTTGGGCTGTGAAGGAAGCTTGTATTTGTGCTCCTGAAATGTTTCAGATGGATTGGATGGGATAGGATGGGTTGGGAAGCATATTTGATACCCTGATAGCAATATAATATTAATGTTGTTTTGTTTTTTGCAGTCACGGCTCGGTATGCGTGAGTGCTTGCTCCTTCGACCTGGTGAGTGGAGATGTCTCGTTGGTTCAGTCTGGTCTCATGAACTGTTTGTGCTCCTGGGTGACTAAGAGGTCATGGGAATTGGTTGAATAGAGAAGAGAAAGGGCATGATTGCGATTGCTGTTTACCTGTCTCCACTCGCCGACGCGCAAACCAATAGTTGCTGCAGTGCAGTCTTTTGCGCTCATGCGTAGTCTAAGCGTGATCATATCATGAGTTGATGTGGGGGTGGTGCTGAAAGATATAATTGCATCCTACGTCCTCTCTGCCTCGCTCGCTCGCTCATCCCTCAAATTTAAGCATTCCTCTCTTCTAAAACAATGAGAAGCATCTATTATGGATTCTTCTGACTTCCCAGATTTCAGCCTCGACAAAGTATCTAAACCACGATGACTCTCACTGGTCAATACATTTTTAACATTGGTTTGCTGGGCTCGGCTTGTAGCACAGTCTAACATGCCCGTCTTGGTAAGGCCAGTCCTTGCCATTCTTATCCTTCTGTTGCCAGCACTCACAGTACATGCGAACATTAAAGTCCAATTGGTCCTGGTTAGGCAATAGCATAGGCTATGGCACTCGCAAAATTCGGACTTACAATGCACGATTGATCACCTGGGTGGTCCGTCTCGCATCTTCTACGCCAGAACTTGTAGACACAAACCGGATCTTGGTCCGGATTGCTCAGCTTCGGATCCGCTGTGTCGAGATTGCAGAATGGCAACTTGAATTGGACAAGCGAGCCTAAGATTGTCTTCGGGTCTGGATTTTGTAGCACCTTTTGGAAATTGTCAAGCAGGCCATCAGTATTGGGCGAGGGTGGTGCATTGTAGCCACCCTCTATGTAAGCTGATTCGGAAGCGAGTGCAATTGCAGTAGGATTCAGGTTGTAATCAGGGAGAGAAGCAAAGCCTGGCACTTCGTTGTCCGATACTAGGGTGGGCATCTCCATGTAGTCGTCGCGGAAAGTCTGTAGAACATACCTGATATTCTGTCAGTCTGTTACTCTTTGTACAACGGCGTAAGCGCTTACATGTTGCCATCTGGATCACAATATTTGACGTCGTCGTTGAACAGCCTGCCTGGCTCGCACGGGTCGAATGGAATGCTGTTCTTGGATACTTTGACAACGATGACCTTTTGTTGACTCCAAAGGTAGTTCAGCGCAACCGGGGCTAAACTTGCAGTAATGGCATTCGGCGCATCATTTGCAGGAAGAGAAACGTCCTTAGCGAAAGCGCCAGTTTTGAGTAGCTGGATCGCGCCATTTGGATCTTCGCAGTCCTGGTGCCAGTCTTCCCCATCTCTGTTATCAAAGCTATTCGCTAGCTGTCGTAAGTCGCCAGTAATGGATTTAAATATGTCTCCCCAGCTGCTCTCGATATTTTCTAGGTCGACATCGGCTACGGTGCTAAATAAAATGTCAGTAACGTTCACAACACTGGTGAATTACTCACTCCTGATCAGCCATGCCGCTGACTATGGAACCAGCCACCGAAGCGCCAGCACCTGATAATGTATTAGCTATGGTTCACTGACATCAAGTATGGTTCGAGGATCTTCGGTATTGATCTCGTATATTGGTAGGGACTGCTCACCAGCTAAAGCACCAACTCCTGGAATAATGCCCAAAATTGACCCCACCGCACTCAAGGCAGTGCCGATCGTACCTGAAGAGCCAGAAGCCGGTGCATTAGGATAGAAATCGTCTTTTATATCACCGCTCTTCTTGTCTAGATAAGTGATTGCATGCTGCACATTTTCATGCATGGTGTTCAACATGGCAATAAATTGTCCGTCGGCATAAAGCACAGTTGTGGCTTCAGGTCCGCTATCTCTGTTAAACATTTAGCATCGATTCCACACATGCATCTGGGCCAAGGAACAGATGATAAAAGCTCTAAATACGATATGTTGGGACAATTCAGAAAAATTATAACATACCAAATAGTATCCCACGGACCGCTCGACGTGCTGCAGTCGGCAAACGAGCATGTCCATTCTGTACGTTTTGAGATCTTGTCTTCTAATGTTTCGATCAAACCATGCTGTGCGGTAGCTGATGGATGTTAGCGCTACACATGGTATCAAAACAACAGGGACAGAGGTACTCACAAGCCTTGCACGCATCCACTAGGAAGTCTCCAAGATTGTGCTTGTTCCACAAGTCAGGCGTAATATCATCATTGCAGAGATCTCCATCACTGGGAGGAGGAGGCGGGTTCTCTGATTCAGCGGTAGCGAGGTCAATGCTCCATGCCATTGTTCCGCCAAAGCAATGCTGCCCAGCATAAGCCGTCTTCTGCTTGATTATCTCCTCGTCATCGTAGCCCATCCACTGATCGTCCCAGGTTATTTGTTTCATCATTGACTTATCGTTGCCCAAAGGTGTTGGGGTGAAGCCTTTTTCTGCAAGAAGGGCTTTGATCTCAACTATTGACATGATACCCTCTTGAGCTGTACAAGCAGCAGCCTTACTACCAGAGGTCCAGTAGCATGTACCATCTGCTCTTCTACAGGCTGGGTCGGCCAAAGTATAGCCCCGCCCATACAAAGCGAGTCCAAACTTCAGTTGTCAGTATGTAAACTCAAAAAGTTGGTGTATCGTCACTTACGTTTACTCTTTGCATATCTGTCGGAGACAAGTCGAACCACAAAGGCATCAAATCTTGCTCAATGTCGTTGCCATCTGTTTGACCATAAACCTTTTTGCCAACATTGGAAGATCGCCGTCCCAAGTTCCATGCAGATCGTATGACATGAACCCAAGGAAGCTGGCATACTTGATCAAGCCTTTGGCATCGAAGTGTTGCAGATAGTTTATATCCGGAGCCAAAGTGACACTGATACCAAAATTTTGGCCAAAGTCTGGGTTTGCTCGCATCTCGCGGACTAAAGCTACCAAATTCTGCATGTCGTTCTTCTGGCCTCCTCGCATTGGATCAACTGGATATTCCCACTGGATGAGAAGTTAGTTGGGGCTGAGATTGAATTCGGAGCAGAAATTTGAGAAAAGGTCCACCATCCATGCCGCTGAATGGACTTTAGGGTTGCACTTACATCGAGATCAACACCTTGAAACCCGTAATTCTTCATGAACCCGACGATGCTGTTGATGAATGTCTTGCATGTATCAACAGTTGACACCATCGAGCTCCACGAATCCGGGTTATTGGTTGTGTAGTCGAAGCCTCCGATACTAATCCACGTCTCGAGCTTGTCTGACTTTAAAGCAGTGAAATCTTTGTAGAGGTTTTGGTCTCGAGCGTCCGAGGAGACCACTTCGTGCGAAGCACTGATCTCTGGAAAAGCCCAGTATAGATGGGTATAGCCGCTGACGTCGAGGTCCGAGGGGTTCGCTTGTCCGCACTTTCTGTCTGCCGAATACACATTACCACCTTGATAGTAGGCAATGGTTCTTTTGGTAGCATCACCATTGGCGCAAGTAAAAGGCTGTTGTGTCTGGCATGAACCATAAGCTTCCTGGCATCCAGTGGCTCCAGCTGCGCAAAAGCTGTTGTCGAAGCCGCAATAGCCATAATAGCTGCAGCAGAGGTTCATCCCGCAAGGGATGTTACCGTCGTCATCGCTATACCTGTATACATGGGATTTGAATTAGCGATACAACGAGATCTAGAAAGGAAGGTCAAGAACCGAATGGTGATCTTACCTGCCACACGGTGCTGTTGCAGAACAGTTGTGCTGACAACCTTGTCCACAATAGTCGGGGCCGAAGCCGCAGATATTCTTGAGGCCGCAACAGCTGGCATCAGGGCAGAGGGTGTTTGCATCGCATGTTACAGCGCCCGTTGGTGTTGTACCTTGGGCTGCTTTGACGCGAAAGCTTGTGCTGTTGTCAAGCGGATTGCCATTGTTTTTCTCCAGATAGTAGTACTTACGCGGGTCGGCGGTGTCAAGAGTCAATTGAGAAGGGTCTTGCTGGGTGATGATGCTCCGAACGGATCTCATCAGGGCTGTCATAGCCATCATATACCAGTATGTCGACTTCATGGTTGCGGAACTGATTTGGGGTCCTGGCTGGCTGGCTGGTAAGTCTGCGCGCTCCCTTCTACATATAGACTGTCAAGGTTCTCAATTCATGCAATGCAGATCTAGAAGGCAACAGTCTTTCTGGCACAGAGACTAGAGCTAGTACTTTGATTGTATTTCCGCCGTCAGATGTAATTGGGGATTGTGCCCAAGTCGCCATCACTAGCAAAGTCCTACAAAATCAATCAACGTCCAAATTCAACTCGGTGTACCGACCCCTTAATACTTTATTTGATCAGTCCTCTGATAGGCACTTCCTTCCACCGCGAACGAGTCAAGGGGCTGGAGAGGCGTTATTTTGAACTCAGCTGCAACTGCACGGCATGCAAATCTCAGTTATTTCTTCTTCGATTATGTAAAGGATGAATCATTATGTTGGTTTGCAAGGCAATTTTACTGTGCTACGGCTCTCCTACTTCCAAGACGACCCGCGTTGGCTATTTTTTGTTTCAAATCTTGTAGTAGCATGTGAGTGATAACCTAGGACGAGCTGAGCCTCGAAAGAAGACTTATATGCCGAGGAGTACATGGGGGATTGAAATCTCACCGCCGCCCATCTTGTGATCTCAATCGAGAATCTTTTTTGTTCGATAGGAAAAGCTTTTCTGAGGAATCAGAGCACCTAGCCATGAGGATTTTCCAAATTATTCGGCTCTCTTGCGGGCTGGCCTCCGCACAAACAACAACAGCAGCTGTTCCACCATGGCAAACTGGCGTAGTAACCGAAGATGGAACTTGTGGTGGCTCGACAGGTTGGGTCTGTGATCCTTCTTGTGGTGCGTGTTGCTCCAAAGATGGTCGTTGTGGCCGCAGTGAGGCATTCTGCGGCGATGGCTGGCAAGTCAATCAGCACAACCTGTTGTAAGATTTATCAAGGATGGAAATACTAACTTTCACAACAGTCAGCCTCAAGCCGGTAACTGCAACGCACCAACCACGAAGCCACCAGGACCAGGAGATTCATCACCAGACGGATCTTGCGGCGGTACCAACCAGTTCATCTGTAAAGGCACCGGCTTTGGGGACTGCTGTTCAGCCAGCAACTTCTGTGGCAACTCAACAGCCCACTGCGGGGCAGGATGTCAATCAGGCTTCGGTTCCTGCTCAAACGACAAAACATCGCCTGATGGAACATGCGGCGGGTCTACCGGATATTCATGTATCGGCTCTGGCAAGGGAGATTGCTGTAGCTCCTCCGGTTATTGCGGTTCTGGATCAAGCTTCTGTGGTGGTGGTTGTCAGTCACAGTTCGGGTCGTGCTCAACTGACAAGACATCTCCTGATGGGACCTGTGGTGGGGCCAATGGATATGCCTGCACAGGCTCTACGTATGGGACTTACTGTAGTAGCTCTGGCTATTACGGTAGTTCAACAACGTTCTGTGGCTCTGGGTGTCAAGTGGCGTTTGGGACATGCACTGGTGGTAACATATTTCCAGATGGGACATGTGGTGGTGCCAAGAAATACCAGTGCACAGGGTCCAGTTTCGGTGATTGCTGTAGTACACAGGGCTACTGTGGCAGCGACTCCCTTCACTGTAAGTCGACTGAGGACGTTCCATTAAGTCCCTTTACATAGGCTTGAAGGCTTGAAGGAGAAAATGCTGAGATCCAGATCATCACAGGTGCCTCCACGAGCTGTCAAACGGCGTACGGAACATGTCTTGCTCCCACCACAACATCGACCAAAATTCCAGCACCAAGTAATATCTCACAAGATGAAGCTTGTGGTACCAATGGGAAGACCTGTACAGGAAGCACATTCGGAGGGTGCTGTAGCTCGAATAATTACTGCGGCAAAGACGTCAATCATTGTGCCCAAGGCTGGTCAGTAATATGAAGCTCTCCCCTATCAGCGATCACAGCTGACAAGTTCTCTCTTTATACAGTCAAACCAAGTTCTCGAATCTCTGCCAGACATCAAATGTCGCCTCCTTAAATGGGAATTGTGGCGCGAAAAATGGAGGATTCACTTGTGCCGGCGGTCCCTTTCATGGGCAGTGCTGCTCATCAGCGGGCTATTGTGGCTCGACTAGTGCGCATTGCGGAACTGGCTGGTATGTTTCTTTCTCAATGTGACATGAGTACGCCTTGCTGACAGCATGATAGTCAAAAGACCTATGGTCGCTGCACCTGACGTGCGGACGGAGCCATTGCCAAAACGGGTATTATCAAGAGAGGGCAAACACGGTGTTGTTCTAGTGACTTTATCAGATACACTCAGCAAATCAAAGATACAAATCTTGGTTTCAGCACTTTTACTGTTGGCGTGATTGGTATTTTGCTGTTGTCGAGCTCGATCTCTGTTCTGATGTCTACGCGCTGTGGATGCAATGCAATGTAAAACTCGGATCCGTCAATGACATATACCTTGTAGAGGTAGCCAGCCGCAAGAAAAGCGGATGCTGGAAGGGACTGAAAGTGGAGAAGAAAGGAATGTTGCACACAAACTGGAGTCGATATATATATACATCTATGTCGAGAAGGAAGATCTACCGGAAGTCCTCTGGGAACATGCTGTTTGAGACGTTGACCATCCGGCGGATTTGGTCGGCACAATGTTGCCCAATCCTTGGGAAGCTGAGAAGGCTGTTGATTAGCAAAGTCGGAGTACCGAAGGGATGTCGCAATAACTTACTATGAGCCTCAGTGTGGCCCCTTATTTCCCTGTCACGTTTTGGTAGAAGAATCTATTGTAAGCTTTTCCGATTTTCTGTCCTTTGGGTCTTAGTCGCTCTTGAAAATAAGCACACAAGGAGTACATTCGCACGTCTCCATTTGCAGTCCGCAAAACACGAGAGACTGGGTTCTAGAAAGAGAGCTCTTAGATATAGTACAACTGAGTTATATGCTATGATTCGAATTCTTACTATAAGACAAGTCAAGTAATACTCATTGAAACTAGAGGTTTATTTTCTCCCTTTCGGCTAATTCGGTTGTCTGTTATTGTCGCTTGATGTCTGAAAAGGAAAAGCGCGAAAATCCTTAGCGCGTTTTGGCGTAAAGTGATCGCGTCTTCCAGCCGAACCCCAGCCTCCTCCATTCATCAACACCACCGCCTCTAAAATACCACTGCACATCCATCCATATCCATTCCATCTTCAGTTCATCAATTGACCAATACAACATCCTAATAACCCATACTTCTCGATCTACAAACTCTACAACCGCCAAAATGGTCCTCAAACGCAAGCGCTCTGACTCCGAGATCTCCACCTCCAGCTCCCTCCTCTCCTCCCCCCTCTCTGCCTCCGGACACATGTCGATCGACTACCCCGTCTCCCAGACACAAATCCCAACGCCCTCCTTATTCTCCTCTCGAACTCGCAAACGCTACCGCGATAACCGTCCGTCCGAGTCCGAGGTACATCGTATGCCGTGCCTTTACCTCTCACCCAGCTGCCCACCTCTAATACGTTCTGTAGAACACACATTATCACTTCTTTTCTCTGGCGCGCAGAAGCCGCAACAAGCAACTCTACCTACCTCTTTCCGACAGTCGATAAATAAACCACAAGAACCGGTATCGTCGTTGCCGTCGAGCAGTCAATCGGGCTCGAGTCAGCAAGCTAGTCTACATTCGTTTTGGCATGGGCCGATGGCCTCGGGGGGGCGGCAATCGTCTCCCAGTAGTAATTACTCGAACTCTTCTACAAACACACCCTCGACAGCATCACAAATGACATCGTTCTTTCCAGCTACGAATTGTGAGGATTGTGATGGGTCGTTGGGACAATCGGATGATGCAGATATGATGGATGTGGATATGATGATGGACATTGATATGGGAGGAGCGGGCAGCCATGCGTGTACAGCGTGTGGGAAACAGGTGTGCCATAGTTGCGCGGTTAGTAATCTGGGTGCTGAGAGGAAATGTCTGAATTGTGCTGGGAGGAGCAAGGTTACACAGGGCGGCGGTGCATTTGGATGGGTGAGGGCTTACTAGCATTCGGCTTGTGGATATGGGAAGGCGTTTTGCTTTGGAAAATGGGGCGTTTGGTGTATCGGATTGAATATGGGAATTGCATAGTGTACGAGTATACAATGAGTTCAGTCGAGATTGTTACAACTACCTCTTTCCATTCCGTTCGTGAACGCCTGTCTCAAGTGGCCTTAGGGTCTCCGACACAAGTTGTGTGGTACAGCACATACCTGCTATTTGACTTTTGCCTGCGCTTAGGGCTGCTGGCCCGGATCTAACAAGAGTTCAGGCCTGTTCACTTGACTTGCAACGAAGCTCAAATGTTTGTTGCCAAGCATCCAGCCACTGTCAACAGGTGCTTGTGTCAATTAAATGCTTACCACTCCGCATCATAAACAGAATAACGTCACTGACCGCAAATAATGTCCTACGAGTGTTAAGCTCCGCTCCATTGTAAGGACTCAAGTTTCAGCTGAGCAGGCTGCGCTCGAATCTTTGCAGAACGGAGGGAAGTCCTCGGAGTGATACCTTTCCTTTTCTTTTCGGATGTACGTGATTGATATTCATTCATTCCTGTCCCAGCTGATATAAATATGAAAATATCTGAAGCTCTTCCCTATGCTTTTCCTGATGTCACCACAAGGTTCTTCTTCCTCATCGCCTCTCAAATTCACCAATTCAGAAACGCTCAGTCGTGCAATATATATTGAGTAAACAGGTTTGAATCCCGACTGTCATATTAAAAAGAACCCGGGAGACACTTTTTTCAACATTCTCTGGGCCTCGTGAGTATGAAGAGCGCACAACTGGGCTAACTCGAGAAACTCAACGAGACTGAAGCGCAGCAAGTCTCTTTGTGAAGTCGGATGAATAACTAACTCAAATACTATAACGTGGCCATGGTTTCCATTCTTTTGTATCAATTCTATCATTGTTGTTGATCCTATATTTCAAGTGGATTAAAATCTGGCATCCAAAGATACCACAGCCTCTAGCAAACTCTACGTGAAAAAACGCGGTGAAAGAGAAATCTTGAGACATGCGGTACTGTAGCAGCTCGAGCTTCTTGGAAGCTGAACAACCAAAGAGGAGACTGCAGGCTTGAAGTTCGTGCTTGCCCATGTTCTTGGCGGATAGGTTTCGCGGTGCTGAAACGCTGTTTCTCTACTCCTTTGAGAGACTGACCTCCGCCTCGTTTGATTCCCATTCAAGTGAATCCATCCACCTTCAATAGTCACCAGAGACGTTCATTCAACTTTGAAAATAAATATAAATACTCAGTCATCTAAGACTGTGTTCAACAATGAAAGCTGTGGGTTGTGCATGCAGCACATATGACACGCATTTTTATTTCATTTCTGCTGACTTCTAGATCGTAAAGTCTTGCAATATTCTTTCAATATGCTCTTTGCGTGTATATTAGACTAATCCAACCACATTTCTCGAGATCATGACTACTTAGATCTGAATGCGTAAGAGCAGTTGTGCCACGCTGCCAATATTCGGCTTGTTGTCATCGAGAATACTCACACGCCGGATGAAGCTCTGTGTTCCCTTAGTTCAACAGAGGTATGACTAAAGTTTCGCCCTATTTTAGTCGTGATTCCCCATCTTTGCTGTCGTTTGTCGAAATGCGTCGCAGGAGAGGTTCCTGGAGTCGTCTGAGCCAAGCAAGTCTTAAGCGAAAATGTAAACAAAGCAACCCGGGCAAATGTCCCCAGAATATGCTCTCTTGTGAGCCCAACTACATATCACATACTCAATCCCATTTGAGCAGACTCCCAGACCATTCTTCTACTCCTGTGATCATTATCTCTGAAATGTAGCTCATATTTGAATATCGGTTGGCTGCCAGGCTCGACTGATCGAAAGTATTCCTTCCGCTGTTCATCGAATCGAATTGTTCGCTACTCATTGGGAACATAGATTGCCATTAGACTGTGCAACTTGTTGATTTTTAACTCACAAACAATCACAGCTCATGTACACTAGCCTGATGCTCTTCTTTTCTCGGCAGGTTATTCACAACACACCTCCCCACCTGCTTTATCCTTATCCGCATACACCTTACAGCTTTGAATCGCAGTAAATCCTTTGATAGTTCATTTTTCCCCCTTAAGTATACTGCAGGTGTGTGGTTAATTGAGAGAGTGAACAAGTCAATATCATGCTCAGTCTCCTATACAAGACACCACAGGTGACACTGTTGACATACGTACTCAATTCTTCTCTTTCCGTCCTACTACATAACTTCACCCTTGCAACCAGGAATTTCCTCTCAACGAAAACTTCTCTCTACCCGCTGGAACAAAGCATGGGCCGTAGGCTGCAAGCCACTATCCAGTGCATAGCCTACCAGTGAATCAGAGGGGCCTCAAAGAGCGGGGTCTATTCTCTTGATTGTGCAATCATGGTCCAGTACAAAATATCTTCTATGTGACAGACATGAACCATCATTACTTGATTTCTGTTGTCAAGAAAATCCTCGCTGCCATTCTTTGAATTGTCGTCAGCTAGATGGGTATCGCGGTATGTGTCGTACCGAGTCCAAATGGTAGAAAGGCTGAAGTAAGCTAGGGAAATTGTTGAACTAAAACGTCTGAATTTCTACTGGCACAACCACAAAGCGGTTGAAAGAAATCAAAATGCAAGTAGGTACATGATCAGAGTCTTCATAAGTGGCGGTGTAGGTAATCCATCTAAGGCTTTGCATAGGTGAGAGCTTGCCGAGAAGGGACAAATACATTGACTTTACGGGCGTGAGAAGCTTGGCTTGCGAAGGAACTGGTACTCGCGATATTATTACTAACCCTCATTTATGGAATCCAGTCCCAATTCGGATTTTTACCGTGCCAACGGAAAGGGAGAAGTGAAAGATGGGGTATGATTCGCACATAAAAACCTTCAACCCTCAGCTTCAGATACCTCAAGTCTACTCCACTCACTGGACCACCATCCCATTCGCTCCCTTGTCGCAAGCACTTCATCTGGTTCTCCAACCTTATGGTTTGATTCTATCTTGAATTATTCAGTATTCATGTTTCAATTTCTCGTAGCATGTTCAGGGACGACGTCGCACTTTATTTCGCTTCGTGAGCTCCAAGCCAAAAAAAAGTCGACTTGACAACAGAAGCAGCGAATGGCAACAAGAGTCACACTTTTCAGTCATGCAAACCAAGTTCTCGTAGTAAGAGATTTGTTTCTTAATACAAATATCCATATCTGAAGTGATGCCTAATCATATCCCTAAATACAGCTATACCCAAATTCCATAGTTGACGATCCGAAGCATACAAACCCATTTTCTTCGCGTGCCCAGATTTTAGGGAAAACCTCCACTCCACATCTCTCACTCCATATTTATCCTCAAACTAATTTGAGGTTCAGCTTACACCTGACCGACCAATGCGAGGTCCCATCTCCAATTGGCTATGAAGTACAGACACTTTTTCCATTAACAGACCAACCTCAAATCTCCATTGACTTCAGCTGTCAGCAGAATCAATGACACCCCCAAGCAAAGTTCATCTCTTTAAATAGTACATAAAATCTATTCAGCTATTCTCCGTTTCCTACTAGCTGTGGAAGACATTCTCGCAGAGGACAACTATTACCCGTTGTTTGATGAGGGATTTCCAGCTCCCACTTGTTTTGCTCCCAGTTTTGTGTCCTTGTTTGCTGATCAAATGGAATACTCTTCGGTTCTATTACTATGAGAAAGGAGAGTCTTGACGGCTCACGACTCACGACTCACGAATCTGGAGTTGGATACTGTCGAGACATGAGGATCTTGTTGTCAATTCCTTCCTCGCTGGCAATTCTCCTTGTTCGCCCAAAGTCTTTCTGCTCTTCAACAAGCAAGACGACCAATTAAAACAGAAGCGTGGCGTACCCAGCTTGTAAATATCACAACCCAGTATCTAAGGATGCACCAGTTCACCTCATCCATGACTTCTGCACAGCGATTCAAACTCAGCAAACTTCCAGCACTTCCCACTCTCTCCAATAATATAACCTAGAGGCATTTTGCCACGTCCTGATCAGAAATCTCTGGGACGAGAAGATGCTCGTTTATATACCTCATACCACCTCCCCGATATCACTAATGATAACACCATCAATACTACACAATTCAATACCTACCAAATCAATAGACCAAGCCCGGAACGAGTCAAATCCTCGAACAAAACACCTCACTCAAGTATTCAGACTCTACACCTTTCTACAGTGGATTGTCCCTCCGCCTCCCCTCCTCAACCACATTGTCAGATTTATAAACACTCTACCTCTCACCTTACCCCTTCCCATCCCTCCTCTCCACAATGAAACCTCAACCCCAACCCACCGTTAGAAGTCAACGCATATGTATAATAATCGTCCCCCGCCCTCCTCCGGCCACGACTCTGTCATTACCTACCTCACTCAACACCTGTAAAACCTGGAAAGAAATCCGAACCAACATTAGTCGGATTAAATCAGAGTTGAGTCCGAGATTCAGATTAACCTTTATCTAAGAGCCATATAGAAATAATTGTACTTCCTGCGGTAGTGTGGTGGTGGTGTGATAGTAAAGGTGACCGACTGGCTGTAATTAGTGTGCAATTCGACGAGGGTACGAGTATCGCATTCGAATACCTTCTCGCCTCGCAATCCATACTAAATAGCAGAATACCAGATTCAGATCCAGTCGGTCCGGTACAGAGCGAGGAAGTATTCTACAGGCGTGGGTCAAGCGAAGTCGGCATTAAATTTCCAAGGGAGGGAGGTATGTGGGTATATACTGCTCCCAGTCTACGCGCAGTGGGGATTTAAAGAAATCCCTACAATGAGAAAAGAAGAAGGACGAACCAAAAAAGGAAAGAGATTGTTATATAGGTGGATGTGAATGAATATTTGAGAGATGGAGATGGAAGGTGGAAATTTTGGATGAGGGTCAAGGGTGAAGGGAGGGAGGGGAGAGGGAGGGAGGCAGGCAGGCAGGCAGGCAGGCGAAGGGACTTCGGAGACAAGTGGTGATGTGATTATGGGATGGGTAAAGGAGTGTGAGCAAAGGAGGGAACATTGAAGAGGAAGAGGGAGGAAGGAAGGGAAGAGGGGGAGAGGATAGAGAGGTGGAACGAATGGTATTTTAGGTGAGGGAAGATACTGGGTTTTCAAGCGTAGGGCAGAGCAGAGAGAGCGAGGAGAAAGCAATGAACATTCACCAAGTGTGGCAGGCAATTAAATCCAGGTAGGTTGGAACGTCACAATATCATCACGAAAGTAAGAGAGAGAGGGGTATGAAGTTTGCAAGCCTTTCATTTTCATTAACTATCCACTTCACTTCAACCACTTCGCTCGCTTGCTTGCCTGATTTCCAGGCATGCATTACCACTACCAACCACCTCAGCCAACCATCATTAGCAAGTATATTTTTTGGTTTGCCTATCCATCCAGCCATCCATCCATCCATCCCATCCCATCCCTCCCAAATAAGGAAAAGGAAATCGGGTATCATCCACCACCCATCACCACCAGCAAGCCAACAAGGACGTATGTGTGTACGTATCCTGCTGCCCATTCCACTATCCCATCGCTCTATCCATCCGAGGAGAAGGAAAGTCTGTTCGATGAGGTGTTGTAGCAATCTATCCATCCATGCCATCATCCCAACCTAATCCAAGCAAGGTGCCGTCGAATAAATCTTATCGATTTGTTTCGTTCGGTCGCACCCCAATTTTGTTGTATCTGTTGTATTCGGCCCATCCCATCCATTTCCTCCTTTCAATTTCTCATTCCCATATGCGCGCGCAAGAGTGCTTTTCCACCCCAACCAAACAATAAAAAAAAATCTGCAGTAGAAAAATGTACTGTGCAGGAATGGTATTCGCTCGATTTGATTTGTGTGTTTCCGTGAAAGAGGACCTCCCGCCACCCATCTATATTTTGTCGATGAATGGGAGGAGATACGAAGAGGATTGATTGACGATGAAAATAAAAACCAAACAAATCAGAGAACGGAAAAAGGAAAAGATGTAATCGATCGCTAATAAACAAAACATTTAGAGCAAACACAGCCCGTCCTGGTCGCTCGTTGACCTGTCCGAATCCATACTCTAGATGAGATGGGGTGGTCGATGTTGAGAGATGATGTTGTGGAGGAAAGAACCGAGAACCCAGATCGCTAATGCCAAACCAGAATCAAGGAAACGCTGATGCCACACGAAGATGATGAGGAAATAGGAATTTTTGATATTAGGTATCAAGAAAGACTCCATTCAATGAAATGATTGAGAGAGCTTCCCCACTGTAGCTGATCAATCTCCGAGATAGTGTGATTGAATTGTCCGTACTTCTGTGCAATCAAGACATGTGGTTGTACATGGGAATCGAAATTTGTCTGATGCAGCGGCGAAGATCAGCTAGCAGGTATCCAAACAGAGTATAATCAATGCATCATTTCTTGATGATGTGGTTGATAGTATTGCTGTTGATGGACGTAAGGATTGTTTCCGGTTGGTGTTGGGGTGACTGGACATCTCGGAGCTTGGTGGTATACCTTGTTCTCGTTGCCGTTCATGAAGTACTCGCCCTCTGGTGTGATGGGTGGAGTCATGTAACCATTGACCATGTTTCCATATGGCTTCTGTGGAGTGCCTGGGTAAAGCTCTTGGGATTGGGGGTGGATTGGCTTCTGGGTGATCTCACAAGGAGGAGTTGGTGGGCTGGCACGACGGTTCATGGCTTCTTGGTGACGGAGGAAATTGTCGAGGGTGGCAGACACGCGGGACATGTGAGGAGTGGCGTATTTGCGGAACAGGACTTGGGAGGGACGGTCAAGCTTCTGAGATAATCTGAGGATGGTCTCACTGACTTCACAGTCATTGTCGTCCAAGACATCACGGCGACCGAGAATACCACGAGCCAAGGCAATTGACGCGTCGGCCATGACCGAAGGTTTTCTCGAGACGAAGTCCTTGTGGTAAAGGGCGATTTCGCAAAGGTACCATGACATGTGCTCAACCTCGATGTCATCATAAGCTGGGCCATCCTTCAAGGCGAGTTGCAGCCAGGTATCGACGGTAGGGTGACCAATCATCCAGTCCAAGGTGTTAAGAACGTGCCATTCCATCTGGGTGAACATATCCTCATCATATAGACTGCAGCACATTGACTTCAACTCTCTGATCATTGGTACGCGCTCCTTGCGGTCACCATACTTGGCAGCGATCAGAAGAGCAGCACATCCAACCAATTGGTAATGTCTCTTGTAGACAACTCGCTTTGAGCAGTATCTATCGAGAAGGTTGACGGCCAGGAAGAGGGTCTCGGGGAGAAGTTGGAAAGCAGCGTGAGCCTCGATGAGGAAGTCGATCAGGTACGGTCTCATGAACCACTGGATTTCTTGCTGGATATCAATGGAAGCGACATCTGGTAATGTCTCGCCCTGTATGGTGTCAGTTTGGTATTAAGTAAAGTGAAGTCAAGGCAATTGACCTCCATATATTTCATGTGACCAATGATGTCCTCCATGTAGGTATCACAGGCTTGTCTCGACAGCTCGTTCGCCATTGCTTCTTGTTTCCGACGTCCCTCCATCTTGAGAATCGCTGGGTTTCTCTGCTGTGGGTATGCTTCCTCCACGAAGTACGTATCGCACGGTTGTTGAGTGTAGTACGCCATGTTGGGTGGTTGTTGGTGGTAAGGTGTATGAGTTGTGTGAGGTTTGTGTGGAAAGAGCGGATGTCAAGGTTCTCCAGGAGCTTCGACCGACAGTGCTCGGAAAACACTGGTGTTTTTTATTGTAAAAGAATGTGTAAGTGTTCGAGAACAAGTACTCGGCGAAAGTGAAGACGTCGAGATGTTAGAATTAGAGACAGACTATGGGTGAGTTTTGGACAAAAAAAGAATGACAGTGGCTAGAAAGTGAAGCCGTTGAGAGGTGAAAAAGATGATGAGACCGAGGAGGCAGGTCGTTATCACTTTTCGGAGGAATCTGGCGATCACATATGTTAGCGAGGAGGTTCGAATTTCTCAAGCCAGTGATGCAACCCAAAATCCACAATCAGACTCAGAATAATTCAGACCCTCTCCCAATCTGGAGTGAAAAATGTAGCATCCACTGAGAAGCACGTACCGATTGGAGGGCGTCGATGGGAGGCAGCTCCTACGTTCTGTAGTATGATCCCTTGTTGGCTTGAACCTAAGTACCTGACGAGTCCAAGGATTGTGTGGAAATCTGCGACAAGGCGGGATGAACGAGTGAACGTCTCCAGCCTATCGTACGCGTGTGGGGAGGGGAGGAATTGGGTGGTCGAGGTGTGCGGAGGGAGGAGGGAGGTTTTGGAGAAGAATGCCACCAGATACGCGACCGTTGGCATGTAAATGCTACGCAAGGGCGGAATATTAGCAGCTGCACGAAAGGCCGAGGCACGCAGGAGGCTAGAAGCTGCGGGCGAGGATGGGAAGAAAAAGAATAAAGGGGAGAGATTGGAACGAGACAAAAGAAGTTTAAAGCTCACCTTCAAGTCAAGTATCGTGCTGCACCTTTGGAGGGTGGAGCGTAATCTTAGTTGGAATCGTCCTGCGTTGATGCCAAGACTGATCTTGACACAGCAACAGCTCAATTCCGCCGAAGGTTCTGTGGTATGGGGATCACTCAAAAGATCGTGGGATGGAGGAATTCCAGGTGAGTAGCAACAATTGCTGAAGCTGATCGTGGATGAGAGAAAAGAGTTTCGACCGAAACAATTTTAGAGAGTGAGTTCTGTTTGTGGAGGATGGAAAAAATGACCGAGTTGAGGATCAATTCGATTTTGTTCCTGTTGCGGAGGACGTCGGCAGACGGGGAGGAGGAGAAGCCGGTCGAGACGAGTCGTGAGGTGAATTAATTCCTCGTGGAGAGGAAGCTATTCGGAGGTGGAGGAGAGGTGGGTGAGGTGAGGGTAGCTGACAGTTACGGACAGACGAGAGACACGGGAGAGACAGAGGGGAGCCGGTGGTGCAATCTAGCATCACTCAATTCCGACCTTTTTCTCACTTCTCTTGAAGTTTCGTCTTCAGCGTAACGAGCTGTCAATTGCCTTGTCGGGGATAATGAGGACCTCCTTCCCTCGTAAATGTGCGTATCGAGGGTATGAGGAGAGGAGAGGAGGAGGGAGGATGAGGAGGTTAAAGGATCAGACACACGGAGCAAAGCAAGAGTAGAGTAGAGCGAGTAGAGCAGAATAGAGCCACCAGAGCCGTGTGTCGTGAGAGGCCCAGTGGCCAGGCTAGTAAGAAAGCAGACTAGAGGCCCTCCGAAGCACCACTACTGTACCGTGTAGCGTGGGTGTCCAGTGGTCGAGCCATAATCTTGGCCGCTAGGCCAGATAGGGGCGGGATTGGAGAGGAGCGATTTCAGTGGATTCAGTGGTAGTGGAGTGGAGAGCAGGAGACAGCTGGGATGACCATCACTGGCATGGGGCTGTTGCAGGGCAGAAGGCAGGTCGGGGACAGGGGGCCATGGCAGGGCAGGGCACGACAGGGTACTGTATGCGTTGAACCTGCTTGAACAATAACAGGGCGGGCCAGGGCCATGAGCCACAGAGCCAGGCCAGGACCAGACAAGACAAGACAAGACAAGACAAGACAAGACAGGACAGGACAGGACAGGCCCCGATGGCATTGAACTGCATTGTTGGATTGGATTGGATTGGATTGGATGGATGAGCGGTGCTCTGCGCTGCTGGGTTTACATTTTGGCGGCGGCGGCCATGCTTTTTTCCAAGCATCCAATCCAATCACTCACTTCGTGAGGAGTAAGTTGTAGTGGAGAGGAGAGGAGAGGAGAGGAGAGGAGAGGAGAGGAGAGGAGAAGTCGCCCGACAGGGGACCGCCACGGAACGAGCAACAACACTTGAGTGGATGTGAGATGACGAGAACGCGAATAGGGTCAACGCGAATTGGGAACTTGAGTGTGGGAATAGTGACAGCTGGAGGGAAGAGGGGAGTGGGAATAGGCGAAGACGGGGATTTCAAGGGTGCATTTATGAAGGCGTTCAGCACGGGACGTGCGAGTATGAATGTCGTCAAGATTGTGAGGAGGAAGAAGAAGATTGGAGAATGAGATGAGATGCCTCCGTAAAGAAGAAATTCTATGGCATTCAATACCTGATACCTGATATATGACAACCAAAACAACAATAGACCCAATTCCCAAAAGACGGGCCAGCAGCTACCATCTCTCCAACAAATGCACAATATCCTGATCCTGCACCTCCTCATCCCAAGCACACGATATCCTGCAGAATCCGGCTGCCCTCCTCTGAGCTGTACAACTCAAAAACGTTTAGCGACCATTCACAGGCACCACAGCCCTACCAGCCCAGCCACCCGGCCCATTCAGCGACCTATCGTCCACTCTCCAGTGCATCGAAGCCTACCAGCCCACGCGAAACCTCGCTAACACCCCTAACACCACGCGCCTATCAGACCCCAAACCTTCCCTCCCATCAAACAAACAACCTTCAATCCAGGCCATGATGTACAGACCCGAGGAGGCCATGAAATATCTGACCCAAAACAATCCAACACGTACGGTCAGATCAAAAGACATTTTATCAGAGTAAAACCAAAGCTCTGAAGCATTGCGTGAGTTTCGTTTCGGGTTATCCATTCCCCAGCTCCATTTCCATGTACATCCTAAACCGGAACTCAACTCCTCCTCCACCTCTGCACAAGCAAGAGAATCAAAAAAAAACGCCAAACAAACGCGAAATCTTGGTCTCCCATCTCGCGACTCTCTTTCTCCCTCTTACATCACGCCATGCCATGCCGTATGCAAGCACTTCCACTTCCTAGCGTAGGTTAACTTCACATGCATCTCGCCCTAGCAGTAGTCTGTGCAGCACTCTATTTGGCTTAAATCTACCTTTACTTTCCGTACAGCAGGGCAGAATCAGGATCAGGATCTGATCTCACGCGCCTGCAGCAAACCTACCTTGAGCACATGCTTGTTCCTGGCCTGGCCTTGCTTTAAGGGAATTGGTATTGGGATCGCTTCGGATACTGTATGGAGGTGGTGATTGGATGCGGCTGTATTTTGGAACATTGTGCTCGGTGCATGCCGTGTTGCGGTGCATATGATTATGAGGATATACATATATTCATCGCCGTGCTGCAGCTGCGGGAATGAAACTGCAGGAGAAACAATTGGATTGTTTAATTGCGTTCAAACAATACAATGAGACTCACTTTCATACTCTTTCAATACAAACACTCTCTTCTCTTATGAGCAGCACCAAAAGCTAGACGGACATAAATTTACCTCAAGCCCGTCAGTCGCTCAGTCACGTCAGCTCGGCGTCTCAACCCCCAGGCCAAAAAGACCGACCAAACCAACCAGCCACCAAAAAGAACCTTGACATCACGAACGATGACTTGCAGCTCCTAAATCCATCGCTCACTCTCTCGCTTGTTTCGATCAAGGAAAGTTGGGGTGGCTAGCTGTATTGAACGAGTGCTTGCATAAAAACACTTCCAGCACGCGTTTGTCCACCAGACCAGAATCACAACCTTCAAGACCTACTTCACGACCTGCTCTCCATCATCAAAATAAATAAATAAATAAATAAACAGCCTCCTCCCCTCCTCTCTCACTTCTTTCCATTGTTTTGCAACCTCTACACTCAAATCCCAAATCTCGATATTCATCCATCGTTATGTTTATTTATGCATTTCCGTTCCGTTTCCAAGCTCCAAGCCCATGCAGGATGAACTCATCCATCTACCTTACCTACCCATCCCCACTCCACCAAAAAACGCGCCATTGCAAATCTCGCGTTTCCATTCTAACCCGCCTGCCCAGCCTCATCACATCCCACGCATCGCCGAGCCCCGTCCCAGCCGTGTTTGCACTGTAAGATCACCTCTTCCAGACGCCGTCGCTCATGCATGCAAGCAAGCAAGAGTACGATATTCCTGAAATAGGGTAGGCAAGCAGGCTGTCACAAACACCGGACGCATCAAATCAAATCAAACCAAATCAAATGGAACGCATCTATCTATCTGTCGTCCTCCCTGTCAGAACGGAGTTGGACCCCTAAAAAAGAAGAAAAACAATCATCTCATTTCAATCTCTTTCCAGAAAAGTTGGCAGACGCGGCGGTTCTTTCATCATGCTATACCCTATCGAATCTCAATATATCGATTGCATCGCATCGCATCGCATCGCATCCCATCGCACCATACCTACCTACCTACCTACCATCCATACGATCCATATCTTCAGCAACTCATCTAATCTATGCTTACTAACCACTTCCAAACCAAACCAAACCACACCAGACCAAACCCATCCAAAATGTAACCCCCAATCCCCAAAAATTCCTGTTTACACTGCATGATGCATCGATCCATCTATCCATCCATCCATCGCGCTGGATATACCTATTATTCATTCCAACTTCTCTGAGGTGGTATATTCGCTTGTAGAGTTTTCTGATACAGTACCTCACCAACCACCACTGGCCGGCGGCATCGGTGCAAGACCCTGAAAGAGAACGTCGACAACTAAACTCGGGAGGGAGGGACCCCTATTTGGACACCACACCACGTACGAATATTTGTTGGTTTCCTGGAACGAAAAATTCCAAGGATTTCAAGATTTCAAGATTCTTCTTCAACAATTTCAAATCAACCCA